GCAGATAACGCTTGCAATGCGCGCACGTTGTCCAACGCAAATTGAATGGAGTGCGTCAAAACATATCCTCGTCATTTTAGGGGGTCTGACGATACAAGAATTTGCCCCCCCCCCCCAAATCCTGGCGACGCCCATGGGTGCAGCTTTCATATTTTGTACCTGCCAACTACATGTACAAGTGTTAACAAGTAGTGATGAAGGTTTTTTTGCAGGCTTGGCGCGTTCATGAGCACAAGAAATATAAAGTGACTGGAAAGCCTTCCTCCGCCTTGATTAATGATGTTTTGCTTCAAAATATCCAGAAGTCTTAAATCTTGCTGGTCACACTAGGCACTTCCATTTTATTTGCACTTTAGGATTCTGAGCTGTCAGCAACCACAATCTGTGCTCTCAAATATTTCCATGTTAAAAAAACAGAAAATACAACCAAACTACCAAAATTCTTACAAAAGGCACTTTGAAAATATCTCCAAGGGTTAAAATGCAAAGGGTATAAAAGACAATATTGTTAGCTTTCAATCCTTTAAAAATGACTTGGGGTTCTCTGCCCTTAGGAGAGCCAAAACAGACACTAATTGCTGAAAGAGAGGAGGAGACAGAAGTCTTGAAGACTTGAAACCACCCAGGGCAGTCAGATATGCTTCACCCTGTCAATGACCACAATGTCATTGACCCTGACCCCATGATAGGAGTGTTTTAGTTGATCAATACTGAATTATAACAAACCCTGTGCATGGGACTGATACATGTACATAGTGTTAAAGTTGCAAATTGTCATTTATTTAACATAATGTTTTATCAATTGATACTTAGAAGCACGTCATCAAAAGTTCTTTTTTTTGGGTCAATCAAATTGCACAGCTTTTTTTGTCTTAAATAAGTGAACTTTTTAAGTTATTGAGTTTAACATCTTGATTTTGGTGTCATTCCATATGCAAAAGGCTCTTTGAATGGACAATGAGGAATTCAATACTTTCTTTGTGTATCGATACAACTACAAACAGTTGATAATAGATGACTTGACAAAGTTCATTTTATAGTTAAGCATCTGAATAACAGTTATACTTTTAAATTGATTTACTAAATATTACTTTTTACTATGGTTAAAAAAATATTACCTTTTACCCTTGAGCCTGACCTGTTTTTCAAGATGCATTGCCATTTTTCAATTTTAAATGTTATCTATAACATTATCTGTTTCAAATATCTACAGAGCAAGTTTCCTATATTTACTACTTACATGACGAGAAACGTTTTTGACTTATTTTCTTGGCAAACAGCTGCCTGCAACTGGAACAGGCCTAATCATTTATGAAATCATTCACCAAAGAAGATGATTTGTGTCACATCGCTGCCTGCTTTAATGTTTAGAATGGAAGAATTATAAAGGATTGTCCTGAAATAGCTCAGCAACTCACAACTGCCAAGCACTCTCTCACTATTCAACAGTGTAGCTGCTGAAATTCTTCGATCATATTTATGCATGTACTGTCAGATGAAATCTTACCCTTGAGTCTTGATAATTTTAAGTCTTTCTGACAGGTCTTCATGACTTCTTCCACACAAATTCTTCAACATTAATGCTTCGAACAGACAAACTGCAAAGAAGAATTTCCTTAATATCCACAACAATTACAATTGCAGCTGCTGAATTTCTAAGATCATATTCATGCACCCCTAGTCAGATAAAATCTTATTTTTCATGAGTCTGGATAAATGTAAGTCTTTCTGACAGATGCCCATGCATGGCAATGTAGGCATTGCCAGGCCATTCTGCCTAGACTGATTTCAAGTAGAAAGGTTACATCAAGAGAAATGCTTTGACAGCAGGCATGCTCGGTGGGGGTTTTCATGAGTGAAATCTGAATTCATGGATTGCCTGTAGCGCATAGGTGATCTAGACAGATAGATGTGTATCCATTACAGGCCCCCAACAGCTGCATGCGGTGTGACATTTCAGAAAGTAAGGGTTAAGGGTCTCTATCTGGTACCAAGGAAAAGTGCATAGCAAGAGCCAGAGAATATATGTAGATCCAAAAGGAAGAACCTTTTCTCTTCTCATTCAGATATTAGGCTTTTGTAAAAGAGCCTTTAATTTGCTATTCCTACTCATGTTCTGACAGTGGTACCGTACCAGTGGAATTACTACTTGAGAAAGCAAATGAGCAGACTTTTCATTGCAAAACACATTAACCAATTAGCCCTCAAAGTACCCACAACCTCCCTGTCATTTACTTCTCAAACTGCCTCAGACTGCCCCAGCACTCTATTACTGTTTGCACACTATGCTGGTACCCGGGTTATCTCGGGGTTAACAAAAATTTTAACCCCGAGAGTACCCGGGTAATTTGGAGTGTTCACACTTCACTTCCCGGGGTTAGAAATTCTCCGGGTTAACTGCCTCAACAAAGTTAATTGACTAATCTAGAACATTCTTGGGGTACAATCTGTTGAGTATTAACAGATAAACTAATACACGAGCATAAAAACTGAAGGACTTTCAAGCACAGAGCTCAGGTTTTCAAAGTAAATCCTCTGTGAATCCAAGCAGTTTTTTATTTTCAACTCCATATGCTGCACAGTGAATGCACTCTGCAAATTTAAAGGCAAGTACAGTGTAGTCACTTATTAGACCAACCTGGCAATGTGGGTTATGAATGAAGCTCAACATTACTTCAAATAACCACAGCGCAATCCATTACAGAAGAGCCCATGAATTTGTAGTTTGATCAGGATCAGGATGGAGTACGAAACTACGGATGAAATTTATTTCAAGTCATCTCAGGACTGTTTTCCTTCAGGCCATAGGTGAATGACATGTAATACAGATGAAATGTAAGGAACAGTCTGATATCGATAATGTACCCCCCCCCCCCAACCCCCCCAAAAAATACACACAGACACACACTGTGCTTTATGGGTCCTTCTAGCAATTTGGGTTCCTCACTTTGGATCAAATATATTTATAATGACAATATAGTTAGCTAGAATTCATATAGCACATACCCACAACACATACCGGTACCTGATGGTAAATGCTCTTGATTTTGTTAGAAGGCAATTCTTCACTATAGTATCAGGATCCTTGTCCAAAACAAAGTATAATTCATGTACAGCTACTTGTCTTGGCATGAAATATATTGTTTTTAAAAATTATTTTAAAATTAACCAAGTGACAACACATACCAAAGACTTTTTATCAAGGATCTTCAACGAGAGATTTATCTCCTGAAAACGTTGGCCCTTTATTGTTTTTATTTGTATACTTCAGGTCAATGCAGTCAATGAGCAGTTTTTGCAGTAGTTTTATTAAGTTTTCTTTTTCTGTATCCTAGTCCTGGCCTTCTATACTTCCAACAAATTATACCGTTCAGTTTTTAATATAAATCAAAGTGGTGATTATTTGTTTTAATGGAAACAATAACTCCCAACACGAAACACGAGCTTTACAGTAGCTATGGCAGGATTCCATGGCCAGGCTTGGCATTGACAACAAATCACTTTGAACAGGACAGTGTCAAGTGTTCCTGACCTGATTCTCATTTCTCACTGTCAAGCCGTGTCATGTTCAACAATCAAAGGGGGTAGATTCTGGCCACCTCAAAGAACAGGCAACCGACTTGGAAGTAACTAAAATAAAATGTCTAAAGGAAACAAGCTGAATCGATGAAAACCTGCATGCATGTAAGAGGTTGTGTGTTTACTGGTAGATACTGAATGTAACGTCAACATAAAATATCGTGACATCCAAACAAATAAATGAAAAAAAAATTTTTTTTGTTACATTCAACAAAGCTAGCGATAACCGAGAAAATTCAGAGCACTGAGAAATCAACAAAAGAACAGATAAATCCAAGACAGCCTTCAACGATGCATGGACACAGATGGATATCACTGTGAGATTTATGCTCAGTGGAATCTACCTAACAGAAAAATCAGACAATTTGCATGACTGACCTGTGAATGTTGAGAACAAAACATCCGGACTATGTCATCGATTTTGGTATTAAATAAGAGGAATTTGATCATGTCAGGAAGGGTTCTCTTACACTGGATGTCCTGATCGACAGTGGTTTAACCACGCCAGGGGGATGTAAAATCATCAGATCTCATTTAGGCGGACTCCGGAACACGGCGATCAAATTACGGTCAGAATCAAAGCAGGGACATTTTCACCGGAAATGTTAACACTTCCACTGATCCCTTGTTTTTGTGGTGAGCCATTTCCAAGTAACTGTTGTTTTGATTTTTGGGTCCACCTACGCACTAAAAAAAAAAAAGAAACCAGATACAACTGACCAAGCATCTTACCCAAATCCACATGTGGAAAAGTATGCGAGAACATTCACTAAAATTTACAAAGAAGTTGCAAACAAGATCTTATCTTTTCCAAAATTCACTAAAACAAGATGTCAATACCATACTTAGGTATTTTAGATCTCAGATTGAATAATCACTTCACAGCTTCCCTAAGTATTCATAGTCAACAACACTAACACTGGTACAGGTACTTGAGTGGTTTATTTGTTCCTGAATTGGAACTCGTACTCAACATATTAAACTCAACCACAATCCAAGGACGCAATACTCATTAGACTTGAGTATATCAGACTCAAGTCCTTAGAATGGGACATCAAGCTTCCAATTGAGAGCGGAAGCTTCATCAGATGGACTTCATCTACAAGGTACAGGTACTCATCCACATTAGTCAATGTAAATTGTGAATTAACTAGATTATGAAAAATGCAACAGCTGGGGGTGATATCAACGTCTTTGAAGCATCTCCATCGTTAGGCCTAATGCTTGTCTTCCCTTAACATTAATACTGACGACGGTATAAACTCAAATCTTAACAAGATTTGGGTTTCATTTTTGTTGTTGAGAAGGTAAAAAAAATCCTCACTCTATCAATATCAACCTGAAATTATTAGCATTAACACTACAATGATGAAAAAAAGTAACAAAATAGATAACAAAATAAAATCAACACAATGCAGAGGTCAGAGGATTCTGTGAAGAATATATAAATTTATTCTGTTCTCTTTGGTACTTGATTAGAAATCACATACATTATTAATGTGTTACTGTGTTTCACAAAATTTTAGGATTTAAAACAGCATTATTTTTAAACGACAGCATACTTATTGTATATATCTCAAACTATTTTATATAGTATTCTGAAGCAAAATGACAAATCGTAAACTAAGGTATAGTTAATTTTTAATTGGTAATGTACATGTACATGTAAGACCAAAATAAATTTTGCAAAAGCTTAATTTTGTGCTTCAATGGTGGATACTCAATATATTTGAAATGCGGCAATGCATACATGTACATGGTACCGGTACATTGTAATTTCATCATGAAAAGGATATCCTAGAATGAAAGGTTATAGTGTTGTCTCAAAGACTAAGAGTATTAGCCAAGTAATGATTTGAAATATTACATGAAAGCAAGATAATTGTAGTTCTGCAAACATTCCAAAACCACTCATACAAAAGGCACTACCAAATGTTTCACGGAAGCTGGGCCTATTAAACACCTGTCGTCACAGTGATAAACTAATTGTTACCACTAGCCAATCAGTATGGATTTTGGTCACCTGTTGTTATGACAATAGCATGGCCACATTTGTTGCAGGGCCGGAAACTCACTGAATTCATAGAAGACAAGATCAGTACATACTGGTATGTATTTCCGATGAAGAAAACACCCCAACTGGACCATCACATATCAATCAAGTCAGTATCACTCATGAGCTACTGTTAGTACATGTATCATTTGTAACTACATGTATTCACAAAAATAGCAATATTGTTCCAGGAATCAATATCGTCAAAATTCAGGGATGTTACCATATCTGTGAAGGTGATGAAAGAGACATTCCTTTCACAAAAGCTAGCGGGAAATGTGAATGTTAAATTAAAAACCATTTGAGACAATTTTAAAATGTACTTATCTGCTAACTCCTTCCATGCCAAAACCAGTATTAAAATGATATTTTCCAATTTCCATGATTTTGGAAGAATAAAAATCTCCATGAACATTCTAGTTATTGTTTAAGACTTTACACAAAAGATGAAACAAACGATGAACTTCAACCCTCTAAATAAACGTACTTCCAGGAAAAAAAAGAAATCTGCAACAAAATAACAAACGTTGGTAGACAGGGAACTGATATGTTAAAAAAGTAGTGAAATCTACTTTTACTTAGAGACACAACCAAATGTAACTGAAAGCAAATATGTTATTATCTTAATGTACACAAAACAACTTTGAAATGTTTGTCAAAAACAAAAGCCCCTTTGTTATATCTAGCTGATGAAATGCATCAAAATATTTCTCAGTACAAATCTGAATATACTGAAAATAAAAGCTTCGTTCTGTTTGTGACTGCAAACAATTGTTATTTGATCTTTTATAACAAGAAAAATATCTTCATTCTCAAAATTCATATCAACCGTCCATGAGTTTCACACAGGAAAGAAACTACTCTTTTTTTCCAATGTCTAATTGTTCAAACAAAACGATATAAATATTCTTCATATTGCTTGTCAGGTTTGTGGTTGAGTTTGTTACATCATAGCCAATCATACAGTCACATTAATGTGCTTTAATTCAAAACAGTGATAATTTGATTATCAATAATTAGAATTGTTCTCACCTCAATCTTTCCGAATCTTTAGGACGTCCACTCATCAAGCCGACTTTACTTCATGACAGGCATGGCTACAGCCGCTTTAGTGTGAGATACATCCTCTGCCTTCCACAGTTGGGTCACTGTCTTCAATTGGGTATAGAACTGAATACCCTGCTTGCCGTAGAAGTTGGTATCTCCTCGGAAGGAGCCACGGGAACCGGTGAAGGAGAACATGGGCAGTGGGACTGGGATAGGCACATTGACACCAATCTGTGATGGACATGGTCAAAAGTCAAACATTAATATTATTCAAAATTGGGAGACAAAAAGCAGAAAGATGCACTATTGAGAGTAATATTTGTGACTTTCGGTTCAAAAGTGTCAATTCATTTTCGCCATTCCAACTCATTCCTCTCCAGTCAACAATAACATACCGTGGTAAACATGAGGTAAATCACACTTTTATTACCAAATGAACAAGAAATGTTTGCATTTGCTTTCTATGATCTGTACATTTAACACCTTTGTGGTGTTATTGTTCCTTGCAAGTATAGTTTGATGATTAAATATTTGGACTTATACCAAACAACTATGTCTACAATTTACCCTGACACTCCCAAATCCTTCAAAATCCATGAAAAGGATTAGAGGATTTTGAAGGATTAGTTCACATGGAGACTGGAGGCCCTTGACAGTGGAAGTGCACAGAATGCTATTGATTTCTTACAGAGTGGAGTAACATGTATGTTCTGCATGTACTTGTATATGAAAAGCTCCTGAACTTTCCGAAATCAATGAATGTCAATTGAAATGGATAGGGTGGGGTGGAGTAAGGATGTGACTTTGCGTTTAATTTTGTAAACGTTTAGCAAGTATTTTGTAAGACCATTTAAATGTTTAAACTTTTAGCCATTCACAAAGGCTGATGCCTGCCTATTATGTCTGCAGACCGGTGTGATTGACATGATAAATCAACAATGATTGAAACAGTAAAATAGTAGGCAGTCAATAAAGAGTAAAAGCTTAACTACCGGTACATGTACCCCTAGTGTAATCAGGCACCGTGGTGCTTCTAAGGTTTTGTAAATTAAATAGGTTTGAAAACAGTGTAAATTATTTGTGCTGTATATATTCAACTCAAAGGAAAATCTTGTATAATTTGTTATAAGATGGAAATCTGTATAATTTGGGTTTCGTATGTTCGGTTATGAATATTTGAAAATGGATTTAGTATTGCTTTTGTATCAGAGTATAGGGTAAACAGACAGAACAGAGTATACTGAGTCCCAACTTAGACCCCCAGAGTTTCTCTTACACATCTGAACAGTGTGCCAATTCCTTCCGTGTCCTCTCTAGACCAACCAGTCTATGTCTGGTCACTTTCTATAGTCATTGGTTCACTGCCAGAATGAACAATAATAACAAGGAAATCACATTTCAGCCCCTAAGAGAAAAAGCCAAGTTGCCTGGACTCATCCATCACTCCATCAGGACAGAGGCGCCTGATTTCCCTCTCCGCAAATCAAAATCAAAACAAGCCTGCTATTGGTCTGTGGAATTAGGCAAACGTCCAGCAAAGTACGTCCTGTGCACAGAGGGATGCAGACCCACTTAGGAAAATAAATCACAAAATAAACACTGTCCCAAGAAGAAATAACAGGTCTGGACAACTGAATGCTGGATTGATGTTAAGAGAAAACATGTTGATCTGACTATAATCCATTCCCTGCTTTACTCCATCAACACTTGGTCAACTGCAAGCTTCAGTGGAATTCACCTAAACTTCTGCATAGATTAATTAAACTGGGTTAATGTGCTGGTTTCACTTAGACCCAATGACTTGCTGTTCTAAAATGTCTACTTTCGCTTTGAGTTTGTCTCAAACACAAAATTATCTGTTTCACACTTCCTTGTGTGTGCCATGCAAACAATATTTGTGAAAATTTAAAAAAATGTGAAAAAATTGCCACAATTTGGCCATTTGTTTAAAAAGATTTCCATGTGCTTTATAACCCTAACGTACCTGAATCCATCAAAATCCACACCCCTGTTTTAAAATGTCTATTTCACACTTCCTTACGTGTGCCATGGAAACAATATTTGTGAAAATAAAAAAAAACCAATTGTGAAAACAACTGCCACAATTAGGATTAATTTTTTTTTAAGATTTCAATTCAAATTTAGGTTTTGCCCTTCACCGACGTTGAAAAATCCGGTGCAAAAAATTCCATCTTATAATAAGATTTCAATGTTGTGTGCTTCAAGGAATTTATCATGGATGTGTTTCTTTGTAGTTTTCTTAGTATAAAAACTTCAGGAACTATAGTTCAGATATTTCTTTTAATTGACTGCTCTGAAATTTGTCAAAATAATATTGATAAATATATCAGTAATATGAATGGATGCAGATTTTTTTTTTCCATGTGTAATGTGTGTGTTGGGGGGGGGATTTTTTTTAAATAAACAAGGAGAAACTTGGATGTCTAGAACCTTGCTGGAGAGATTTTCCTTCAGCTCTGTGCACGCCAGAATGTTTATTTTCATGAGATCTCCCTCCCACATCTTGCCATCAATCAATCCTTAGCAGGAAGTAGGTTGACGTTTTATAAACACAGTCCGTGTGTACTGTTGATATTAACATACAGATCCATTTATAAATGCTATTAAAGACACTTTCACTTCAGTGAAGCTTTTTACAGAAGAAACCATATAAGTTGAAGTCTTCCACAGCTTCTAAAGACATTTTCCAAAGTGAAAATTGATACAGATTGAGAAAAAAACCCTGACAGGCAACATCTCATAAGAGTCACAGAAGATACATGTATAAGTAACTGATTCAGTCTAACAATTGTTGACACAATTGAAAACAAAAGTCATAATAAACAGTGCCCTTAGTGTACATGTACCAGTACTCATGAAAAATAAGGACAAAAATGGAAATGCCCGAGGGAAAGCTAATGAAAAGTGTTTGTGCCAATGCAAAATATCTAAGACAGAAAGATATCCATTTCATTTCCTGTGATAATATGATATGGTACTGATACCATGTCGCTATTACGCTAAGACATGTAGAATACATGTAGCTCCACAGCCCAAGTACATTGTAACTTCGTCATAATGGATTTTTATATAGTGAGGTCTGAACACAGCCTACAAAGATTTCATGGTCAGATCTGCCAAAGTCCGGCTAAAATAGGCCGGAATGTTATTGTGGGATTGACTAATGAAGGGGCCAAACAATTTACAGACATGTAAATGCACGCATACATGTACAAATAAAGCACTGCATTAGCATGACATGTATTAAAGAAAGGCAGCATCTTTGAAGCTCAAGAGGGAGCTGTGAAGATGAAAGTCAACTTTCTATTTCTGAAATATGCATATACCGGTATCCCGTCCTTATGACATAACATACATGTACCGGTATGCTAAATGCTATCCCAACATGACATTTCCAGATTCTGACTCTGGATGTCATGAATCTGTTCAAACAATTTGGGCAATTCTCAATGCAGTTCCCCACCAAGAGTTTGCCGTGGAGAGTCCTTTTTTTCAAATTTCTGGAGGATGTGAGCATGTTGAGAGGCGAGAGAGGGAGAAGTAGGGAGTGTGGGGTTGTGATATCACTCAGTTGACCTAGGCTGCATCCGAATCAGTTGTCTAGAGCTAGGTCTAGGTCTACATAAATGAAATTAAAAACTTGAGCAACATTTACTGAGCATATTGTACTTAATTTAAAAGCTACATTAGATTAAATTCTTGCAGATTATCAATCTCTACCTGACAACTGAGAAACCCAGACTGGACGAGTCTGTATTCCATGTCGTCTTACCTGTCCAACTTCAATCCTTTCTGTATACTGCCTGGCAGTGGCCCCATTGGTAGTAAAGATGGCAGTACCATTGCCATACATGTTCTTATTGATCAGATCTATAGCTTCATAATGTCTTACCTGTCCAACTTCAATCCTTTCTGTATACTGCATGGCAGTGGCCCCATTGGTAGTAAAGATGGCGGTACCATTGCCATACATGTTCTTATTGATCAGATCTATAGCTTCATAATGTCTTACCTGCCCAACATCAATCCTTTCTGTTTACTGCCTGGCAGTGGCCCCATTGGTAGTAAAGATGGCGGTACCATTGCCATACATGTTCTTATTGATCAGATCTATAGCTTCATGATGTCTTACCTGCCCAACATCAATCCTTTCTGTTTACTGCCTGGCAGTGGCCCCATTGGTAGTAAAGATGGCGGTACCATTGCCATACATGTTCTTATTGATCAGATCTATAGCTTCATGATGTCTTACCTGCCCAACATCAATCCTTTCTGTTTACTGCCTGGCAGTGGCCCCATTGGTAGTAAAGATGGTGGTACCATTGCCATACATGTTCTTATTGATCAGATCTATAGCTTCATGATGTCTTACCTGCCCAACATCAATCCTTTCTGTTTACTGCCTGGCAGTGGCCCCATTGGTAGTAAAGATGGCAGTACCATTGCCATACATGTTCTTATTGATCAGATCTATAGCTTCATGATGTCTTACCTGCCCAACATCAATCCTTTCTGTTTACTGCCTGGCAGTGGCCCCATTGGTAGTAAAGATGGCGGTACCGTTGCCATACATGTTCTAATTGATCAGATCTATAGCTTTATAATGTCTTACCTGCCCAACATCAATCCTTTCTGTTTACTGCCTGGCACTGGCCCCATTGGTAGTAAAGATGGCGGTACCATTGCCATACATGTTCTTATTGATCAGATCTATAGCTTCATGATGTCTTACCTGCCCAACATCAATCCTTTCTGTTTACTGCCTGGCAGTGGCCCCATTGGTAGTAAAGATGGCGGTACCATTGCCATACATGTTCTTATTGATCAGATCTATAGCTTCATGATGTCTTACCTGCCCAACATCAATCCTTTCTGTTTACTGCCTGGCAGTGGCCCCATTGGTAGTAAAGATGGCGGTACCGTTGCCATACATGTTCTAATTGATCAGATCTATAGCTTTATAATGTCTTACCTGCCCAACATCAATCCTTTCTGTTTACTGCCTGGCAGTGGCCCCATTGGTAGTAAAGATGGCAGTACCATTGCCATACATGTTCTTATTGATCAGATCTATAGCTTCATAATGTCTTACCTGCCCAACATCAATCCTTTCTGTTTACTGCCTGGCAGTGGCCCCATTGGTAGTAAAGATGGCGGTACCGTTGCCATACATGTTCTTATTGATCATATCTATAGCTTCATAATGTCTTACCTGCCCAACATCAATCCTTTCTGTATACTGCCTGGCAGTGGCCCCATTGGTAGTAAAGATGGCGGTACCATTGCCGTACATGTTCTCATTTATCAAATTGATAGCTTCATCCATGGTATCCACGGTGATGACAAGGAGAACTGGACCAAAAATCTCCTCCTTATAGCATTTCATGTCAGTCTTGGTTGAAAGAGGGATAAAAGTGAAGAAAAAAAATGGTTTATCCTATCAAATGTCAAGAAATAACTTTAGCATAAGGTATACATAAAGGGAAGACTATGCCAACCAATGGATTCATAACAGATTGACAGATAAAAAAAACCGTGGTGAGAAGGCAGATAAGAAACAAGATGTAAGATACGAAAACAAGTGATGAAAAAATTGGGGAGGCCTGTATGAAGTGTGAATGAGTGGAACGAGTGGAGATAGATCAAACATTCAGGGGAGGCAGATCATTGCTTCCTTGATTCACGCACAGCATTTGGTTTTCATTCCCTACCGGATTCCATAGGTTTCCCCAGAATATTTGTCTGGGGTTTTCCTTCCACCTCTTAGACTGAACATTTCTTCATTACCTTTTTCTCCATTTAAAGGTCTCATCGGGCATGGCAGCTACAGTGCCATGGGCGCTTTTGAAAAATCCTTGGTTTCACTACCAGAAATAGATTAATAATAATCAAATTTGATCTAACCTCAACCTCCAATGAATTTACTCAAGGCATAGGGGTTTATCTAATCCTATCCAACCTACATACCTTGACATCAGACAGGAGTGTTGGTCCAACAAAGTTTCCCTGTTCATAGCCAGGTACTTTGATATCTCGTCCATCCAGCAGCATAGTTGCTCCTTCATCCACTCCTGATTGGACCAAGTCACATACTCTAGTCTTGGATGCTGGTGATATCAGTGGGCCAAGATCAGCCCCCGGTTGATCACCTTGATGAAAGAATACACATTTGAACATGAGTTATTTACATAGGTCCAATCGTATGAAGTCAATGCACCATGTGACCATCCGTTTACCCTGTGATTGGCCACCATTGCAGTAGGCATAATGGTCACTACCTGTGCCGTTGAAGTTGTCATAATTGTGCCTATCCAGCACTGGGTGTTGGCTCCATGTTTGTACTCACAGTTTTTGCCATCCATCAAAGCTTTGAAGGCTTGCCTACTACCGGTTCCTACTGCGTATGGTGCTATACCATATTTGCCTACTACAATGGTGACGCTGACTTTCAGGTACCCGGACGTGGCCGGGTTACGTGGGTCAGTGAGAGAGCCTAATTAGTTCCTACCATAAAATTAAGTGATATATTTTGTAAAAAGATTTTGTACAGCAAACAGCTAAATTTTTTTAAATAACAAAATACTTTTTTGAACGACAACTTGTAAATTTTAGGGGGCAACTTTCCGAATTGCCTTGCATTTTGTAATTCGAATCAAGATGATTTACTCACTGAAATTACAAGTCATCAAATAATCGATAAGGGGAAACTGTCTGTAGTCAACGTAAGGGTGAATACAGAAATTTGAAGTGCACATCTGAGGGAGAATCTCAAAATGGAGTGTTCAGATTTCATTATGAATGAGCCCTTTGAGAATATGCCAAAGTCTTTGTGTGTGTTCTAAACTGAGGTCTACCATCAAGCTAGGGCTGAAATCAACTCTGCACCTGTGCCCATGTTTATTAGTTTTGGATTAAGACAAAGTCCTCCTTGGTTTGGTTTTGCTCTTGGATTTGGGTCTGTTTTTCTATAGAGCTGCTAAGCGCAAAAGTTTGCTAAGCATAGAAAATATTAACTTAGCAGAAACTGATTACCAGCCAAAAGCCACACAATGGCGTGTGACTGGTTCTTAGCTGAATGTAATCTCCATGAACTTGACTACAACATTGCTGTAATCATACTATGCCAAGATTCAGGATTTCCTGAGTGTTATCTGGTATGTCTCCCATACCTGCATTGACCTTGAGATTCTTAGCTCTTTCTACCAAATCTGGGATCCATTCCTTGGATTCGCCAACGAATACAGCCGTCGTGAGTGCCATACATCGCTGGCCAGCTGCACCAAAGGCTGCACCACACAGCTGTAAAGAGATGCACAATACAATGTCAGGAAGAGCATGATAGTCAATGTGAATTGAGAAGCTAGACATTCTCTGGATTAATTGACAATGAGAAATCTATAAATGGAAATGGAACTGGAAATGAGAAAATCAATCCACAATGTCAAGAATTTAAGAGCAAGATATCTGCAGCAAATTGTATAGAGAAATACAAGCTACATTAAAGGAGTTGACATTTCAAAGGAAGAAAGGTCACCCAGTACAGAGCTTGCGTGTTAGTAATCAGATGTTATAATTGTTAAATTTTGACACTCTGGACTTTGCAATCACAAAGTTGGAGTGATGTAGTAAAGATGCTTTCAGTTATGTTGAAGAGGTTCCAAGGGAAAACTTTGCCAAACTTATTTGCCGAAATAATCTCCATCATGTTGAGGTCATTTAGACAAATAAGTTACCAGGCTTGGTGGAGATTACTTTAGAAAAGAAACCTGATGTAAGACTTCAACCATTCAATTCAATTAAAATCAACTCAATATCAGTATTTATTTCCACAATGCTGTTTGTTCTGTAAAACAATGTCACTATAGTGTTAAGGCACTTACCTGGTTGAGAGTGTTTTCCTTGTTAGCATCTGGCATGATGACACCGTGATTCTTGGCACCCATGTTAGCCTGGACTCTCTTACCATTCTTACTACCACGCTCATGGATATAGATCCCAGCCTGATCAGAACCCACGAAGGAGATAGCCTTGATGGCGGGACTGTCACAGATGAAATTCACAGCTGGAATGGCAAAAAAATCCATATGTATTAATTTAAAAAATATGTATTAATAACTGTTCTCCATCTTTATGCCAGCTCTCTTTATTTTGCTTTCCAAACTAGGATTTAATTTCTACTCAACTTCCACTGATTGTTTGTGGCGTTTGTGTATCTAATTTTCACAATTTGTAAAATGGTTGCTATTGCTTGTTATTCTACCTATATTTTTTCAAAGGACAAATCTGTGATGGCCCTATAGCAAAATTTCTTTCTCAAGACATACTCTGACTGTGTGGCAAATACCATGTTTTTATCATCAAACGAACATTCCCATCACCTATCTGCCGTACTATGTGGCATTGGACAGGCGCACTTGTTCCCCTCATGTGCCGTGAGCTGGGCTTTATGGATCGGTGTACAGTCAATCGACTCTATGACGATAACTCACCATCATGTTGGCCATGGATGACATTGACTACACCAGCAGGCAACCCAGCTTGTTTAGCCATCTCTACCAGCATCATACATGCTCCTGGATCACGCTCAGATGGCTTGATGACATAGGTGTTACCGCATACAGCCGCTACGGGGAACATCTAATTTGTAGATGATTCCAAGAAAGACATTGTTACTGCATACAGTGTCTACTGGCAAAATCTAACATGTAGATGGTGTCAAAAATTAACCTTTACCGCACACAGTGGCTACAGGGAAGATCTAACGTGTACATGTAGATGGTGTCAAACAATGTATTGTCACGGCATAAAGTGGCTACTGTGAACATACAACAGGTAGATGGTGTCAAGAAAGGAACCAGTTTATGACAGCAATCACTTCAATGAATTGCACTAGTACACGTACCCTTTAACTTGTGAAGTTTCTTACACTTACATAACTGGAAGTTTTGTACTGTGCAATATTGAATTAAATCTCTTTTGTCAGTTTGTGTTGGTTTGCAAGACCTGGTAGAAACTCTACGTTTCAGACAGATGTTCAGGAGATTTGCTTTTACATGGTGCAACCACCAACTTACACTTTTGAGTCCACATGAATACAAATATGAGAAATTTGCTCTTACCCACAGAGGAATCATGGCTGGGAAGTTGAACCTACGATAAAAAAACAAAAACATTTCACATAATTTCTCATCAATATTATTTCTCAGGGAAACCTTGGATGTTCCCTGATCTTCAAAACCAGGATTTTGCAGATTGACGTACTGAATAGCCAAGCTAACAATACTCTATGTGAGGTTTCATGAATCAATATTAACCCTAACCATCCCAAATCCTCCAAAATCCTTTTTGCAAATTGGAGGAATTTGCAGGATTGAGGTTACATGGCAAAAGTGCATCGCTGATTTCGGAGGACACACTATGTCAAGGTCTTGGGCCGAACCTTGTGTTGTTTACGCCCAGCCTAGCATAAATTTAGTCCTTGATAATACTTGAAATCCTCCGCACTGCTCCAGGATGTCACTGCCTCTGCCTCAGCCTATTGACAGTCATAGCCGGAGGATTTTGCAGCATTCAGGCAGTGGTCACCCCTCCATGGACCATATTCAAGAAATAACGGAGGAATTTGCAGGATTGAGGCTATATGCTATTTTTCCATGAGGCCAATTGGAGGATCTTGCAGGATTGAGGCTACATCCTAGCAAAAGGCCAAGGGAGTTAGGGTTAAAGTTTAATGGGCCAAGTAGAGGTAATATTTTTGGCAGAATCACGGAGGTTCTTTGCAAACATGCAATGTTGATATTGTGAATGCCCTGAAAATGAACAAAACTGATTGTGGAAACATTAAATCTAACAGGCCTTTAAGAATCACACACAACTGATGATGGTACAGTGGGCTACCATAATGCTCCTCTTCACTCAATCTATTTAGCAGCATGAGACATACCTCTTAAGTGTGAGGTGAAATAAATGGATTTATAAATCAACCAAAACCTTTTTTTTGGGGGGGGGGGGTTAAATTTATGGATCAATTGCTGAGTCTTGTTTACGAGAAGAATGCAGAATTAAGCAAGCGGTAAATCAGTTTAACCCTGTAAAACCTCGAGGTAAACCTCCAGGTAGTGCCTGTTTAAGTTTGTATTATCCCCGAAGAACATTTTGAATAACAAAACTATAACAAAGTCATGAATTTCAATACTACAGCCTTGCCTCTGGTAGACGGAACCAAATCATCAATGGATATATTATAGCAATCTTACGGTGTAATTCCAGCGCAGACACCCAGGGGAACTCTCATTGTGTATGTATCCATGTCCTTAGCAATGGACGGCAGTGTTTCACCCAACTGAAGGGAAGTAATGTTACATGTGTGCTCGACAACCTCTATGAAAATGAAACAAATAAAAAACATTCAGTTGTGCAATTTTTTTTTCATTATCATTATTCTTGCAAGTCTTTCAATTGATTTCCAGTGAGGTCCCTTAGTAGAAGTTGAAGCAGGTAAGGACAATTGTAAGAGGTGGGAGGAAAACCCCAGAATGACATTCAAGGTAAAAAAAACCCACAGAATCAGGTACAGACTGAAAACATACCAGTATGTTGATACCAGAGGGATTTGAACCTGGGCCTAGAGGGGAAAGGCAAGGCAAGTACCACTTCCCCAAGCTGAACCCCTGTTAATATTTTGCGACGTTTGGGAGAATATTTTTCAGTGGGGGGGGGGGGGGGGGGGGTTAGTAAAGGCAGATTTGTCAGTTATAGGACATAAAATAAGGCTAAAACTTGAAAACAAGAAACTATTCTATTTGTCACTTCATGGTGCACCAAACAATAATGTACCATGATTTTAAGACCCTTGGCGTTGACAATTGACACAAAGAAGATACTTACGTAAGCCTCTCATGACATCACCCTCAGCATCAACTAATGTCTTGCCCTGCTCCAACGTGATACTCTTAGCAATCTCACTCTGAAATGAAAACAAATTAATAAGGGAATAAATGTGTGTTTAGGAGGTATTAAACACTCTGTTTAAGACAGGCTGGAGTCTGGATGGGTGATAATTACCCGAGGTGAACAAGGGGTAATTATCAGCACTCCAGACTCCAACCGGTCTAAAACCGAATGTTTAATACCGACCAAGCACATAGTTATTCCCATTCATAAATACCTTTCCGATGAAAAAACGGATCTTTTTGGTCCAAAAAACAAACAAGTCAAAACCTAGATATTGCCAACCTTTTTGTTCAACAATTTTACTTCACTATAGTTAAGTCAAAATGTGTACTATTGAAAGAACTTATTTTAAGGGCAGGGATGGGAAGGGGAAAAGTCTGGAGCGTTTCTGTATCATTTATCACTGTGACCTGTCTCGTCAGGATGGATGTCTCAGGCCATGGTGGACATTCCACCAGGCATAAATACATTTTTCCTGGATAAATTTTGACCCCTTGACCTCTGTGACCTCTGACCTCACATATTACCTACCAGGTTCTCTTTGATGAGATGCTGATATCTGAACATGATCTGTTGTCTGGTCATGATGGATGTCTCAGACCATGATGGGAATGCTGCTACAGCTGCATCCACTGCTGACTGCATTTCATCTTGGGTACACTTTGGAACACGGGTTACCACTTCATTGGTTGCCTGCAGGTTATGAAGGAAAGCAGCTCAATTGTACCATTTATGTAGACGGGGATACCAGGTAAATAGCCCATATGGCCTCTGCTTATATATCCCGTGATGGAGTACATGAAGAGTTCACCCAGGAGAACAGACCCCTGGGCTAGGCTAAAGATAGACTTTGCACGTCACTGCTTCACAGGGCGAGCTAGTACTTCACCACGAGATAAAGCATTCAATATTTTTATAACACTTCACCCACAGTTTCTGCTTGTTTTGAATATTTTTAATTATTTAAACCTGAACACAGTTAAAACAAGTCAGGTGTGTTTACAAACACAAATGCCCCGCAACCGTGACTGTTCCCATGACATAACACCACTCTTTTAACATCAACTTACATGTACCTTGGTGACTTGGAACATTCATTGACAGCATTAGTGTCTTCTGTAGGTTTTATATGAATTAATCCCTAATCCCAATAATCTCAGAATAAAGTATTTCTCAAGTTATCGCGCTGACAAGATTTCTATTGTTTTAGCCACTGTGAACTTGACCTTTGGCCCCAAATGCAAAAGGCTTCTTAAGATTACCAAGAACAATCCACAAACCAAATTGGAAGTTCATATGTTAAGTATTTCTCAAGTTATCGCGCTGACAAGATTTCTATTGTTTTAGCCACTGTGAACTTGACCCTTGACCTTTTGGCCCCAAATGCAATAGGCTTCTTAGGATTGCCAAGAACAATCCACAAACCAAATTGGAAGTTCATATGTTAAGTATTTCTCAAGTTATCGCGCTGACAAGATTTCTATTGTTTTAGCCACTGTGAACTTGACCCTTGACCTTTTGGCCCCAAATGCAATAGGCTTCTTAGGATTACCAAGAACAATCTACAAACCAAATTTGAAGTTCACATGTAAAGTATTTCTCAAGTTATCGCGCTGACAAGATTTCTATTGTTTTAGCCACTGTGAACTTGACCCTTGACCTTTTGGCCCCAAATGCAATAGGCTTCTTAGGATTACCAAGAACAATCCACAAACCAAATTTGAAGTTCATATGTTAAGTATTTCTCAAGTTATCGCGCTGACAAGATTTCTATTGTTTTAGCCACTGTGAACTTGACCCTTGACCTTTTGGCCCCAAATGCAATAGGCTTCTTAGGATTACCAAGAACAATCCACAAACCAAATTGGAAGTTCATATGTTAAGTATTTCTCAAGTTATCGCGCTGACAAGATTTCTATTGTTTTAGCCACTGTGAACTTGACCCTTGACCTTTTGGCCCCAAATGCAATAGGCTTCTTAGGATTACCAAGAACAATCCACAAACCAAATTTGAAGTTCATATGTTAAGTATTTCTCAAGTTATCGCGCTGACACGATTTATCCGGACACACACACCCACACACCCACCCACCCACACACACACCCACACACCCACCCACCCACGGAAGGACAAGGCGGAAACAGTATGCCCCTTCGGCTTCGCCGCGGGGCATAATAAAATTCTTTTTTATTACAAAGATGGTGGAAAATGTATTTCTCTCTTTCAAACCACCCCTTCACGAAATGTTTGAACCCAACTCTGTGGCGCGCGCTCTCTTGGGAACAATACGCGCCACGGACAATGCTCAACATGCACACCAGCATGCATTTGCACACAAATGTTACAAAATATACGGTCGATAGCTTACCGGATTGTGGAGATCAATCCATTCTGTTGTTTTAGATTCCACAAACTCTCCATTGATGAACATCTTTGTTGTGGGCTGAGGAAAAAGTGAATTAACATTTAAGTACTTGTATCATTTATGTCAATAATCTTACCAAGTATCTTACTGAAACACACTTAAAAGGAAACACAATTATGCCGACAATCTATTTCAATTATGCAGAATGCAATCACAGGTCTGAAGTAATCTTATGCAGTGGTTTATGTGCTGTACAAAAACCGAAGAATAGAACTTTACTGCTAGGCAACAAGGCATTTAACTTTCTTTTGAACTTGTTCCATCTCATGTGTAAATACTTTGCGTGGTAACGCACCAACCCCATCGTTTGTTTCAGTGTTCTGATTTTTGGCAAGTCTGACTTGTCTTGAGATGTTTGGCAAGTCCTTATAAACTGTTCTATTTAGGGATGTCCACACTACAGTGTAAATGGTGAACTTACTGCTGCATGGCTGCTGTATCTTCTGAGGGCACCCAGGACCTGCAATAACAAAATCAGACATTACCAAAAATATTATTAGAAATAAAGTAAACAACTCAGGTTAAACCTTTAGGCACTGCGCCCGAAACCGCCCTGCCCATTAGTCACTGTTACACTCAAAACCCCAGGAGCACTTTATGGTTTTATTGATCGTTCAGTGAATAAACACAATCTAAAACAATGTAGTATAAGTGCTAATGGGTTATCAACATCATTTATTTATACAAGTTAGAAAAAAGACCCTCTGTCTGTTTAGCCCCTTAGGCCTATTTGCTAAAATGTAACCTCAATACTGCAAAAACCTCCAATTGGCCTAATGAAAAAAAATAGCATAGCCTCCATCATGCAAATTCCTTAATTATTTCGTGAATATGGTCCATGGAGGGGTGACCACTGCCTGAATCCTGCAAAATCCTGCGGCAGTGACTGTCAATATGTTGAGGCTTGGCCAGTGACATCCTGGAGCAGTACGGAGGATTTCAAGCATAATCCAGGCCTATATTTATGCATGGCTGAGCAAAAACAACACAAGGTTCGGCCCAAGACCTTGACAAAGTGCATCCTATGAAATCAGAAATGCACTTTTGCCATGTAACCTCAATCCTCCAAATTCCTCCACATTGGCAAAGAGGATTTTGAAGGATTCAGGGCGGATAGGGTTAAAGATTTACTGTGACTGTATTTATGTAAGCCCTATCCATGCATTCTCAACAACCTTGATAAAGGAGTTATAATGCAGCTCAAACATAATCGGATGACAGTTGATAACATTGTTGGCTTTTTCTTTAGTCCAGTACACACACTGATAGCCATTATGATAAATGATTGAAACCAGTTCATCAGTTATCCCACTTTTTAAGTTATTCCAGACAGCCTTCAGCAGCGCTAATAATACTAGTCCCATAACTCAGCCTGTGACAAATTTAAACTATACATATATCCAACTACAATTTCTCTAGTTAGCTACATTTTTAGACCTCACTTTGTAAAGACATTATTTGAATGTCATTTGAATATTTTTGTACTAAGTACAATGTATATGACTATGTGGAATCACAGAATTTTTCACTACATATTACCGTATCTGGTGCTTTTCCTAGTCGTCCCCCCCCCCCCCCCCCGCTTTTGTAATCCCAAAAATCAGAATTCTTTCCACTACACTGTATACATGTATCTCTTATTCCCCCCTCCCAACATGTGTCCTGTCATTTCCACTCTACTTTTCATGAGTTTATCATTAACTCTTTTCCCTAGTCACCTTGCGTAGCAAAAGTATAATTATTTAAATACAGCCCCAGAGTCAGTAAACAAGGAGGCAGCTAGACTCGCCAAGCGCAGCCAGTGCTCTGCTAGTCGGAGTATTTTGGACTCTACGGATCGCCTTTTTTAACATTTGGACATGGCTGGGCGATAGTAGAGTCCTAGTAGGATCATACAGTACATCGCGTTTACCTATATTTTTGGGGGATCATTTTCACTCGTGCTCCCAATCAAACTCTTCAATGGGCCAATCACACTCTTCAATTGAGCGTCTCTACGGTGACCAATCAAAGTGCCCTGTGATTGGTCCACTGATAGTAGCCACGACACAGTCTAGCCAAGAGCCATGCACAAGTCAATTTCTCCTGAATTCAAAATGCAGCCTCAAACATGGCGAGTGCGACGAGGATGTTTCCCGAATTGGAGGTGAAATTTCTCTTTTCTTTCCAAAGGTATGTAAACCTAAGCACCACCATTTGCAATTTTAATTCCCACTGAAGCCTACAGGGGCTCATCAGGCAGTTTGAGGACTGCTTTGGGGTGAAATCTGAAGATTCTGATTGGGGGTACGAGTGAAAATATCCAAACAAATGATTGATAAACGCGATGCACTATATAATATGATCGTAGGACTCTACTATTGCCCTGTTTGAAACATCATCTTTCATTGAAATTTTTTTTTTTTTCATTTTGCCGACGCACATGGCTACAGCGACGCGCGCTCATACCAGAAACCGGAGACTTTTTTTTTTAGCCTTAGAGTCCTAGTTTAGTTACTCGGACTAGTGCTCTGCAGTGACAAGCATGCTTGTTGCGCATTCTTAAAAGAAATGTACAACATATGCTCTTGCTGCAATTAATTTTCAGTAGTAAATGGATTTGAGGGATTAGAATGATAGGGCCTATAGCAAATATTGTTAAACTGACTTGTTTCACGTCTTGGGCTTGAAGATGCTGGAAAAACCAAGAAAACCAATCATGTTCTTAGAGTCTGGTTCCCTGACCCCACTTAAAAGAAACGGAGCAGTTTGTCAACTTTGTAAGGTCCGAGAATCTGTTCGGCAGGCTTGAACCCCTTCACAGGTGTGTAATCAATTGCAAAGAAAATCTGGAAAAACTAGGTTACGAAAAATTAAGAGCACTTTTTGAAAAAAAGCCAGTTTTCTCCAATGTTGGTCGGCCGACCAGCGTTGCCATTGGAAAAATACCATTTTTCTTGAAAATGTCAGCACACCAGGAGCCACGATTTTACAGGATGCTTTAGACTGTCATCCCCTAACCATCCCGTAAGATATTTCGTGATAATCTGATCATTTCGTTTTTTGATGTTTGCAAATGTTGTAATACTTCTATCTTCCCTTTAACAACATGCGCTCAAAAAGAATGTTGCAACCTGACGCCACTGTTTTCTTCATATATCGTCCGACCCCCTAAAGCCACGCGGTCCTTTTTCGACGCACTCACCTTCGATTTGTGTGTAACAACACGCGCGCTTTGCAAGCGTTATCTGCACAGATAATGGAGGGTGACCGAGGGTCGAAATTGATCATAGCTAAGGTCATTCATTAAAATGTTGCAAAGACAGGAATCTGGGAATGAGAAACATTTCCAATTTTGTTAGGAAATATTTGGAAAAGTTTCTTGACTCTCCATAGACTTGTACACAACTGCTGAAGTGGCGTCAGGATGCAACATTCTTTCCGTGCACTCAATCTGGAAGAATAATTATTCTTATCGAAGACTGCGCAGGGATTCAGTTGCGCAATCATAAGAATGCGCATTCTTATGATTATATGCAAATCACAAGAAAGCGCATGACACCGTCACACAGTCACACACCCACTGATCTCTATATAAAGACTGGATAGCGGACAAAGAGCCGCACAATGAATGAATTTGACGCCATATTGGTGAGACCGGTGAGACCAGCTGGTGATCTACAAAGGATAAGTTGCCATCTTTATAGACAGCATGATTACTTTTGCAACATCGCGGTTCACTTGACTTATATTTTGACCACCTCCACTGACCACGGGTTACAATTTTTCGAACGTCATGGTTTACTGTTTTTTTTAATGCCGCAGTTCACTTTTTCGGCGTTTTGGAAATAAATCACAACGCCTACGGAAATGTGTCCTTTTAAGAACATCATAATACGTGCACGTGACCAAAATGCACATCAACTCTTGATAGACACAGCGCGCTGTATACGCGTAGAACGTTCGTAATCGTATTATACGCGGCCATCTTCGTGAGACCAGGGGCGAATTGGTCAATATGCAAAGTCTACTGTGTGACAATGTATGGATATCCGCTATATAGACTAGTCACTAGAGATCAGTGCTCACACTGGATTAACGTACGACGGCGTGGCGGCGCAGCGCCGACATGATTCGGCTGATGGATGATCCACACGTACACGTACACACCCACTGCTAGCTCTACCGACAAATGACCGAGTGGAGCGTTGAACTACTTGACTACTGTAGTAGTTCAATGCTCCACTCAGTAGAGCTAGCCCACTGCATGCACTGCATGCACTGCATGCACTGCATGCTAGCTGCAGCAACCGAATGAATGAATGAAGGAATGAACCAGCATGACCAGAACATTAACAACCATTAGTATTATAACTCCAGCTGACAATTGACATGCTCCATTATTCATTCACATGTAACATGTGAATGAATATGGAGCATGTCAGCTGGAGTTACTCAAGCTAAAATAAATGGTGTAAATGTGACTTTTGCACAGTGTCTATTTTCACAGAACATAATAAATACCATAACATCACTAATAAATGCAAAATATGCTCTAAAACCTGCAATGACCCACCCCTGGAACGCGAGAAGTTAGACGTAACATTTTTCAGCAACCCTCGATGATTTCGTAAACGTCGTAGAGGCCTACAACCTTGTAACCAGGCGCAGGCCGAGAAAAGCGATACCGCGTCACAGTGAACATGTACATTGTATATGTACGACTGAGAGCGAGATCGTCAAGTGGTCGTGTCCCTAGCTCGGCGACCATATTCTATGCATATGGGAGGAAAAATCTAACACACATGCGACTAAAACCTTATACATTGACCAATGAGATTGCAGATATACATGTTGCTTGCTGCGTGTGGCACATTTGATTGGTTTATTTCGGAGGCTTGGCTATGTAACAGAATAGCTTGTTCCAAAAAATGTAGTCTGTCGGTAGCTAGTGGAAGGGAGCCAGACGAAGCACGTCCTTTATCCAAAATGGCAGCGACGCCGAGTCCCAGTGCGGGTAAATTTGGTTTTGCAAATAGGCCTAGGCCCTATCCATGTTTTTCAAAATAAATTTATAGTTTTGCCATGTTCTCTCTAATGTTTTCAAGCACTATGATATAGGAATTCTGGTAATCCTTACTTTTAGGACACCTCTATTTTTTACAAGTTCTGTTCAAAACTGACTTTTGCAGATGACTGTCCAGTACCAAAGTGACTTTTGCAGGCTAAAGCAGTATTTTTTCTTCATATAAACTCATGTTAGTTGTAGTTTTGAAAGCACTTTCGAAGAAAATGTGACTTTCCTACCTTTTTTCGCAGTCAGACGTGCATGTTGTAGTTCTCACACGCGTGAAAGCCCTACATAATGAAAGCCCGATGGTGATTGGCTGCTAAAAAAATTTATTAGTTTTGTTCCCAGACCAAAAGATTCTGATTACTCCTGAATCTTTTTGTCTGGGAACCAGACTAAAAATAAATAAGATGTTTATTTTTTATCAGCCAATCAGCATCCAGCTTTCATCGCATCGAGCTTTCACATTTGCCATCTTGGTTTTTGAGTCTGTTTTCTGGTTGTCATCGTCGTCTTTTACCCCTGAATTTCCCTCATAAATCAAAGCCCTGCCCTCTTTCCACAAAATTAAACCTGCTGATATTCAAGAAGGTGTCATTGCCAATTGTTCAGATGTGCCAAGAAGTATCAGAATGTCAATTTCGAGTGTCATTTAGTCACTTTTGGTGAGCATGGTGAGTCTTTCCCTTCCTATATAGGAACGGGGTCCTAAAAGTAAGGATTACCGGAATTCTAGTATTTGTTATTTCCTTAGTTATTTACGAAGAAACGCATTTACTCTGTTGAGAGTTGTATTTCTCGTGGTAATTTTGGCCACGAAATCGTCATCCACAACTTCAAGCCCATGATATGGCCTGCGCCTATGGCCTGGGGAATACAGGTCAGCTCGTACGCGAGCCAACTCGTATGCGACCAACTCGTATGCAGGACAACTCGTACACGGACAAACTCGTACGCGGGCCAACTCGTACGCGTGATAACTCGTACGCGGACCTACTCGTACGCGAGCCAACTCGTACGCGTGAGTATAGACCAGACTGAAACCGTTGGTTCGGGCGTGTAGGGAATTAGGGTCGGTCAGTTGTCCGGCACATTCTTTTTTTTCTTAAGTTAAGGGGATAATTTTGTGTTACTGAGTGGTCCCAATTAGTTCAGTTTTAAATCAGCTTTTTTTGCTCATAACAAAAAAGTTATGATTTGTTTTCCCCGTTCAATTTAAATTTGCTTATTTCGGTCCGCGTACGAGTTGCCTGGCGTACGAGTTGGTCCGCGTACGAGTTGTCTTGCGTACGAGTTGGCTGGCGTACGAGTTGTCTCGCGTACGAGTTGACCAATCCGCGTACGAGTTGTCTCGCGTATGAGTTGGTTCGCGTACGAGTTGACCTGTTTCCGGCCTCGGCTGCACTAGCGCAGTGGGCATGGTGGGTGCAGGCTAAGCAAATGTATTGGGGCGAAGTGTCAATTGATCTGTTATTGTACAAATGCTGGAGGCCTTTGAAGAAGGCCTGAAAAGAATGTAGCCCATAAATGTGGCCAATTTACTGGACTACCTCCGTCATGTCCGTAAATACAGTCTCAGATTCTTCCTATAACAGTTATTTAATCTTTTTTATTTCTTCCTAACTACTCAGGCAGTCAGGGCCTATAATTTAATTTTTAAAGTGCTTTTTTTTTATTTATATTGAACACTAGTTTTAAAGTTTTTCATTGTACATGTTGTAATGCCATTTCAATTCAGCTTTTGGGCTGCGATAGTGGCTTAATAATAATAATAAAATAAGGTAGTGTATATTTTGCCGGAGGTAACGCCGGCAAACTAACGTTTACTAAAGGTTTGCCGGCGGCAATCCATATCAACAGAGGGCGCTGTACTCTTTAAGATAGGGCTGAATTATAACATGTATTAAATTCCCACCAAAGTTGTGTAGCACAGTCGGTGCAGTGGTTAAGCTATTGCTCTAGTGAGTGGGATGTCCCGAGTTCGAATCCTGACCCCCGCCACAATTTTTAGGTTTTTTTTTCCAATCCCCAAATAAATAAGAATATTCTTCTTTTATTATTTTAATATGTCTCAAACATTTTATTGCAGAGTATTACTTTTTCTTTTTCAGATTTGTGGCTCTGGAGGATTTTTTTTAAAGGGAAATAAAGTCCGAAATTATAAAATGGTCTGATTCCCATCTTGTTAATACAAAAATACAACGATAATATTGGCATGGAGCCAGACTAAAATTTGTCACCGGAAAATGTTTAAGTACAAAAAAACAGTAACTGCGCATGTTCAGTGCATATCGGGCAAACTAACGTTTACTAAAGGTTTGCCGTCTCCGGCAAAATATCCACTGCCATAAAATAAAGGCCAAGTTGTAACATGTACCCGAAAATGTAGATGTTTATTTGTTACTTGATCGAGCAAACCTGGAAATGCGAGACGTCTGAGAAATGCCGAAATGTTTTTTCTATCAGTATCGCTATAGTAGGCCTTGGCCTAAGTATAATGAGGGATGTCAGCTGCTATGAGAAATTTCCTGCCACATTTCAATTCAAAAACTAAACCATTTTTAAGGGTTAAACATGAGAAATAAAGTGGAAAACAAGTTACTGATGATAGTATGAAAGTTTATACTTTAATCTACACAGTTGTGCATTTTTTTTTCATTTTTCATTATTAAACATTATACAACACCTGAATAAATCCCCGTCATCTGATTGGTGAATTGTAGATCATGTGACATATTATTATTCGTTATAATGCACGGTGCGACCATGCGTTATACCCATGCGTTATACCGTTTCACTTTGCGCTTGTTCCATGACGCGGTATTTGCGTGCAAAATGCATGCTGGTGTGCGCGTTCAGCGTAGCGCGTATTGTTCCAAAGAGCCAGCGCTACAGCGTTGGGTTCAAACATTTTCGTGAAGGGGAAGTTCAACATCTTTAAAATCAAAACAAATTGTAGTTTATAATTTACCAATCAAATGACGAGAATTTATTCAGGTGTTGTATAAAACAAATAACGAATGTTTTACGTTCGTGCTATGGAAAGAATAATTTCATTCGGTGACAGATTGAATGTTCTATTCCACTCGGCTTCGCCTCGTGGAATAGAACATTCAATCTGTCACCTCATGAAATTATTCTTACCATCGCACTCACAAACATTCGTTATTTGTATAATAACAAATGGTTCTAACATGTCTAATAAACTATCAAAAGTGACTTTTGGAATTTGCGCCATGGGGAGTTCTTAAAAAAATCAAACAACACAGTGCTCAATGGCAGATGCAAATCGCGCAACACATTTTCAAATGGAGGGGAGCAGTTGTTCCTCTTACCGTATGCCAACAAGTAACCCCTCATTCTAAAGAGGTTGAATACAGCTTTCTTTTCGTGTGACCGAAAAAGAACAGGCATACTGCCATTTTAACTTTAACTGCGAAAAAAATTGTAAATGTTGAGTAGGTCTCAAACTATTGAATATTGTGAATGTCATGCTGTATATTTTTGAAGTTCCTTTATGGAATTCACATCTTTAGGCCTATAACGGTTACGTCTCAATAGTCTGAAGTATCATTGGTCCGAAGTCCCATTGGTCATGTTGGCCCGACGTCCCATTGGTCCGATGTCCCATTGGTCAAACGTCCCATTGGTCCGACGAAACATAATACTGTGTAGTTCCACTGGTTCAGGTTGACTGACCCTAACGCTAACCCTAACCCTAATCCTATGGGGCGTCGGACCAATGGGACTTCAGACCAATGTAACTTCGGACCAATGGGACGTCAGACCATGGGAATTTCGGACTTATGAGGCATCAGACTTGTGAGTTGTCGGACGTATGTTATGAGGCATCACATTTATTTATTTAGCCTCATGGCTCCGACGCCTCATAAGTCCCAAAACAGTATTTGTTCATTGTTGGACTTATGAGGCATCGGACTTATGAGGCGTCGGTCCTTTGAGGCGGATTTATGCCTCATAGGTCCGACGCCTCATGTATGTATGAGGCGTCAGACCTATGAGGCGTCGGACTTATGATACGGCCCCTGCAGGAAGATAGTTACCTTTCCAATAATAACTTGTCCTTAACTTGGACCCAACATATCACCTTTTTTAACATTTGGACATGATCTGGCTACTACTAGTAAAGTAGTACTAGTACCATCACCAGATCCTGTCTAAATGATTTTAGAAAAATGCGATGAGTTGGATCCCAGTTACTCAGAATAACTAGGGAAAAGTAAAAAGTAAATCAAAAGTAGATGTTGGATCACTATAGGAGAAATAAACGAAATCTACTTCAATAAAAAGTGTGATTGTTTTTAAAACATGTCATAGGCCGAGTAAAGAAACCGATGAAAAGATAAAAAATAAAATAAAACAATTCTCACAGTGTGGATTCGATCCTGGAGCCTTTGGCACGCTGGTCCAACGTTTCACCAATTAAGCAACCAAAGCGCTCAGATAGAGTGGGTAGTTAGCAGTAGGCGGTATAAATGTTATATGATTTACAATGGTGTTTTTGAAATGTCATGATAGCAGTCGAAAATCGCATTAAGGCTGCCGCAACGATTGCAACTACATTTAAACTTTGTAACCTCTCAAATTTCGGCAAACAAATTAGACCTGTTGTTGTCTCGCCTGGACTTTGTTCAGGAAAGAGACTATGCAATCACCATGTCTGTACGTATGTGTCTTTTGGTTGAAGTTTTGCAAAATTGGTCTCATTTCAAAAGGTGAAGTCCAATTGGAGCCGAACTTGAATCATAGATGTAACATGGGAACCTGCATAAGATAACGATGTCAAAGGTCACATACCAAGGCCAAAGGTCATCTGAGGTCAATTGTAAAATAGGCTTACCATGTAAAATTGGTTGCATTTCAAAAGTTAAAGCCCAATTGGAACCAAACTTGGGTCATATATGTAACATGGCAATGAAGTCAGTTCAGTTCGTTTATGTCCACTAATTCATTTCATAGGAAATAACAGTACATGTAATTATGAAACTTATTGAACAATAAGTGGAAGAGGTCTCCAAAAAGCAGAGCTTTCAAATGGTCGTGATGTCGAAGGTCACACACCAAGGCCAAAGGTCACACTTTACAGACAATCACGAAAGCAGGCGAGATGCATGGTTCGAGAACCATCTTGTTGTATAAGTGTCTCTGAAGAAGGCCTAGCTGAGGCTGAAATATCAGGATATAAAATGGTTTGTATTTGTCTATTGCAGTCATTTAGCAGTTGGATTCATGTTCAATGTGTATTTATAAATAGATAGGTGATAGGGCTGTCCATTTTCGAACAATTTAGTATTTGATTGTTCGAAACATTTGTATTCTATTGATGATGGAATATTCGGTATATTTGAGACAGCCCTAGCACTAGCAGGTGCCTTAAAGGGCTCCTTCCATGTACAATGTAAAGGAGTCAAGATACAGATACAGTGCGTGACCGTTAACATTGTACAAATTCTTTGTGGACGTTTTCTTCGTAATTCTGGAGAATGACAAATTCTGTGCAAATTGTAATTTGCCTCATACACGTGTACATGTATGTACTTACATGTATTAATGAAATTTCAGCTCAAAATGTAGCAGATGCAAAAGTAAAGGTTAGATTTACATGGTTTGATTACAACACCCCACTGACTGGTCTAGCTATGCATAGGCAAGCCCATGGTTAAAGTAAGGGCAAGTTAGGACATTTTGAGCAAGAATCAGCTTTTTTGATATTTTGGTATGATGTGCGGTCATTTTTCTGAAAATAATCTTAAAGAGATATTGGGAAATTTTGCTTATTGATCATTATGTGTGTTTTGTTACAGACATTGAAAGAACTCTTCTGAGCTTTGAGAGGTTAGACAGAGCGTCACCAGAATTATGGCCAGAGCAGAGTAAGTTGGGAAATACTGGGAATTATAGTGACGTCAGTTTTTATCGGTTGCTATGCGTTGCTATTCAGCACTCCAGACTCGAGAACCATTGACTTTCAAGACGCCCACCTGTAACTTTCTTGTACATTAAATGTTTTTAAATTGTGCAGGTACTGCAAAGATTGGCTTCATTCACAAAGTGTACAATGTTGGGAATCAGTGTTTTGCCTTAATAGTTAAACCAATGTTTGGCCTTTGTCTTAATATGGTCTAGGTCTTCTGTACTCAACTAATTCTGTTTCTTTGCAGTTCCTGGTGTATCTGATTTTGCTCCTATGAAGAGTGTAAGTACAATTAATGTTAAACAAATTTGTGTAATTATTCAGAGGACTGTAACAAATGACATGTCTCAATTATCTCCAGATTTACTACTTTAGGGGGATCCAATGTCACTTTCTTAGTTCTTGTAAAATGTAGTGTAAATTCAGTGACTGGACCCTTTTTCTGAAATCGCACCGAATTTAAAAAAGTATCCAGGTTTAATGTTCTTTTAGTGATAGACAGATCCAGTAAGCCCCACTCACTGTGCACATGGGGAACAACCCGCGTGCCTCTCCAGTGCCACACTGCATTAAAGGCAGGTGCACGCTTGTCTGACATGAATGGGGCTGGATGGATCGGTCTGTTGAAATGAATGAAACATTGAGTTCAGTGTTGCATTTTGCAGCATGTTTTGCATTTAACATGTTCCTATGTGGTAATCCATATGCTAGTGTTTTTCAAATATCTTGAAATGGGTAAATTTGTAGTATTAAGACTTAATGCCTTTGGAATGTTGCATAGTTTGGCTTTCTCTTTTAAAATACAGCAATAGCTTCATGTTTTTATTGTCACCATCATTCCAAGCAGTAAGTGTGCAGGCATATTTAGTCAGATGCCCAGTTTGAATGCTGTATCATGTCATCTTTCAGCCACTGGGTAACACACAGGATACAGAATCACAGCCCTGGGAAGCAGACTTGGAACAGAATGACATAGATATGCTCAATGGTAGGACAATTTCTTATATCTGATACAATATAATTGACAGTACTCCCCCATTGTAACAGTACTGCCTGCTATAGCAGTATAATACAGACCAGTCTATAGATCCTTTCCCGTAAAGCCATTTGTGAGGTGTGTGCATTTGTTCCAAAAGGATAACCGTGTTTTAACTTTTTGTGCATTCATTCTTGCTGAATTAAAATAAAAAGAAAATGTACAGATGGCTACTGAATCCAAACGATGTATAGTATGTCTTGTTATACACACAGTGGTCCACCTAGACAGGTTAAAGTCTACAGGTAAATAGGTGGACCATTGTGCCTTGATGGGAACCAGTGCTGGTTGGAAGAGAGTAATACACTGGAAATGTCTTAACACATAGACTAATGTCTACAAAACATGTATGTGTTGGGGAAATACCATGTTGACTTTACAAAAAAACATAAACAGAATGTCACCAAGGCTTCTAAAGAAATGCTTTCCTACTTACCTTCAGGAAATTTGCCAACAAGATAATAATAATAATAATGAAAATAATGTAGTGCTTGTATCATGCCTTATGCCAAAGGTGTCAAAGTGCTTTACAATTATTATCCCTGTTCATAAGAAATGAGAACATTCCTCTGCAGCAGCTCGAGATCAGCACAATTTGGTCTCTACCTTCCCAGGTACCCATTTATACTCCTTGGTGAAGATAAGCAATCATAGTAAAGTGCCTTGCCCAAGAACACAAGTTTATAAGTACCATGTTCCCTGTTAGGGTTTGAACCCATGTATCAAGGCACACGAGTCCAACACCGTAACCATTGGACCACAGCATAACTATTGGACTACAACGCCCTAAAGAGCCCCAGATAGTAATTTAACATCAGCATTCAGTGAAGTGCTGCATCATCATGCAGTATGGTGATAACTTTCAAACTTGCCTTTTGATTTTGTACAGAGCTAGGTAGCCTGACAACAGCTAACCTGATGGAGAAAGTCAAAGGATTACAGAATTTGGCATACCAACTGGGCTTGGAAGAGTGTAAGTGCCTTAATTCTCTCCTCCCCCCCCCAAAAAAAAAATGCTCTGCTGTTTTCTGTTGTCTGTTGATCTTTTATTTGTTATACCACAAGAAAGCTGCAAATTGTGTTTCAATGCATGTAGTCCGAATAATGCAGCATTAAAATGTTATGACATACATTTAATTTAAAGACATGTAAGAACATTGCTGATTAATCAGAAATACCTTGTTTAAAAAGAAGATAGCTAGGAATGGTAGCCAATGTCAGGTCAACTTTTTCCACTTGAAATTGTATCGTTTGGAAGAAAACTATTGTTTTCTTCAAAACGATACAATTTCAAGTGGAAAAAGTTGACCTGACATTGGCTACCATTCCTAGCTATCTTATTATTATTATTGAAGGCATTTTTCAAAAGTGCCCATTTTTTTATGTTCACTAGCAATAGAATAAAATTACGAGACCAAACAAATTGTGCAAATGTTTTCTATTTTCTCTGTAGCCACTGAGTGAAAACTTCAACAGCTTAGTTGTCATGCACCCTATTTAAGAGTTGGAGCAATTTTCAATTGGAAAAAATGTACAAGAAGCAACTGTCCAACATATCTTTAACGATAATAGTACAGTATAAAGGTTTTGGTTGCAAGTGGTAGGAGTATGTGGTTAAAGTTAAGATCTTGATGTGGTAAAAGTGTGCCCTTTACCTACAGGATTCAAAATCTGTGCCCTTTTGTCATATGCATCATGCAAATGTTCCTTATTAGTAATAATGTTATAGAGTATAGATGATGGATAGCTCACAAATTCAGTGATGAGATACAAATTTACTGCCAGGATTCTTAAGTTGGTGTTGGTTATTGTCTTCATTTTGTCCACAGCTCGGGAGATGACAAGGGGGAAGTTTCTCAACATTCTGGTCAACGGAACAAAACGAAAGTGACCTCCAACTTGACCTCTGAACACTAACAAGTCTTCCTCTAGGGAACCATTATGGACACTTCGTAACATGGTGTATGGAAGTCCATTTATTTGATGTATTCTATGAACAATCACAGCAACTTGTTTAAGAGTATAATTTCTTTTACCATTACTTTCTTGATATGTTCACCCAAGGACCATCACACATCTGCCAAAATTAAACCTGTGAATTACCGTTACTACTGGTAGTTGGCACAAATTGGTTCAAATAAGGACCTCAAGCCCTGTGTTAGGTATGTAACAGTACTGAAACCATCAAAAACGGTTGGAAATTTGCAGGAGTAAGGGAAATTAATTTTAAAAGAATTTGTAAACCACATCAAATAAATGCTACATACTACACTTCGTATAAAATTATTAGACAAAATACAGGATTTTAAAAATAAGTATCATCTCCATTTGGCAAGTAATTTCTCTTTTTTTATAAGAAATTGCTCCTGAATTAGTCTGATGGAGTGTTGATCTAAGTGTATAAGATCATGCAGCATTAAGAGTGTTCAATAAGCAGAGAAAAGACTTATGACCATGCTGATATGTCTCCATGTCTTCTTCGTAATAAAAAGTAATTACAACATTCGGAGTTCCATCTGATTTCAATCAATAATTGTTTTAAATTAGTGGAAGTTTTGCTTGTGTACGCCATTGTCTCATGTAACATGGCTTACAGATAAAGGAGTAGCAAGCATGCAACTTTTTCTCGGATCCACCGATTTCCTTGTGTTTTCTGCTTCTCATGAATGCCATTACAAATTAAAAAAACCAAAGTCTTGTGTGGTTTCGGAGTTTCCTCGTGTTTCCTAAATTCCCAGTTGCATGTCTGGGGTAGCGTATCACAAAGATCAAGGTCATGTCCTAAGCTGTTTTAATATAGGTTTTCCCGGCTATTTTAAAACATTTTTCGTTCAAATTCACCGATTCTTATATTCAATTTCATCCAGCAACATCGATTTGGGGCACTTTCAATGTTTAATTGCGTCTTTTGTCAGACAATTTCAAATTTAGTCCAAACAAATTCAAACAATGAGCACACGTTTTCGACCCAGTGTATTCGATTTCGTCTCGTCTATGCTGAATTGTGTTATTCAGAAATCTAATTCATCTAATTGATTTATATAAGACGAATTTGATCTCTGAATGCTGCCATTCGGCAACAGCTTAGACGGATTTGATCTGTAATGACGAATATTCTCGACCCGGTGACTAGACTTTAAATTTGAATGGTAAATGACTAAGCTGGTTTTGTTAAAAGCATGTGAAATTTTTTTCGCACGAAATTGAAGGCTACAGTTGGTGAATCTGAATAAAAAATGTTTTTAAATAGCCGGGAAAACCTATATATGGACTTCACAAATTTGAATATAACCTTCTTCATCGCATTTTTAAGTTACAGTTCATCTATGACCTTTTTACTTGTATGGAATTTGTTCTAAAACTTTCCTTCATGTGGGCATTTTGTAAATAAACAAGTTCTCTTTGTAAAGTGAAGGTCTGGATTTCAAGACGTGTCATTCCTGAAAGACTCAAAAATTATTTTCGGTACTCGGTGGTCTGTCCTCAGTGAATGAAATTGGATAAAAAATTGCAATCAAAAAGGTTAACAGGCAGAATAATTTTGAGCTTAAAAAAAAATGTTGAGTACACAGTTTTGAACATGGTAAGTGATTTAGTATACAACTAATGTCCAACTGTGAATGCCAAACTGAGTACTTCCTTTGATTCCTTGTCAACAGTGATGTGACTTTGGTTTTTCAGATGAAGCCAATTTCTGTTTTGATGTGCAACAGTGCAGTGCAATAATTGGCAATTTCACTCTTTGATAAAGTCCATTGTTATATCGTGTGCTTGGATAATAATTTCATTGGTCTAGGACAGCTCATGTCTGGACAATAAAAATTCATGTCGCACACCAAGGGCGATATCGCACCACGCTCATTACGCATGTGTGAAACCTGCCGCTTGTGAAACGTCACATGCTCAGTCTCATATTGATTGGCTCAGTCTCATGCCCAGCAGGACATCAAACCTTCAGTTATCAAAGGTGGGTGCATACTTGTTCCCTAACCCTAACCCTAATGGATTTTGGGGAACATCAAGTAGACTCCATCAAAGGTTACATTGCAGTGTTTTAATTGATTTATCGCACAGTAAGTTACCAGTACAGCCATTTATCATTGTGAGTTATTGCCATAATATACTGTAACAAAACAATTGTTGACTGCTGTGATTTGTGATATGCTGTTTTTAACCCCCTCGGCCTGACGCATAGCACCCGAGGCGAATGTGCCCCTGGGGTGTTAGAACCGTCATATCGCACATCACAGCAGTCAACAATTGTTAAATATTAAACCACTAATAAATAAATTGAATAAAAGCACTTCAACACCAAAACTGTTGAGTCACACAGGGAACTGTTAAAGAGGTTGTGGAATGCTCGAAGACATTTCCGTCATTTTGGGGGTAAATTTAGCCTAAGGTGTGATGAAATAAAAACAACTATTGTTTCGGTCATAAAATGAGTACAAAAGGTACTTTTGAGAGCTGTTTTTCAAGTCCTGTCATGCCTGTTTTGACCCGAACGTGCAATTTGTGTAAAAGTCGTCGTTGCGGGCATCAAACAAAACACAGTAAATCGTGACGTAATAAACAGGACTCCCGACGCAGAGTAGCATAAACGAGTCCTGTTTATTACGTCACGATTTACTGTGTTTTGTTTGCTGCCCGCAACGACGACTTTTACACAAATTGCACGTTCGGGTCGAAACAGGACCTGAAAAATAGCTCTCAAAAGTAACCTTTGTACTCATTTCATGACAGGAACAATAGTCGTTTTTATTTCATCACACCTTAGGCTACATATACCCGAAATATGACGGAAATGTCTTCGAGCATTCCACAACCTCTTTAAAGTTTAATTGTACCAAGTACTTTATGAAACCATCTCTTAAATTCAGAATTCTCTAAAGGACCCTCCACTCAAGACTTTGATAAGATTCATTCCAAGGTGAAATTCTTGAGGCACAACGTAGCTTTGCTGCTACAGTTATGAAACTATAAATCTTTGACATTTTTTTAATACGATTAAAGAAATTAAGAAAATATACAATATAAGGGCCACTATACAAAACTTTGATTACTTATCATTAAATTCTGAATTGTAAACTTGTGCAATGATTATTATGATATTTAGTCCCGATGTGGAATCATTTTGAAGAAAATAACTGATAAAACTGTAAATCAAATTCCAACTTCAGGTCATAAGTTATGGTAGATACAATAAAATAAACTGGTATACATCCTGAGTAGCCCACTGTACATGTATTAGGCTTACATTTATGAAGTAAACTTGAGGAAAGAATACCGTTAAACAATATTGTCTGTAGAAACGGCTAAAGTATACCACACAGCAAAAGACAAACCAACCAATGTGCATTAAAAGTTTATAGAAAAATAAAAATAATAATACACAGCTCTAAAACAATGATGAAGTTGTACATAATGATTTTGGAATATTCCTGTTTAAGTAATTTCTAGAAACTTGGGGGACAAAAAAATCCTTCCTTGTTTTTCAATGTAACATCATAGGAAAAAAAGAAATAGTTTACCTGCCCGAATGGGCACAAAAACTGAATTTTGTACAAGGCTTTGGAGAATAGGACATACAAGGTACCGGTACATCTACATGTATGTGTTATTCTGCCGATGATGTCACATAATGAAGGGGTCTTATTTTGTGGGCAGGGGCTCAAGGGAAGAATTTGTTGTCTCAAAGTCTCGATAAATAACTAATACATGAAAAATACTCTGAAATCTGTATTTCTCATGTATTATTAATTGTTTGGGAACCATTTGTATAGTTTTCCTCTTTTAATTTCTATCATGTGTTCAACTAAAGCAACAATTTCCAATAATTAACAATTAAGTACTTTTAATATGTATATATATATAGGCCTATATACATGTATATATACACACACTTAGATTTATCAATTCTTTTTCTGTACGTATCTTGAATACCCTCCTAATAATAAATGGAGTGTCATGGCCTAGCAGTTAAGAGCACCGGACTCATGTTCTGGTGTTTCAGAGGCAACAATGACGTGGGTTCGAGCCCACCGGCGGACACTTGTGCTCTTAAGCAAGGCACTTAACAATTATTGCTTCGTCCTTCGGATGGGACGTAAAGCCGTAAGTCCCGTGTGTTGTATAATGCACGTAAAAGAACCCAGTAAACACTTATCGCTAAGAGAAGGGGTTTGCCCCGGTGAGTGGAGTGCCATCGCCTCGTGGTTAAGGGCACAGGATTTGTGGTCTGTGGGTAAAGCTGCGGTTGTGGGTTCGAGTCCAGCCGCGGTCATGGTGCGTGTGCCCTTGAGCAAGGCACTCTGTCACTCATTGCTTCTCTCCACCCAGGAGTAAATGGGTACCTGTGAGGGCAGAGATGGTTATTGTGATTGAATAAGCTTGCTTGCGCCTAACAGGCAGCATCGAGCAGTATACTCCCCAGGGCACTGAGATGGTATTTGGAATGATTAATTGGCCCATTGATAAGGGTAATAATAATACTGTAAGTGCTGTGATTTAGTTTACTATTAAGAGCGTTCTTAAATGCCGATCATTATTATTATTATTCTGGCCTCCTGTATAAACTCCCACGTGGAGTATTTAGGAGAAGAATCAACCAAGAACCAAGACCATAAATATATTGAGAGAATAACCAACACCCAATGTAATTGTACAATAATCCCAGTGGAAAGACTGTCCAATACTATTACTATACCTCCTACGAAAAATTCCCTAATATTTTGTTCTTTTCACGGATTACTGATGGTTACAAAAATACAGTTTCTGATACGTACTACAGAATATACACAGTTGATTTTAAGTTACAAGTGACACTTCACAAAATATTTCCATTTTCAGTTTATTACAAATAAATACTTTACAAATTATGATAAAGTATTACTAGCATCTTATGCTCAATGAAATTGATATCTGATACATTTTGTTCCCAGAGACAATTCATATTTCAATTTTAAATGATTGTCTGATCTAGTGTTTCACCACTCGTTAAAACTTCTTTCCTCCAAAAAAATCGTAAAGATAAACTCTTTGTTTTTTTAAAAATTGGCGCTTTTTTTACTTCAGATACTAAAAAAAATACATATTCATAACCAAACCATTTGAATCAATCTATGTCCACAAGTGTTGCTCTGTTGTGCATACATGTGTGCTCAAAAAAATGTTACGTTACATGCTTCATGAAATTACTGCATAATTACTCAAGATATATTCAGACCATGTAGATACAACTCTTTCATTTGTCTGTACCTTTTTGCTTGCTTTGCATGAAGCCTGACTTTGTCAACACTAAATTGAGGGTATCATTGTATTTCATTGTTTTTTGTTGTTGTTTACAATATCTGGCAATAGTCGGCAATAGTGTACCTTCAGAGTTCAGAATTTAAGTGTAATGATTGGATGGGATAATTGATCAATGCTCATCTTTAAGTGGTATGGGTAAAGCAAACTTCAATATCTTTTTTCTAATTTAAATCTTCCATCCTCATCCCTTGCAAAGCCAAATACGGAAGGAATCATACCGTTGATGAAATGCCACACCTGGCCCATCTATTAGTCTCAGCCCAATGTGCACATGAGCAACAAAGGCTGCGTCTCTCCAACTGCAAAGCAAACTGCATATTTTAGCCATGTACGTCAAGTACATGAATGTCAATCTCTTCTTGGACATTAAGAATGTCTGAACATCATAGGGCAGAACTTAATGGATGTGTTGATTGTTTTTGGACACTAAGCATGTTCAGACTGGAACATGCCCACCCTGGCTGAAAACGTTTAGACAATTTTCAGGAAGAGTACTGAGATAACAGAACCTACAGCCAATCCAGCGGCAAGGAAAAGAGACATCATGACACCGGCAGTCTCACTGTGTTTGACATCTACAAACCTGCAATGGCAGACAAAGAAAGAAGCACGGCAATTAAGAAGGATCCGAGGCTTTCCCATGGTGGATAAGAAAGCGAATGGACTTATACTCACTTGGTGACTAAGACAGATATAGGTAGAACTCAAATTCATTGCAGCTGTACACTCGCTGTCTCATTAGAAAAAAATACCCACAAGGCAGATCACACAAGAGATCTACAACTATTTCCTTTTGAAAACCTGTAAAAATATATGGTGTGCAGTATTCTGGCCATTTAGTTTGGACAAAAACATATCACATAACAATAAAGCAAGAGTACTTACTTTGGTCCATAAATCATAAGCAAGCTGCCTAGATAACCATTGGATAATCCAAAGAGGACATTGAAGACAATGAAATAAGCATCATTATTGAAGAAGACGGTGGTTGGATGGTCTGTAATATGGAGGTTACAGAAGGCAAACAGTGGGAAGAAGACTAGGCGGAGTAGGACCAGTAAACTGATGAGTGGCATGTGGTTTGGTTTGGGCTGTAGAGATGCAAAGCAAAAAAAGAGAAAAATCTATCAAACAGAAATCTTAAACATTACCTCCATGTCATTTAAGCGACGCCTACAGTTACATAGATGACCTCAAACCCCTGGAGTGGATTAATATGTTCAACAAAAGTGTCAATTTGTTGATTTGGTTAAATCGTCGCAGAGCTGACAAACCGACGAATAAGCGAAAACCTTGTTTGGAGTAATTCGCGTTTGAAGTTGGACACTTCTCTGGGTGCCGTATTTTACCCTTAATGTTTCGATAAACAAACTTTTAGTATATATTCTGAATAAAATATGAAACTAAGTATCCACCAGGTCACTTATTTAATCAGAGAAGTTGTGCGATATGATTTTATTTGATCGTAAACGCATTCGTCAGTTTGTCAAATTACATTAATCTGCAATATCCGGTTGTTCTTCACACTGTTTGTATGCTATTCGTCAGTTTGTCGGATCGCGCGTGCACGCACGCGCAATCCGACAAACTGACGAATAACATTCGTTGGTACTTTGAACGCACACCTTACATAAGCTGGTTACCAGCGAAATGTTTGTATGCTATTCGTCAGTTTGTCGGATTGCGCGCGCACGGCGCGCCAATCCGACAAACTGACGAATGACATTCGTTGGTACTTGGAACGCACACCTTACATAAGCTGGTTACCAGCGAAATTTCGTATTCGTCACTATGTCAAATTATGGATTTGTTTTTGTGAGTGATTCGCCACAAGGGGGGCTCTGAATCTCAAAATCCAGACAAATATTAAGAATTTTGGCATAAATACTTGAAAGAGCAACCTTCATAAAGCCTAAAAATAACAAAAAATTGAAATCGCCAAAATGGTCGATTCGCCGGTTTGTCAGCTCTGCGACAAAATGTGAACTTGGGCTATCCCTTCAGGAACTCACCCATTGGATTCCTGCCAGTGTCCTCCCAGTGAAATCCATCGTGTTGAAGACCAGGAAACAGGCTACAGGACTGAAATATTCTGTTCAAACAAATGGTAATACAGTGAAGATCACAGAGTTCTGAACTAAGTTCAATGTTTGAAACAATAAGAAGCAGCTAAACTGACAAACTGGCACTCTCAATTTTGTGTATGAAGATTCTGGGGAATTTGGTAAAATTTAGGACTTGGCCCACACTCATCAGGTACATTGAGTTTTCATTTTATTTACTAATTAGATGCTCTTCCTAACAGTGCATAATAAGATCGTGTCTGACATGGGCAGCCAGAGCTATGGCTACGTCCATTGTCAGTATATATGTTGTCACATTATTGTTATTGTCAAAGACAAGACAAAAACTCCTTTTCAATGCAAAAGTTAGACGATTGTTTTTTCCTAACTCCCTTTGGCAGAGTAGGGACTTTTGTCTCGGATATTGACCAAATTGTGCTGGGCTTTGTATTCTATCCAAGGTCAATTGAAACAAAGCAAGTAAATGTGTATACTAAAACAAAACAACAGAAGACACAATGGAACTTGTTTTGCATTTCAATGGTTGGGAAGTACAAGTACATTGTACATGCTTGCAGTTGGTTGTTGGAAGGTATAGTGATACTTACTAGCCCAGTTTTTATTGTCTGCATTCATAGCAGCACCGTAGGCCAAAGTTCCAGGAAACAATCCTAATGTGACTGCAAATACAAGAAGGACCATGATGGCAGGCACTTTGATCTGAAAATGGAGAAAAAAAATCAATCTTCTTTGGATTAAAAAAAACCAGCCACATTAATCACCAAAAAGTGGGCAACTCTATCAACCACCCGAGGGTGAAATTCTGGTCACACACTACACATTTACAGCACATTAATTATTGTATTTGAACAAATTTTGTATTCTAGGTGCATTCTAAGTGCATGTTACATCTCCAAATTGATTGTGCTGGGTAATTTCTATCTCAGCAGTTTTGTGTCTTACCGGTATGTCATCTTCTATGCTACCAGTCTTAACAACAATCCATTATGTGTGGCAAATTGCTGGCAATAAGCAAAATCCTGAAAACAAACAATCTAGAATAAAAATGGCTCTTACCTTCCAAAAGATCAGTCCAAATGGTGGTCTCTCGTGACGTGCTACCTTCTCAAAACTCTCTGTGCTTTCCAACTCACGAGATTTAATTTTGGTCATTTCAGCTACAGAGAATACAAAAACCCAGTATTAACAAAATTGTAATGTTTGCAGGAATCTTCCTGACAATATAAAGTTTGCTACCCAGAGGATTTCTGAATCCATAAAAATCCTACAAAACCTGAAAGTGGATTTAAGTGGATTCAGCGTTCAGGAATTCCACAGTCGAACCAAACCAATTTGTTCCAAAGTTTTGATTAAAATTTGATGTAAGAGCAAAAATTAAGACTACATGACAAAGTTGAGTTGAGTCAATGAAAAATTAATACATAAAGTTTGCCCGTTTGAAGCTAAATTTATTAATTTGGGTTCACTTGGGTTGCACCTCTAACTCTTTGGTTGGGCCCAACTCTAAAACACCAGTCTAAAATGAGTGTGAATTTTCAGGGCACATACCATATTTATTGAGGAAGTAGGATGCATATTTGTTCCTGGGAAGCATCAGGAAAGCTAGGATGGTTATCAGGATGCAAACCACTGAGAATAAGAAGTAGATGAATCCGCTGCTGTCTTCATCGCTGGTTGCTGTCAATAAACATCAAAAAGGAAAAGGTGAATCATAAAAGAACCCAAAGCATGGGTGTCAGTACCGTAGTGACATAAAGACAAGTAGACTTTGTCCTTGAGAAAGGCGGAGTCCCAACTACAAAGCAACAGCCGCCATTAATACATGTGCTTACAGACGCAACTACATTTTCGTTTTCGAGAATATCTCAAAATGCAGTATTTTGGGTCTCCCATAGAATGCAGTTTTTAAAGAAAGTGTACCGCACATGTTTTGAATAAATAATATGTTTATTTCATAATCCTTATTTTCACCTTCTAGGGTGCATTTCATTTCAGTATGGGCTTATTGCAATAAGGTCGTCTGCTCTAAGTAGCTGCTTAAAGGGACTCCGTCAAAATGCAGTAATAATGCTTTCCTATAAAACGCCGTTTATGAAAGAAAGTGTACAGCTCTTTTTTAAATTCATATCCTAATTTTCAGCCCTTAGGGGGCACTTCATTTCAGTATGGGCTGATTAAAATGAGGTTTTTAGCTCTTATTAGCGGCTTAAAGGGGACCGTTTTCGATATTATCTCGAAATGCAGTAGGCCTTTTGTGGAATTCCTATAAAACGCCGGTTTTGAAGGAAAGTATATCGCACTTTTTGAATGAATCCCAGTCTGTATAAGCCTATCCGTCGCGCAGTCCTAGCCTAGTGCATTTTTGTACTCCGTTTATTTTAAGGATTACAACTCCACACACACAAAATTACATAAACTAAAGGTGAAGTAGTAACGGTTATCTCTTTTTAGTCATCATTATAATGTTGCAGCGCCGTTAGTTTGTTTTGAAAGCTGACGGAAAGCGCGCTAAACAGCAGATCCCTGGTTCCCTCATAGGCCATTCAATTATTAAGACGAGTGTGTGCGTAACCAATGAATAACTGGTTATTTGTCACTTCGTCAGATACTGGATGCGCGCTGTTCTGATATGACCAAGAGTCGAATAATTTATTCGTCAGTTCGCAAGACAAAGTTTTTTCAACATGTGCCGATTCCTCACTTAGTGGGTTCTGGAACTACAAAAATGAAGTGTTTTTATGAATTAAAAACCTACAAATCTGAAAATTCAAATATTTTTAACCCTAAAACTCAATTAATAAAAAAAACACCAAAATGGCCAATTCGTCACTTTGTCAGATATGAGACGAAATATATCTTTAACAAAAAATCTGGTTAACGATATGACCATTCTTTAAATTGAAGACTTTTTCCAGAAGCACCTGCATATTGACAAGGGGGTCAAACAAATCTGTAACACTTATTTGCAGAGTAGCATTCCAGAGTTGCACCAAACTGAATAGTATTAGGAGCAACTCAAGTCAACCCAAAGAAATGTTGGTATCAGACAGGCGATGTACATGCATAAATATTCCACTGACTGCACCCAGGAATCGTTCTGAATGACTGCAACAGCGTGTTTTTTAATGTGCGGTCACTTCTTATTGTTGCAACGTGTGTTCAAACATTTAATCTCATTCATATCTCAGGAATTATCTAATTTGAAATGCTGGTCTGAAATAGGTTTGAATACTAAGTTTGACAATGTGTTGTGCATCTTACCAGCAGTAGAGATAATGCTAATAATCGATGGTAGAATTCCTCCCATTCCCTGGCCTGACATGATTGCCTGCATGTAACGTTTGGGGAGTATACCAGCCAAGCCAAACACACTACCTTGATACACAGCTGCACAGACTGCAGAGGGCAAGGAAAACAACACAAATTGATGCACTGAGCTCCACATGTGCATTACAAATGATTTCATACAAGTGTACTTGTACATACTTCAGCATCACTTTCTATTTAAGCATCTTGATCAGATTAATTCTTCTCACACTTTTGCAGCATTGCAGCAGCTTGCAAAATGTACACATCCACCTATAAAAGCTGCTTAAGTCTTTCCAGCAGACGTTTGTGATATTGCAAGCCATAGTGAATTCATTAGGATGTGGCCTAAAGGCCAGTACTATACAGTAAACACATCCAACTCAATGCAAATCAGGTAGTAGTGATGTGGAAGATGTGCGCTAATTTTGGCAAAGTAAACAAGACACTTTAATGAGCTACTGTTTGAAAAGTGAAGTGATACATCACTGATAATGTAACATCTAATGAGTAGAACACAATTACAGACCAAACTAAGATACCACCACCTTAATGACCTTGTACATTATGTGGTCGGACGTACTTGTACGTTGGATTTATGGAAATGCCCTTGAAATATGACCTGCTTTAATTTCACTCTATAATCAGACAGTTTACATGTTAAACCATGGGACTTACCATTGATGAGAACAACTGTAGAAATGCACACAGCAAAAAACGTGATTTGCCCTAGAAAAAAATGACAGGAAATAAATAGTAATGGCAACATTGAAACTAAAAGATAGTGTTTTAGGGGTTTCTTTTACTTAAATTTAATTACAAGAACACAAACTTGGTATATTAAATCCATGACATTAATCACACCATCTAAAATAAACCACATTTATTTTTACATGCAACAAATCCTAATATAACTGGTAACAATTTCATCTCCTGGATGTAAAATATTATCAACAGGCTGTTTGTGACTTAGTGTCCAGTTCATATTTTTTACGCAGTTTGAAGATTTTATAACAAAAATTCAAACAATGCGATTCTCGAATGGCACATCTCACCTGCTTTCGTGATTATCTTTAAAGAGTGACCTTTGACCTTTGTGTGTGACATTCAACATCATTATCATGTGATGGTTCCCATGTTGCATCTATGACCCAAATTTGGTTCCAATTGGACTAAAACTTTTCAAATGACATCACTTTTACATGTTCAGCCTATTTTACAACTTGACCTCAGATGACATTTGACCTTGAAAGTTTCACCAAAATACCTCATACATGCATGTAATTTATGTGTACTACATGTATACATTAACGTACAGACATAGTTATTGCTTAAGCCCTTTTCATACTAGAGCCTCTCAACCTGGGTTGAACTCAACCCTGGGCGAACCCAGTGCCGCCCCAGGTTGAGTTTTTTATTTTTCAACCCTGCGTTCAACCCCGCATCGTTTCACACTTGTTTCATGCAAATCAAGCTTATCATGCTCAGTTACTACTGTTTTGAACCCTGGCAAGAATTTCAACCCAGGTTGAAAATCTCAACCCTGGTCTGGAGCAGGGTTGACTTCAACCCGGGGCGAAATCAATCTCTGGGTTGATGCAGGGTTGACGCAGGGTTGAAATTCTTCAAGTGTGAAACGATGCATGTTTTCAACCCTGCGTCAACCCCCTAGATTTGTCTAGTGTGAAAAGGCATAGTCTCTTTCCCGAACAAAGTCCAGACGAGACAAAAAAGAAAGTTTTGACTTACATTCGTCTGTGTCCACTTTTGCAAAAATCGTTGTCACAACAAAAAGAGCCAGCATTCCTAGTAAAGGAACTATGATTCGGGTCTGCAAACTGATCCTGAAATGGAAAAAAACAAAACAAAAACATAACAGAAACCAAATGTAAATGTTCAGTGCACTACATAACCCCACACCTTATCTTGGACTTGGGGAAACTGCCCTCCTTTTGTACAGATTTTTTCAATACAATATTTCCCTCTGTTTTGGGGGGCCAAGCCTTTATATATTTGATGAGTCTCTTTGATCCTGGGAAGCAACATATATCCATAGCTGCCAACTTTTCAAAATCCCAATTAGTAATCAACCCGCGCGGTCATTTTCAACTGCTCGTTTTATCAAAAGCTTTACCAACATCAAGTACATGTACATGGTTTACATGTACACATACATGTGCATACCCTTCTTGTTGTGAATAATAATGTACTGTAGGCAAAAAGATAATATAAAAAATATAAAAAAATTAAATAAAAAAATTACAATTAATTTTTGTTTTCATGTCTGTATTTGTTTGTTGAAGTCAAATAAATAATAACAATAATAACGTACGCATATTTTTTTGGAGATGCATTTTATCGGGAGTATCGATGTGGAGTTTCGAGTTCGTATCAATACACACAATGATTTAGGGCCACCGTAAGCAATAGAAATATCCCGCCAACATACCTTGCAAACACATGCTGATTTATCTTTTCTGGACGTTGTGACAAACTCAAACTCTATTACCAATTATTCCAACCATATTCCATGATTAAAATCTTGATGGGTCTCATACCGGCAATAAGCGACCGAATGTGCTCACGATCGTCACTGAAAAGTACTCACATACAGTACACACAACCACACATCCACGAGATGCACACAAATGACACACCATTGAAAAATAGTTTTAGTCTGGTCCTCAAGTACTCCACTGCGCACACTGCATTGATGTCTATCAGGTGCTTGACTGCATTCTTATTAGACTTGTCACCAGTCCATCCATTATCGCGACATTTCGCCAGTAGTTTTCGTTCAAAAACGATACTTTACAAGTTTTTTTTTTTCGTTAGGTAGAAAATGGGAAATTCGTAATGTTTTAGTGGCAAATCGTATTTTCGTAATTTCAGTTGGAATAATGGAATATCTGTGTCAAGAATTACACCACTTTCTCAGACTGAACTTCAACTTTATGGTTTTTTACTATGATTTCTATTTGCATACCAAATTTGAAGAAAACATGACTTTTGAGATTGAACAGAGGCAAACTTTATGTATGTAATTCCCCCCCCCCCCCCAAGATGGCCAGGAAAAAACTAACAATAAAAAAAAAAACCAACAGGTCTCTGTAAGGTTTCAAAAGCCAAGAATCTAAATACCACATTGTTGTTAAGCATGAACTAGTAGGGTTGGGCTATGCTGGATTGTCCATGTATTGTCAATAAACCTGTTATCTGTGATGCATGGGATGACAGCAGTTCATTACAATTCCCCAAAGTTGTGCCATACATCCAGTGGAAACTTGTTATCTGGAAAATCACGTCCAAAAGAACATGTCAGTCTTACCTGTGCTGAAGTGCTAAATTAAGCAACTGGAATATGATACTAGGTACCATGGCTGCAACAGAGAAGTAACCTTCAAAACTTGAATCCAAGGCAGAATCTTCAGTTCCATTCCCTGTCACATTGCGGAACTTGTAGGCAAAGTACTGTTACAAACACACACAACTTAAAAATATTACTTCATAAAGAACACTTCTTTTGTAAAACAGGGGTTCACATAAGAGGCCATAATATCGGAAGCATCCGTATGATCTTACTGTGACCGCAGTAATGAACATGTTCCATGGCAGAACAGAGGTCATTGCCAAGACAAAGCAAATGGCCTAGGTCATACATATCGGAGAAAAAGGTTAACTGTCAAGCACAACAAAAACAAACTTAGAAAAAACTAACAAACTACATGTAAATCCGACCAGGATTGGTCTGGGATCACTCTTACCGACTTAGCTGTGATGAACATATTCCAGGGCAGAACGGAGCATACTCCAAGGAGGAAGAAGATAAGATAAACAGCTTTGAAACTGCAGCAAGAAGGAGCAGAAAAACAAAATGCAAAATTCAATATTTGGGAGAAACCCAAAGTAAATTATACACAAACTTTTTCAGTGACCGTATAAGCATTTAGTTTTAAGGATTGAAAAGCAAACAAACAATTGGAAGAAACAAATATATGTTGTCCAGTGATAGAACTAGCATCTGGTACTACATGTAGTAAGAATTTGGAATAATAATGAATTTAATAATTGAAGGGCAAATCAACAATTGAAGGAACCAAAAAGTAATGTAAAAAGGTCCATGATTACACTACATGTACGGTAGGACAAACATTTTGAAAGGGATCTCAAAAAGGAAAAGGAAATTGTATTCCATACATAAACTGCAAACCAACTCATAAGCATGCACTCTACATGTACATGTACATGTACATCCTTTTTGTCTCATGACACATGCACATGTACCCCGGTAGGACCAACAGCTCAACAATAGCAGGATACAACATATAATTTTTATCTTAAAATTCAACATAAAACAGCTGGCTTGAGCAGTAATGACAATTTGTGTTTGTGTCTATGCAAGGGGGGCTATACATGTATGCACTTGTAAAGTAAAGATGAGCAAATTAGGGTGAATATTCACTTCACAGTCCTGGCTGAAACTACTGTATTATAACAAAAATGATTGACTGAAAGGTACAAAGACAGTAACAACATGCAGAGAACATTGTGCAACTGTTCAGCTGTGATAGTAGTCCCAGGCATTTTGTATGCCTGAGGGGTGCAAATGAGCAGTACCCAAGGTGAAGCCAAAGGTGTCAATTGCACCTTTCCGTGTACAGAAAAATTGTGGTTTTTTTTTATACCATGGTACTGTTTTTAGTCACAATTTGTTTTCATCTTTCAGTGGTAATAATGTGATAATTTAAATGTTAGTTTTGAAATACAGAATTAAATATCAGTTTTACATTGCAACACCCTATGCATTTAATTGAATAGTCCAATGCTTCATTTTATTTAACATGCAAGTCTGTGCTGATGACGTGTGCATGCCCTGAGCAGCATCATCCACCTTGTGCCCGGGGCTATTCTGTCTACATGTATGTCATACATTGCACATAGCAGTTGGTCTCTCTAAAGTGTCTGAGAATGATGAAAGATCATGTACTCAGGTAACACGGGTGATGTACTCTGCAGAGTCCATCGGGTATCATTCTTAATTTTTTTTGCAGTTTGTTATGTGAACATTTTTCAACCAATATTTGTTCACAAACTAGTAGTAGTACCATGGTATAACAAAAACAAGATAACAATTATCAGTAACCAAACTGGCAATGGCAAATCATAAACTAGAGCCGAGTGCATTCTTCTTGGATCATAACATACATTCCACAACACTAATATCTACATTTATTTCAAAAATATAAATATATTTACCTTGAAGGGGAGCTGCAAGAAGAAAACAGGTTACTTGGTTTGTTTTTTTAAGATTTAATATACAAGCAAGGCCCCCCAAAAATAGTTCTGTCTCAGATTACCCTACCTACCGGTACCCTATTTTGACAGCCCCTACCCTAAATTTGTTTGAGGGAAAAAAGAGGAAAAACCCTGAAAATACCCTGGACTACATGCAGACACCTCCATATGATCGTACAAAAAATTGCCTACCTACCGTTTACTACCCCATTTTCAAATGCCATGTAACTGGAAGCAGAAGTATTTGGGGGGGGGGGGGGGGGGGGGCTTAAGGTAAAGATTTACAGTTGCACCAAATCCCTGTTTAAAAGTTCACTGAACTTACTTGTAGTAATATGATATTCTAGACCATCCTGATCATAGTCCAACCTCCATGGACCGGTACATGTACATTAAGTCTCTGTTGTCGAGTACTAAGAGTCATTAACACGATTAAAGGTTTGCACCTGATCAAATACTGTACTTTCGAGTACAGTAAAGAATAGAACCCTCACCCCTCCTCCCTTCCATAAATAGTCATAACAAATGCAAATACTTTGCCTTGCATAAAATAAACATGATGTTTTAACCATCAAATGAAACAAAAATCCAGTGATTCTTTGTGATAACACCAAATAGCACCTCTTCTGTGCCATCCTTATCACAGCAAAAGTGCATTGGTGTGTGTCAGCAATTGCGAGACATGTAAACTTTTCCTGTTCATTGGCAACTCCATGTCAATATAATGATGCAGTAATGAAACTAAAAGAATTTACATGTTGCAAATGAAACTGTTTATTATTCTATTTACTAATATAAGATAAACCAGTTGACATAATATCTTGAACAATGTGCTGTACGCTGCCTAAGGCAAATGAATTAACTTTCATGTAGTGTTTATTAAGTGTTGCGGATGTATTCATGAAAGTGTTAGGGGATGAGAATGCAAATGAAACAGGCCCAGCTCAAATTCACCTTGAGAATATGTAAGAGGTTTAACAGGGTTATGCAGGTTACCTCAGGGTTCAACTTCCTGAGTTATGGCTTGTTAATATTGTGCATTCTTTCCTTAGTTCAGCACATTTTGCAACGTGAAGCCCTAGGGTTTTGGGGGATGCAGCTGCAACATGCAGTGTGGCATTGGAGAGGTGCAAGTCAACAATTGCTGATAACTTCAAACTCCAATACAATCAGGACAATCCAAGAGCTTTGTTGAGTAGAGTAGGCCTATACATGTACATGGCATATATGCCATTGTGCTACTGCAAACTAGTCCTGGATTTGGGCAGAATCACATGGGCTCCAGCTGCAAAACGTACATGTACATGGGTCTTCATGATTGATAAGAGATACAATGTTTTTGTCAAAATCAGGCCGTACATTTTGCAAAGTTTGAGAGACTGGTATTTAACCAATTGTCATTTCCTCTCATTTGTCATACAACAAAATTGCAGAGGGCCCACCACTTGACCCCTTATTAAATTTCCATTTCAAATGATTCTGCAAAATATCAGAAAAGCCGATACATGTGTTTGAAAGCAGCTTCATTCAAAGTATACATGTACACAGTCATGACAGTTCCATCCTGCAAAGCCAGAAACAAAATGTGTGTTGGAAAAGACCTCTGACCTGCTGACCATGTACATTTGTACCTGTACACTTAGAGGAAAAAACACATAATGTTGTTTAAACATTGCTGACCAGTACAGATAATAACTCATTGTTTGCTTGTCAAACATTGTCTTGTACCAACCCTATTAAACTTGGTTTTGGCCATTGATTTTGGCCATCTGTTGAATATACATACAGTACAGGTACAAAACAATGAATTTCCTTCCAAAGGGTCAAGGCTAACACAAGAATGGCTACTGTAAAACCATTGAGTAATGTTTTATTGCTCTCTGGAACAACTAAGCACTCATTTTCAACAAATATTATTAACAAACATCACCTTGACCATACCTTGGATTTATCAACCCCAGGATTTTCAAACAATATTTTTAGTCCATGGGCACTGTCAAGGACATGTAAATTACTCCTTATAAACAACTAGCGGGTAGGTTTTGCCCCATCCGCTTTGTGGGGTGGGTGACTGTGCCACCTCTATCATTTTGCGGGTAATCAATTCAAGCAACTTATGAATACACACAGACACGTTTTATAACATAGCACGTTTTATAGTATAGCGGTGACAGTGGATATATGCACTTTATTACATTTATTTCATTTTTTACCATATAAGCCTTCAAATTAACAGCATTTTTTCTTTTCATACTGCCTGAATATTTGTAACTGTTGTATACATACATGTACATGTATATCTGATCCTTTCATTTATTTTTTGTTCTTGTCTTTACAAATGCAGTTCTCACATGAGTTCCAGCTGAGTGTAATTTGTGTTTTTCAGGAGTCTCTTGATTTACTCATATTAAAAACAAATTCAGAAACAAAGTGCAGCAATAAATTGTAACCATTTCAAAGTTTTTATTCTATATCCTGATTAGTGCTATCAGCTCTGAACTCTTCACATCCCACCACTGAATGGCAGGAAATGAGGAAGGACATGCAAGGTGTTAAATTGCCAAATTTGTCTGACCTTCAGTGCACGTAATAACTGCAAATTGAATTCATTCAGTATTATTTATAAATTATTCATTTATCTACCAATGATCCCAAAATTCAAATTCATATGATGAAATTATAAGTTATAAAGTTTGCTGAACAAAGTATTTGGTAGATTTGTGGGAAAATTCACCAGTGACAAATAGAGAATGATTCACCATTTCCATGCAGTGACCTTGTCATCTGGTTGGTCTGACATGTCTGATGATCATGATAATCAAACAATGGTACGGTATGTGGAAATCCTATCAACATGCTTAAAAGCAATGACAAGATAATATTGAGGAAACATGTTAAAAAGTGGAACTGGGTGATTGCTTTTATGGTCTTACATTTCAACTAGTTGGTAATTTGTCAAGGTCAAACTGACTTTATACAAGCCTGTTGGAACATGTTCTTGGGTGAGATTTAAGCAGTCCTACATCGTTGTAAATTGTCAATTAATGTGTATACAATATAAACGTGCTGCAATTTAAACTTACACGATCCACCGGCACGCTGGCAGTATTTATACAGTCAGTTTGTAAGCACACGTTTTCAGTTGACCCATAGAGCTAGCCAAAGTCACCAATGACCTCATTTGACCCCTAGATGACCATGACCTCAAATGGCTCCAGTCATCTGAAGTCCCTATACCCAAAGTAATGTCACCAAGTTTGGTTGAGAGTGAAGTCTGACATATGACAGCACTTTCCAGTTGACCTAACCAAAAACAATGACCTCATATGACCCCTCGACGACCTCTGACCTCAAATGTCTCAAGTCATCTGAAGTCCCCCTACCCAAAGATTATTGTCACCACGTTTGGTTGAGATTGAAGTCAGAATTAACTAGTTAACTAACCAGTTAACCTAACCAAAATGGAACACACACACGGATGTCCAGGTTTGTTTTTGGTGTAAATTAAGGATTTTCTACTGTTCCTCTTCCCTTTTCCTTTGTTTATACTCAAACTTTTTTGCAACAGCTCTCATTGGTTTTACATGTTTACATGTTTTCTAACCGAGGAGTCCTCTATTTGGTTCCTGTCCTCAATTCATCGATGATTTTGCGTGTGTGACCTACATTTACACTATAAACAAATGCACACCCAGACACACAGAAGGACACTATCGTAAGATACCCCTTTCTTGGCTTAAAAGCATAAAAGAAAGGGAAAAACAAAACAACTTAAAATCAATGTTTTCAATACAATTAGATTTCTCCCAGAAACTTTTTTCTTTTAAATTCATGTAGGCCTAATTTATTCAAATAATGAATTCATGCCCACTGCTACTGCCCATTTAATGTTTAACAGGCATTGCAAAGAAAGCGGACCTAGGAGACTGTAAGAACTATCAAGGGATCATGCTCCTCTCAGTGCCAGGAAAGACAGTGAACCGGATCATCTTTGAGAGGCTCAAGGAAGCATTGGATAAACTGTTCCAAGACCAGCAGGCAGGCTTCTGAAGAGCAAGTTCATGTACATGTACTGACCAGATCGCTACTCTTCGCATCATCGTGGAACAGTCCATAGAATGGAACTCGTCTTTATTCATCAACTTTATCAACTACATTTTTGTACAAGAAAGCCTTTGAAAGGGCTGGCCAAGATGTGCCATGGAGGCTCCTTGACCATTATGGCATACCACAGAAGTCCATCACTCTCATCAAAAAACATACATGTACCAGAGAATGTCATGCAGAGTTATACACCACGTTCAGCTTTCCGAGGGTTTCGAAGTGAAGACAGGAGTTCGCCTTCTGTTCCCATTCCTATTTCTAATTGTGATCCTACCACGGAAGGAAGATGAAATGGGATACAATGGACACCCTGGGTACAGCTATACGACCTGGACTTGCAGTTTACCTCGCCCTCCTTTCCCACAGACAAAGACAGATGCAGGACAAGTCCAACACCGCAGAAGAAGAATCAGACCAACAGAGCTGGGGGTTCACAGTGGCTAGACCAAAATACTGACAGTAAATGCTGCTGGGAACACAGGTACCACTCTTGGCCATGTTGGCAGTAAAGCTTCCTCTACCTGGGCAGCATCATGATCGACAAACAAGGTGGCACAGATGACGCCACGGCAAGAATTGGTAAGGCGCGAACAACATTCCTAATGCTGTCGAAGGTTTGGAGCTCGACAAAGTACTTTTACCCACACCTCGACAAAGTACTTTACCCACACCAAGATCCGATTATCCAATGTCAACTCAGTCTTAATCTATGGCTAAGAGACATGGCGAACCACCAAAAAAGATAATGAAGAGGATCCAAACATTTGTAAACAAGTGTAAATAGGTGCCTGGACGCAGATGATGGCCTGAGCTGAAGATGAGGGTCTTTATTCACATTCAGGCGGCTAATCTTAATTTGGCTTGTACAATTTCACTACAATTAGTTTCCACTTTTGGTATTAAATCACTTTACAAGTAAATAGACAATAAAGCTCTACAGGCTTGTAATCTTACTATAATTCCAGGAATCTCTGTCTGTCTGTCTGTCCGTCGATTATCTCCAGAACCGGGCACCGTATGAAGTTGAAAATCGGCGGGTGTATTGCTCGGGGCCACAGAATGTGCAGTGCCAAGTTTGAAGTGGTTTGGATGAGTGGTTCTCGAAAAAGCTGCAAAAAAGCAGTATTTTCGGAGGCAAACGTGGCAGCTTAGAACATAACACCACGCACTGCCGTTCTTTTCAATTGTTTACGTCATGTCTAAGCTAAAGCGCGCGTGCTCAATATGACACAAACAATGCAATAAGGACGGGCACGCACACGCGTGCATTGTAAGGCGATACATTGTCCAGTATGGGTGAATAGCACTGCATACCATGTTTTCGTATGTATACGGGCACATTATTTTTGCAGTCGACTGAGGGACCATTGTAGGTGGTCGAACTTCAAACTTGGCACAAACTTTGACGTAAGTGTGCGTTCAACCTGTGAAAACAACACAATTGAATCGTGTGCGTTGTTTGCACGAGCAGTTCTCAAAATCTCTGCAAGTAAGCAACCTATACCAGCGGCAAAGCAATTTGCGTTGTGCACCACGGACGGGCACTGCACTAGTTTAATCAAATTACAGATCAACTTTAAAAGTAGACAGGTTTCCTGTCCCTACATTATCGAATGTGAAAGGGAGACAGGAACCAGTCTACTCTGCAACAAGGCCCCAAAATAGTTATGCTTACATGCTTTTTAAAAATAGGGTTGCGAGATTTCCTTTTGAGGGGGGCCCAATGTTTTTAGTGCTGATTGAACGGAGTATTCAATTATATGCGCATTTCAGCCTGAACTATTTCCATTTGCTATACAAAAGTTATACAAAAATGGTCACAAAAAGTTAACAAAACCTTGCCTCAATTAATGTAAAAAAACTTAAAATGATGGCGAATTCTGGTTGTGCATACCACTATGCACAATGCTGGTCATGACAGGAAACTGGCCTACACTGCCCGTATATCGCAAGGGACGCGTGGTAGACAGCGTCTGTGAGAAGCGCGACAGTCTGTGTAGCGGGCGACAAGCCACGTGCTGCGGCAGGAAATTTAGCAAACCACCCTGCACTGCATCGCTTCAAATAAATTTATGAAAACGTACATGTAAACTACATAATTATGCAGACCAGAGAGATCAAATTCTGCGAATTAACTTGCAGAAATCCTTATTTTTCTGTTTACTTTGCCTTTTTAAAATGTGAAATTCGACCTGTACTGCAGTGTTACGCAATGTTGTGTTGGCCGAACTTGGCCATATGCATACACTGGTTGCCGCCTTTCCATTATGCCTTCTTTGGCCCTTTTATTATGCAGCACGGCGCGGCAGTAACCACTGGTACAGCATTGCTGCATTGTAGCATTGCAAGCATGCATTACGCATGTGTTTTCATCACCAATAGATTATTGCGAAGGTACCGGTACCGTTACTTATAAACAAATAAAACAAATAAAAACTGATAACAGAAATGTTGCAAGCAATTTTTCCCTTTTTACCTAACTTATTCAAAAATAGCACAGACAGTACTTCTGTAAAGTGAGTGTTAAAAGTCTCAATTATGTGACAGCTCCCCTACACATGTACTGTACAAAAAACTCTAAGCTATAGGCCTACAATTTTGAAAGCTTCCTGGATTCTCCAAAATCCAACAGTTCAATAATTTTACAATAGGCCTAAGGCATTTCTTCCCAATTACTTGAATGTATTCAATGTACATGTACATAACTCTACATTCATACAGCAATACACACAGTCGGAGGTCTGCATACAGAAAAAACAGGTGTTAAATTTGGTGGATGTGACAGAGTTGGGCTGGTAAAGATGAACATGATTCTTAATCAAATAAGCAATATTGAAAGCATTCTATGTGGCTCAATGGGCCATTTGAACAAACTGATTGAATACAATTGTTACTTCAACTCTTGGCAGGTGGTTCCAAGCTTTTGACTTGCTGTGTGAGACGAGCAAATAAATCTACATTTATATTAAAAATGTTCAATTCAATTACAACTAGAAGAACAGTGTGAAAGAAATCTGTTTTATTCAACGTGTGTTACATGAAATTCATTAAAAAAATGGATGACCGATGGACTGATACACCAAAGCTCAGTCCTATAATATTATGACCAATCACAGCCAAAATTAATGTACGCATGCGTGCAAATATGACGCCAGAAACATGTACATGTATGTAGTCTGGCATGATTGAAGAGGAGCACAAGCTGGTGCCCACATGCACAATGGGCGAGGCCTAATAGATTGGTCTTTTATTTTGCTAGTATTAGTGCTTTGCTAATGAATTTGTAAAGTAAATTTTAGAAGATTGTATGCATACATGTACGTGTACTGCATTTTGAGGGTTGGCTTTAAAACGTTTCTTCTCTTTAAAATGGGTGTCCCAATTACAAATGTAAATATAATGCTTCCTATCGTCTGTTCTACGGAAATCACTGGCCCCACTCTGTGAGTCTTGTACTTCATAGTGTACATGTCTGCATTAAATTTCCATTAGTACATTCTTCAACTCTTGGTTATTTTCTTGGTTCAGGTCTGGTCTCTTGTCCGTTCTTAGTCGGTACTTTGGGTCTATTCCTTGTTGATTCTAAGGTTATTGTTCTTGTGTTCCATCTTTCTAGTTCTAGAGCCATATCAATGTTATTGACTGATTACATACCGGTCATGCGGAGCATCCTCCACCACTGCACTACTCAGTGACGAGTTCTTGAGTAAGTGATCTGATTCCTCTTCATCTGATTCCACGGCATCGTACTGAACTGCAAGACCATTGGTGTTGACTTCTGGAGTTTCCATTGTACTCTGAATGGTACTCTTCGCAAACTAAAGTTCTACGTGTATAGAGAATGAGTAAAAATGTTACCAACTTTCCTGAAAAGTTGTTTCCTAAATTTGAAATCCATACTGTTTTTATAACTTTATATTCTCTATGGAAGCTACATGTCCTAAGGCCAAGCAAACTGTGAGATGTTGAAATCAAGCAAACAAAAACTGCTACAAGCATTAATTTCTCCCACTCACATTAGTCAACTCACTGCCTAAAGAGACATCAATTCAGGATAAAGAAAGTTTCAAATCTGCCTTCAACACACTCATGCGTCTAAAGATGCACCATTGGAAATTTCCGTTAGTAGTAGTCACTTCGGTTTTTTTATTCGGTGAAGCGCCCACAAATCGTTGACACAACCACACACGTGCATGTGGTTGCTATAATTTCATGAATTTGTTGGATCGGTGTGCGGCCGAAATCGCGTAGCTGCAATCGGCTCAGTGAGAACATATCTCGGGGTTTTTTGCTTTAGAAGCATACTCACCCTCTTTATGGGCTAATCAGAAAGTCCTGCCTTTTTCAGATGTCTATTTTTGGTGACATTTCCAGATTCGTTTGCACACGTTTGCATATCAAAATTAGACATCTGAAGAAGGCAGCACTTTCTGATTAGCCTATAAAGAGGGTGAGTATGCTTCTATAGCAAAAAAAACCCTACAAACTAAGCCTAAATGTGAAAATCAAAATTTGACAAAGTTTGACATGTTTTTGTACATGGTGGAAGTGTGGCTTTTATTTACGGAGGTAGTCCAGTAAATTGGCCACATTTATGGGGCTATTTCCAAGTGTCAGGTTGGCTCAGTGCGGAAAGGGCATATTTTTCATCATTTTGACCTAAAAAACGACAGAATCCACCTATGTCTGTTCTGCGCAACCTACGTGTGTATGTCATGAGGTATTGTGTGGAGTTTAGGGGCAAGCTGTGCAGCGGTTCTGTGGAAAATTTCTGTGTTTTGACGGACCTTTTTGTAGTTAATTGGTGTTTCGTGCTGCAAACAATTTTGCGGGGTTCTGTATGCTCACGCGGAGCCTAGTTCTAAGAGTAGGAGAAAACCACAGCTCTGGAAGTCGGTCCTACTAAACTGCGTCAACAAGTGTCAACAAGCGTCAACGGTCGTCAACAAGCATCAAGTCAACAAATTTTGTTGATGCTTTTGAACATTAAAAGTAGCTTTATTTGGTAGAAAAAGGAAGAAAAATTTAAAAACTTTTTTTTAACGTGAAATGTACGACGAATTTGTCGATAAGTGTTGGCCGCCATTTTGTTTGCCTGAAGTTAGCCGTACTACGCATGCGTGAAGTGTACAGAGCCTAACTTAGTAACTACGCATGCGCGAAGTGTACAGCGCCATCCAAACAAGATGGCGGCCAACACTAATCGACAAATTCGTCGTACATTTTGCTTAAAAAAAAACAAGTTTTAAAATATTTTTAACTTTAATTGATATGCAGAAGATGTTCTTTATTGCTTTTTCTACCATATAAAGCTACTTTTAATGTTCAAAAGCATATACAAAATTTGTTGATGCTTGATGACGACCGTTGACGCTTGTTGACGCTTGTTGGCGCTTGTTGACGCAGTTTAGTGGAACCCCTGGAAGACAAGTCGACCGTTGAGACAACTCGACTCGGGACAAGTCGACCGTTGAGACAACTCGACCGTTGAGACAACTCGACCGTATGTGCGATAAATGGAAAGACAAGTCGACCGTTGAGACAAGTCGCCTCGCATGTTTTGGGCCTAGTTTCGGGGATAGTACCGGGGATTTTGACGGCGGCTGATCGCCATTTGGGAGTGATGACACATGAGTTTTTATTTTTGCATATAACAGAGCCGATATAGCGCAGCGTGATTGTCCGTGCACATCGTTCGTTTTTTTTTTCAAGGCCACGTGCGCGCATCCCTGGTCAACGTGGCCGTACCGTGCACGGTGACATCGTTTTTGCCAGCCCTGTGCGCCCGGCATTTGCCGCGCCGGTCGACGTGCCCGCGTGCCGTGCCCGGGCCGGTCCTCGCGGGCGGGCGGGGCGCACCGGCCCGACGCGACGCCCTCTGTACATCGAGTATGCCCACGCCGCACCCGTGATCGGTCTTGCCACAGATTTGTGCAACTTTTTCTGCTCCACGTGTATTCATTTCCATTAAGTCGAGCAGTCTCAACGGTCGAGTTGTCCCGAGTCGAGTTGTCTCAACGGTCGACCTGTCTCAACGGTCGAGTTGTCTCAACGGTCGACTTGTCCCGAGTCGAGTTGTCTCATCGGTCGACTTGTCTGACATTCCCTGGAAGTAGGCCTTCCTTCCTCCAGCTCCATGGGCATGGCCTTACCTAGCCCAGGTTGGACGAAGTCTTCATTGCAATACGACTAACGTCCAGGACAAGACTTTTCTACATGAAACCATACAACATTTTTACCAGAGGTTTGTTATGTTTTACCTCGTTATAGAAGCTAATATTTCACGCCTACATACTCTATGTGTCCTTATCTGTTAGCACGCTGGGTTCAGGAATTCCATATGCAATGCTGACTGACGTTAATCAGGAAAATAAACTCCAAAGCAACGTTAAACTTGTACGTGTTTGTAGTCGCTTTTCATCAGTTTATTCCCAGAGTCGTACGTCATGTACAATGTACATGATATGTACAAATGTACGTGCCTACATACTCTATGTGTCCTTATCTGTTAGCACGCTGGGTTCAGGAATTCCATATGCAATGCTGACTGACGTTAATCAGGAAAATAAACTCCAAAGAAACGTTAAACTTGTACGTGTTTGTAGTCGCTTTTCATCAGTTTATTCCCAGAGTCGTACGTCATGTACAATGTACATGATATGTACAAATGTACGTGCGTACAATCCGAAAGCGCGCACGCACGCTAAGCGCCCTCATTTGTTTAGTTTTGGTTGGAACCGTGACGTCACTCCAGCCAACCGATGTCAGGAAAACGCTCAACCAATGACCAAAGCCGAAACGTGTTTCTGGTAACTGGCGCGAAAACACGCTCGGTCATTGGATTAGCGACCGCACCTTCAAGTAAGTGCGCGTGCGTATGAGGGTGGTTACTAAGCAAATCGCGCGTGCGCACTGCATATTCATGCAGCATAGTCTGTCCCCCGGACCAGATGTGATAATGAGCGTCGAGAATAATTGTCCGGTCTAGGGAACCAGACTACACGCTGCACCGTACTGACGTACATGATGTACGACTAGAATAGACTCGGCGGTGAGAAACTGATGAAAAGAGACTAAACACGTACAAGTTTAACGATGCTTTCGAGTTTATTTTCCTGATTGACGTCAGTCAGCATCGCATATGGAATTCCTGAACCCAGCGTGCTAACAGATAAGGACACATAGAATACCACGACGTAAAAATTAGCTTCTCCAACAAGGTAAAAATATTGAAATTATTGGTCAGAAATGTTTTCGTTCGGTTGTGAGCACATGTGTACTCAGGACTCCCTCCGTAACGTAGGGAGGAAAGGGAGTCCACCAGGGCTAGGCCTTACCTAGACCCGTGAACGTGGCTTGTAAACTACCATATAACTTTACTTACGAAATCATATACGAAGTGCAACAACTAATTCTTTCACAGACAGTTTCACAGCAGCATCTCTCTCAAATGCTTATTACTGCATTCCAGTTTCTATCCCGAACACGACTAGAGCTTTATATTCCTTAGAGCATGGAGCAAGGAAAACAGTTATTGTGAAAACTTGGCCAGATTTGGTTGCTTATGTCGAAATATACATGGATAAATAATGCAGTCGGGCACCTATGGCCCTTCAAATTTCAACTTCACCTGGCGACGTCTTGGGATCCGACTTTGGTTCAGTCGTTTTCCTGACACAATTTTGAGGGCGCTGTTTACATTTCTCGGTCGCAATTTTAGAATATTGGACTCATAATAAAACAACTAGGCCTATTCCGGCTTTTGGGGCCGGAATGTCTCCTTTCAAAAATCCCGGCGCCAAAAGATGCCATTTCCCCCCGGCTGAACAATAAAGAACCAGAATACTGTGGAATGCTACTTTTAAATAGCTGCTGCAGTGAAATAGGACACCCCTTGCTTTTTGAATTTGCCACTGCCGCAACATTTAATGTGAAAATGGTGCATGATAATCAACATTTATAAAGAAATCCAAAACTCCTTCCTTATTCAGTCCAGGGTCTAGAAGTTTGTCAGTTATTGAGAATGCGAAATGATTCTACCACAAAATTAATCTTCTGATGCTAAAAAATAGTTGAAATGAAAGGAATTCGATACACCGTATTATGACGTCAGAGGCGTAAAGGGGCTATTGTGGGGCGCGCGCGCGCAGTTTATCACTATGGTTATACTGCCTATGCATAGTGTAATCAATGAAACAATAGTTTGTAATAATTGTGCAAAAGTCTTCAAAATAACATTGAATAATTGAAGTAGAAGGATCATTATCCGAATGAACAACGAAATTGCATTCATGTTTGAACGGACAGCTTGTGCCAATAAGGTGAGTTCAAATTAATCAATATAGAAAACGTATTTTGGGGACGACTTTGTTCTTTGTCCTGAATTGTGTTTTTGTTTGCTCTTAAAAACACTTTGTTACTATAGCCCATATACACACATAATTGAAGAATTCATGTGCTCATTTGCAATATTGGCCGCGTTAATTAACACCTCGTTCTTTTGTTAAGAATATATTTGTTTTACAGAAATATAACTTTATACGGTTTTTAAAGTGTAGGCTCTACAAATGGTTTTCAGACCGTTAAATTTTAAAATGATGTATTAGTTATTACATGTATATATTAGAAATAGCGGACATTTTAGTTGAGAAATGAATTAACAAAGGAAACTTGAAACGAAATAAAGTAAACCTCATATATCCATCAGATAATATACTTTTTTTTCAAGAATGAGTAAGACGAACGTTCGACGCAAGACAATTTTTGAGCCAAGACGAGATTCTTTGGTCATCTCCAGGTCGGAAGATAGCCATGCTGGGGATAGGAAGGTATATGTTTAAATTATGTGCTTTTAATTATTGTTAAAAAATATAAATACTTGAACAATAGGTAGGCAAAATGGTGATTATAGGCATGGGCGTAGCGAGGGGGAGGCAAGGGGGTGCACTTCCCCCCCCCCCCGAAAACGAAAAAAAAAAAAAAAAAAGTAAAAAGGGGAAAAAAAGAAAGGAAAAAGAGGTGCGAAGCCATACTGCTGTTAATTTGATGGGGGGGGGGGGGGGGGGGGGTAGGGCAAATGCTCCCCTGCTCACGCTCGGAAAAATGATCAATTGAGAATATAATGAAAAAGTTAAGGAATTTTGGGAAAAATTTTTCTTTCCCCCCCCGGAAAAAATCCTGGCGACGCCCATGATTATAGGTACTTACCAATGATCAGTCATTTTTTTTGGAATAAATAGTGCTTTTGACGAAATTGTGCATGTTTCGTGATCAAAAGGTTGTGCACGTTTGTTTTTTTTGTTTTTTGTTTTTAGTCCCAGGCATTTGGCCTTGGTGATATGAATGTGGCCTGTTTTCGAGTAGTATAATAGGGGTGTAAGTGGTGCCACCAACGTCAAAATAGGTCGCCCCTCAAAAAAACCCTAATTTTTTTCAAAATTGAACTTTTTGAGCACCCCCCAAACCAAATCCTGGGTGCGCCACTGATTGTAAACATTCTTATTTAGAATTTGAGTGCCGGTGTTATTGGTGAAACGTGGCAAACTACATGAAAAACAAATAATCCTATTTCCCTTTGATATGCAGTTAATGACAAAATGATTTTTTTTTAAAACAAGTTTGGCATTGACGACAATGAAACGGTGACGACGACCGTAATGACTTATAATGCATTTTGAGATGATAATGAAACTCACTGCGGTTGATAATTGTAATGATTAATAAACTTGATAGAAATGGATGCGAAGAAGTTACGAAGATGTATGAGATGCTGAGGTTGATGGAAATAACAAAATAATAGTGACAGAGACAGAACGAGGAGAGTGTGCGGAACGCGTGTAATGCATGGGACAGGCATAGAAGGGCGTATTAAGAATATGAAAAACAACAACACTCAAGAAAAAACCCAATCAATTTCCCCTTTCGGCTGGCACTTATTTAAGGGCAGGTATCCTGTTCGGGTCCAGTTCCACTAGACACGCCACGTCATATTAAAAAGGTTTGTTTTCCAGAGTTTATGTATTCATAAGATACAATTTGTGACGGGGTGATGTTCTTTCATGTTTTCCCAAATGATTATTATACTGGAGAAAGGTTATTAATGCATCTACAAACATTATACGACGAGATGTTTTGCTTCCAAGCGACCACTGACTATACTTTGCCAAAACAATTATCCTTCAATCATTTCTCAGTACATGGTTATTTTGTTCAAGCCGCATTTAAAGGTGTATGATTACAAAGCGTGAGGCTGTACCGTCGATGTACGGAAAAGGACTTTATAGATTAAGTTGCAATGTTGTGTATCAGGTATAAACATATAACGGGAACTATACACAATGAAGATAGCAATGAAGACGGAGATAGCACAATGGAGGTCGTCCGTTAATAAGATAATCAATATCAACTTGTTAAGAGATTATGCAAATGAGTTATTGAGCGGCGACATCTGAATGACGACTGAGCGTTGGTTACCAAAGTGAATAAGAAGCGATGATTATGTGTTCATGTTGTGATGTCTCCTCATAAATGTAAGACACGATAAGACTATATCATCAAGACTTTGATGAGACTTATCTGAAACTTTTCTAAGTCTTTACGGAGGTATGGGTTTGAATGAGCACTGTCACGGCATTTCCCCCTAGCTAATAGAGCGGCTTATATACATCTTAAAAACCACAAAAGACTCCTGGCTACGGCTTCTCCACGGGATTTCTTTATTCACTGAGTTTGAGACCCCTAACGATGATGAGAGACAGTCTTGCGACTCCTGGTTCACCAGGGAAGATTCCACTTGAACGCACTGCTGATCTGCTCACACCAAACCGAAAACATCGGTCATCAGGGATGAAGTCAGCGAATTCACAGAGAAGTGCGTTTACCGGGTCGTCAGCAGCGTTTTCTCCGTATCCTCAGGTAGGTTCGGTGTGGTTGGGTAAAAAAGGTGGGATACTCTCCAGTCCAAATATAGGTCAATAATGACTGAAAGCTGATCTGTCTAGTCCAAAAACTATAGAACAGTAATTAAAAACTGATCATGACCCGGTAAAAAATGATTATACCAAATTCCTGTAAACATAATTTGAGTCATTTAACAATATTAATAATCACCACATTGAAGTGGATGGACGATGCTGTTGAGGGGAAACATTACATTTGTGGATGAATTGGAACGTGTTTGTAGCGTCAGTAATGGTAGATAATGAAGGTTTCGCTTGTTGCAAAAGCGGTGAGAACTGTGAATTGTTGATGGTGACGGGAATGATGAAAATTACCTGGGGTTATGATACCCATGGATGCTGACAAGATGGTTATAACCACGGGCGTCGCCAGGATTTTTTTGTATAGAGGGGGGCAAAGCACATCCCCCCCCCAAATCCCTGTACTTTTCTAGCGTATTTTCGATTGATCATTTTTCGTATAGAGGGGGGCAAATTTACCCCCCCCCACCTATTACATTAATAGCAATATGACTCCGCGTCTCTTTTTCTTTCTTTCTTCGTCTTTTTTCTCCCTTTTGTTGGTTTTCCAGAGGGGGCAAGTGCCCCCTTCCCCCCCCCCCCCCCCCCCCCCCCGCCCAGCGACGCCCATGGACGACGACAATAATGCAATGACACAAATAATAATTTATTTGATCTTAAGAAATAAAAAGCATCCACTTTGATGGGTGTGTCATATAACAGGTTTCAAAAGGTTCCATGGCTGGCAAGCATCAGAGTGACCAGGCGTCTCAAGCAGGCAGTATGGGTGCTAGACTGGAGGATGAGATGAACAATGATCACTTACAGAAGTTGCAGGAAATTTTTGAGGTAAACTTAAAACAAAGAAAACCCAAAATGTAACATAAAAATGCTACAAAACTGGGTTAAAATAGCCTGTTTATTGGCCCATATATATGGGAACAACACAAACCCAATCGCTTTGGTGTTAAATCAACAGATTGATTACAACGAGCTTCTTTTACTGCTTCACTGTAAAGCTGTACACCACAAAAGAGAAGAAGAATGTATTCATTTTTTTTTCCCGGAAAGGGTTCTTTTGTACTTTTTTTTATAACAAAACATCAGACGATCATATCGGCTAATAAGAAACTGAGGTAATATGCTCCATACACGTACAAAAGTTTACGGAGGAGTTTCAACTTGTTTTCAAGGGTTCTCAGCGCTTTTTATCCCAATCCTTAATCCCCAAATCTCCTTAGTTTGACCTCGGCAGTAAGTATAAACACCGTCACAAAAGAGCCTTTACCCCCGGTCCTTAACACCGCTGTCATCGCCCCATCAGGCTTTAGACCAAGTGTCATCCGATTATCGAAGTTTTCAAACAAAATCCCGGGAAAAGAATTACTATTATAATTAATGGAAGAAATGTTTGAAAACATGGCACTAAGCCTTATACGGAACGGGCACTAAGCCTTAAGACGGAACGACTTATTAAAGTGAAGAATAAGAATGGAGTTTACTCTTTGCATTACAGAGACAACTAAATTTGCAGATAGACTTACATTTTCCTACCCCCGCCCCCCCCCCCCCCAAAAATGGGTTAGTTTGAATCTTGGTAAATTAAAAAATTGGAACAAATTGAAAAACAACGTTCTGTCAAATTAAAACAAAGTTTATAGCATTCAAGCACACGTACATATAGTAAAATTTACCGACAAGATCATCTTTACCTGTAACTATGTTTGTGTTCCCTCATCTCGACGTGTATAGAATGGTTCTGAAAATGATATACAATAACGTTCCAAAAATGGTAAGTACTTGTACTTTTCAATTTTGTCTAACCTTTGCATCTCTGTGTGATCTTCATCATCCATCCCAATCTATGATCATCAAAGGAGGCAGATGAAGATGGAGGAGGAGGCCTGGACATCGATGAGTTTCGTCAAGCAATGAGGAAAATTATGGGAGAAGGAATGGTGAGTTATAACATCTCAAACTGTTTAGTTTTGACATAACACCGAGGCATTTGTGTATGTACACGACGAAAAGTGAAAATTCTGTGAAAGTTAGTTGCATTATCAATATTGCATGTAATATTCTAAAGCTTGTTTGGCCAAGTGTACTTTGAACGAATCACTTAATTTGTTTCAGACTTAACATAATTGCCGTAACACACATTAACCTTCCATTTGTTTATGAATTGTTTACTTGGCCGTACAATGGGGTGTGGTAGTCATGCAACTTCCTCGAAGAACGTTTGTAAGCCCCTTGCTAGTTGTTCTTACTAGTGCTTTCTTTCAAGTAATGGACATTTTATTTTGTTGTGAATTGAAAAATGTTTTTCTAAAACATGTATAACCTTTGTATATTTGTTATCGTTACCTTTGTGGACGATAGATGGAAGAAGTAAGTAAACAAACAATATTTTAAAAGATGCGATTAACAACACCGCATACCCTCTCGACTAACAACTAGTTCAATACAGTTTGTATATGGCAAATGTATTGGACCCATCTCAATTGCATTAGTTCGGTTATGGAATTACATTATATCGCGCAGAAAGACACTGTTCTTTTCACTAATAGACCAAAAGTGGATGTTATTCTCATAGGTCAAACTATGTCGGTTCCTCTTGTATAATTGTACTTTAAAACACTACGAGTATCTCGTGAAATAGTTCTGAACCTCCCTAATAACGTATTTGGTTTATCGTAAGAACGTACTAAATAAAATCTTTGACTAACATGACAGTTGACAAACTTGACAATAAACCACGGACTCCGAGCGTATGACAATGGAGAGAACGTTTTTTCCTCAAACGGTGGCTTCGTCTCCGGTTCGACTTCATATCTGGCTCCTGTTTGTGTTTAAACCAAAAAGAAAAGCTCCGAACTTTAGCGCTACATAGGATTTGTTCAGGGTTCTTGAAAACAGACACACATTGAGCAGGAGCCCCCTTAGTCAGCGTCCTGAAATTTCCTGAAGCCGACCTTGAGACAAAGCCAATGTTTCGAAAAATCCTATAGTCTCGATTGTAGTCACTGTACATGTATAGGGCATAGCCCTTTTGATTATGGTAGACACGATAGAAGGGCGCTATTTATGAGTTTAACCCAAAGCAAATGGCGCCCTCCTATTAGGTTCATGTACCACTACAGCACTGAATAACAAAAATTTGAATGAGCTTTACACAATAGTCTGGCTCCCCAGACCAAAGGATTCTGACTATTCCTGATGAATCTTAGGTCAGGCAGCCTCCGTGGCTAAAAATAAACATGACGACATTGATGGCCCTTTTTCAAAGCTCGGCTTCGTTTCCGATTTCGCTTTATCACTTTTACCTTTTAATGCTCGATCCGATCAAATTTTTAAGTAAATCAATTGCTTTGTAATATCATACAGTTATGATAATACAGTTTGATGTTTCTGTAAGATAACATTGACTAATATTGATCTAGAATCTTCAAAATTAGGCACCCAAATAACACTGTTAGCAGGCGGAGCCGAATGAAGACCGAGTTTTGGAAAATCTCAATAACGGTAGTCAAATTCAAAATTGTACATGACGCAGCAAAAAGTTCGCCCATACGATCCGAGTATATTTGATGCACATAATCGTCGTAGAATTTCAAGTTTTCTAAATGAAATCAATGAATATTAATTATCAACTCATTTAAAAAATAAATTAACAAGCAATTAGCAGTTAATTAAACCTGTATTATATTCGGAAATACTCGGGCGCTATCCGATTGTCGACGAAACGAATTCGGCAAACTTCGGAAATTTTCGGAAAAAGGAGGAATTCCTCCCGTTTTAGTCACGTGACGTAAATTGTAATACAATGTATTACTGGAGGCTACCGGACCTAAGATTCATCAGGAATAGTCAGAATCCTTTGGTCTGGGAACCAGACTACTTAACACAAATGCACTGCACGTAATTAGGAGGTGGAGGGTTTCCAAACAAACAGTTTCGTCTAAATTGACCTTTTGTATGAAATTAGAATTGCAATGCCTCGTAAACCATAGAGCAAGGTGCCCGGTGAGGGCAGTCGTCTCCATGGTCACATTTCACGGAGCTGCTTAGCAGAAAAATACTGTTCAGCATAATTAATTTGCTCCTCAGCAAAAATCAGAGGTGAACCACCCATAAAAGAGAATACTTCTGCATGGTTTGACTCAACACCTCTTTTTTTTTTTTTTTAACCTTAACTCAGCTTTTTTCCTAACCACGAAGGGGGGGGGGGGGGGGCTCCAATAGCCCATCTCCCCCGGTCAAAAAGTGGGGGAGGGGGATATATACCCCATGCCTTCCGGATTTACGTCCCTGCTGAGCTGAATATCTGCTAGGTAGTTACTAATATGGTGATACAATTGGTGTGACATGACTAACAACAATAGGCTTATCCAAGTAAACTGGACTAATAATATCATTTTCTAAATAGAACCGATTTTGAAACACATACATTAACGCAGTATTTCACCAAGTGCACCAATAAAACAAAATGCCAAAATTTTAATAAGTGTTCGTCTGGTGCTGGAAACAGATTTTCCCTTTATTTGCAAAATATTCATCAAGCGGATCGAAGGATACCTAATCGATTGTTATGCGTTCATGATTGGGGTGAAAGTCTCTGTCTAATATCAAATGTTATTGTTTATAGTTTGCATGTCAACTCATACTTTTTTAATTACGAAAGGTCGATGATAAAGAGCTGGCTATTGTCTTCATGAAGGTCGATGCAAACTGTGACGGAACAGTGGACTGGGTAAGGCTGTCCCTACGTCTATCAATCTATGTGTTTCTGTCGGAATTGTACCATTTTGTACGAATAATACATGTTGTCGTGAATTTTCAAGCGAAATTACCCTGTCATATCAGCATGTGTTCGCCTATATGCCGACAGTGACACACGTCACATAGAGGTCTATCTATAGATCTCTGAGCCCTTTTTTCTCATCGGCAGTTCGTCTTTCCTCGAAAAAAGCAATCATTGTAATCGATTTTACTTGGAAATATTAAATTATAACGAGCGCTCTTTGTGTAAATACGATATGACGAAAAACAATCGGATCAGCAGTGCGCTTAACATGATTGGTTGCGACAGAGTTCAAGTGTACGAATTTTGTTGTCAACGTTTGTAATGATTTCTGTTTGTGTTACCTCAGAATTCATGATTGTTTCTTATACACTTCATGTCTAAGTTCAAATGACTTATGAAATGCAATTCAAAGATTGTAGATGGAAATCCGAAAATTGATGTTATACTTTACAATTTACACACCGCTGTGTTCGCAGGTTTCACACTTACCGACATGTAACTCATGTCTGATTAATATTCAAAGCATAATTTTAGCATTTCATTATTTGATGAATAATTATGTTTTAAAATTAAATGTCTATGCATACTCTGTCTTCCCTACCCAGGATGAATATCTGTCGTACATGCTGATGGAGTATCAGGAACGAGATCACATGAGTAATCTATTTAAAGAGGTAGGTTGCCTACAAATTGATATACCCGTCAGTCACACATGTTAAAAATGTATGCGAGATAATTGCAATTGTATCACAAAGTCGGTCTAGCCAAAGAGTAGCCTACCTCCATGTTTGCCTGACGAAACAAATAGATAGGCCATGTATTTCATGTTTTAATTTTATGATTTTCCCCCTTTCCCCCCGCCAATCTCTCGCTCTGGACGTCCGAATAGAGAGTAAGTTATAAAGAGGTGGCGTGATAACTAACTGCTTCAGCACAACTTACCTTAAATGACACTCATTATTACTTCCTCTGTTTTTACTCCTCCTATTGCTGTTTTGTGATATTAATTATTTACTTCAGCCCCTAGTTATTAATTTGATCATAATCATTACCAAAGCACTTGATGAGAAAACAAGACATCCCCGCATGGTTAATACAAAATGCTGTGTGGAGCATGTATACACAACAATAACGGTTTGGTTTGCCTCTAAACTTGTACATATATAAATACACTTAAAAGTATTGATTACTTCTAAACTACACCTATTAACAATGATATAATTAAATTGTCATTAGCTATTGTTGTTGTGAACAATTAATTGAATACATGAGAACAAGAAGGACATAATTCCACCATTTTGTTGTGCATTTGTGGAAGTCACATAGGCTAGGAGGACGTGGAATTTTTTTTATCAAGTTTGTCTGCAATTGACCCTTTTGTTCAGGAGGAAGCTCTTCTCTCAGCCGTCGTGTGTTGGGTTTATCGCATATTGACCAAAAGCAGTGGCCTTTTCAACGGTTTTGGAAACCCGTACTGAATTATGAGAACAAGCCTAAACATTTGACGTCTTTGAATTTACGTCTATTTTATCACAGATACCCTTCCCGAAGCCGCTAAGAGAAATCCACAGGTATGTTTATTCCAAAACTAAAATTAATTTCCTTTGTATTATTTTATTGGGGAATTGCATCGCCACAAGCGAATAGTTCAATAACAATATTACAAGGTAGGATGGATCACGGATCCTACACACAAGGATGAACGACTCGGCCCAACTCCTGGTTAGACGCATGATAACGGCCTGTACTGGTGGCAAATACCAGAAAAAATTTTCAACAAAGACCACTGCGCGCGGTGGCTTTCAGATTTGCAAGGCTCTTCGCCCGATCTGGCCTCGAAGTCTGTCAAGCCAGCGAATTATAGTTTTGAATATTCATGAGTCTACGTTTTTGGTCTTTATTTTTGAATTGTGATAAGTGATAACTACATAACCATGGTAATGCCGCGCACAATATCTTTAGCTTTAAGATGAACAATGAAATGTCGCTTTTGTTTCATCGGTTCGGCATCCTATCTCTCTAAAACTTTTTAATAAAAGCCTAATTAAAAACGACATTTGGGTAAACGGTGTTCTTCTCGAAATTTGACGTTTATTTCCCGGGTAAATACTTCATTTATGACGACAAAAACTGCACAATACCATCTGTTATATCCTGAAGTATTTATTTTTAAAAATAATTTGGAACAATTCTATCTTAAATAAGAAGTAGTTTTACTTACAGTTTAATGAATATTTCCGTTTTAGATGTCGTGCAAAAACCCAACACAATGGCACATCTGGAAAATTCGCGATTACGCGCCAAGGGGCATTAATGCCCGTTATCACGCGTCTAACCAATTAAGGCAAGTCTGCTCAGTGCATTTTGTACTAGAGCTCAGAACAGTCGTTTATCCTGGTGTCTAGGATCAGTGGATGGATCTTGAAACACACAAGCAAGATGACTAAGGCTGCACGTGAGCTTTCATGACATTTCAAAAAACGTTTGAACATACACTGGAAGCTCTGCAATTATAGTGTTGTAGGATCCAGACTTAGCTTACGGCAAAGTTAACTGAACCGTCACTTATGCTAACGCCACAGTAATTACCTACAACCTCTTACTGAGTCTATAAATCTTTCATTTTATCCTATGATTGTTTTGCTGCTGCAGTAACCATCGTGACATGCTCACAAAGGTTGGTTTCTATCAAAACCTTAACCTTCGCCATGGTAACCTGCATGAGGAGGGAGAACATGGAGGCCGCTATATATCAGTCAGCAAAGAAGGTGTTATCAACTTCTGGAGCATGGACATGCACTTACAACGCTCAGTCGCGGTGAGAAAAAAATGAATTAGGCTTCGGAATTTATGTTTCTAAATTGTTCACCGTGAGCATGCAGATTTGTAGATGGATATTTGCAGGTCCAAGAGGACTGTTAAAGTCCACTTGTACCGTGACCTATTCCATTGACTGAGTGACTGACTGACTGACTGACTCGGCCCCCCCACTCCCCTACTCCCCGACTCCCTCCCCAACTGGTTGACTGACTGACTGACTGGCTGACTGTAACTTATGAGCAGGGCAGTGCAATCGTATCTCGTTGCATTGTTTCTGTAATAGAGAAATAATAATACCGGAGTCTTATAGCGCACGTATCTAACAACAATTAGGGACTCAAGGCGCTGGTAATAATATCATGTCAATTTTTAAGGACAAGTAAATGAAGTTTATGAAACATATGAGACCCATTATGTAGCCTTTATAATTGTTAACAAGGTGATGCGGCGCATATTACAGCCACTGCTAGAAACACCGGGGCAAACCCCTTCTCTTCGCGATAAGTGTTACTGGGTTATTTTACGTGCATTACACAACACACGGGACCTACGGCTTTACGCCCCATCCAAAGGACGATGCAATAATGGTAAAGTGCCTTGCTTAAGTGTACAAGCACCATGTTCCCCGTCAGGATTTCGAACCCATGTACCATGGCACACGAGTCGAACACTGTAACCACTGGACCACAGTACCCCAAAATCATTTCATTTCATTTGAAATCATTTCAGATCATTTTTTTTTATAAACATTTACAATGAAAATTTAGAATGAATGTTTCTATTTACGATGAAAACATTTCAAATCGTTGTTTTTTTAATAAGTGCATATACACTTATAAAAAACAACGATTTGAAATAGGCCGACGCTTTCATTGATTACTTTTGTGCTATCTTTGTTTTCTTATTAATTTTACAGATAGAGCAACCTCGGGAGAAGACGAAGCCTATGTGGTTAACAGACATGGTCTGCATGCCTAACGTGAACATGATCGCTGTGTCATCTACAGAGAGAGATATCAGTAAGTGATTATCGGATTTAGCTTTCTAAATTCTTACCAGTTTCAGTAATAGGAGAAAAAAACCCAAATGTCTGAACTGCAACTTAGTTGGTTGAGTGTCTGTACAGTTTGTCGCAGATTAAAATCCAGATTCAGACAATGAATTGTTAATCCGGTTTTCTTTTTAAGATTTCAACCTTATTGGTTCCCTGTTGCAGTTTATATGATTTAAAAAAAAATAGAGGGGATGCTGTAAGAAATTTGACGAATATTTATTTAGCTTTTGAAATGCATGTTATCCAAACACAGTGATCATAAAAGTGTACACTTAATACCTTATATCAATGAATTGTGGGACTCATTATTGTCTAACTGTATACCGATTATTTGTCCTTTCACAATAAATGCAGGTTTTTACGATGTTAATGCGACCAAATTTGATCGGTGTTTTCAAGTCTCTGGACTTGATAACTGCGCGCTGACGATGGACTACTGGTAGGTCGCTTACATTTAACGTAATTCTATCTTCCTTGACCAAGCGGATACATGTACATTCAATGAACTAAATGTAACCATTGTAAACAAAGTCAGAAAACAGACCTGGATTTCAAGATCGCGAAGAAATATTGAGTTATTCAAAGTTCTCCGTCATGGCGCACCGTTTTCCTTTCTTCTGAACAGGTTTGATCCACGTAACATGAACAAAGCGGTGTTGGTGTTCGGTGATGCAGGAGGTAATGTGTGCTGTATCGTCTTCACAGAAGCAATGGGGTCTGCGCTCTTTGGTTCACAGAATGCAAAATCAGGTCAGACGATTATTTCACATGTAGAGCTCGGTTCATACTCCCCTTGAATGCAAATGCAAAGCGAATTTGACATCATGAAACTCGCTACGAAATTCGCCGAATTCGCGTTCGCTATGGCTTTTGCGCCGAGAAGAATGAACCGGGCTTAATGCCATTCTCACATTAGTATTTTCTGATCGTGTCTATTGCTGAACAAACAATTGGATTTCTCATGATTATGAAACTACCAGAAAAGAAACCAAATAAAGTATACACGTTAATCACAACTTACTTCGTCATGATATTTTTTTTTCTAAAATTAACAGAAATTAAAATAATCATATTTTCATTCGATAGTTGGTTCCAGGAGGGTTCCCTTTCCGGAACTTCTCAAAGGGAGTGTCAAAGGAGTGGTTGCTATGAAATTCTCGGTATGTATCAGTTTATTGCTACAGTATTAATTTACAGGAATATAGGGGGCCTATCATATCTATTCCTTGATTGAGCATTACGGTGTATGATAAACCTCGTCATCAGCTCTTTACTACAGGACTAATGATAGATTGAATCCAGTCCACGAACCTCTGTCATTTTATTTCAGTAGCACAAATGTAAGATTAGTTCAATGGAGGATTGACAGTTTTCTTATTAACTTGTTTCAGTTCTACTATGACGACAGACCTTTGATTTGCCGCCGCATGAAATCGTTTTTTTTTCTAAACAGAAAATTAAGTCGTAATGTGTGCTACATTTTAAATAGATGGAAATCAGATTACCAGCACTGCGTAGGGAATGTAAAGTTGATGTGTATTATTTCTATAAATATCGGAATGTATCGAAAAATTAGATATACACAAAGCAAGATAATTTTTACAGATTGCAGGGATCGTAAATGCACAGTTTCAGTTTTTGGCTACGTTGTATAAAAAAAAATAAAATACCGATAGACCACTAGCCTTGTGCATTCTCTTCACTAGATCATAAGATCCGAATAAAAATGACGGAAACAATGTTTTAAATTTTGATCACTATGGTTTGGCAGCCCCTTCATGAGGATTGGGTACGGAAGGTCAAATACTGTAGCAATCTGAACTCATTCATCTCATGCGCTACGACCAACGAATCCTCCATCTACATTGGTGATCTGAGCAGAAAGAAATCGTAAGTTACAAAGTGACAAGCCATGCATGACGCTGCTTCGTAAAGGGAAGAGATGAAATTATACAGATTATTAGAAAAAAAAATACCAGACTTGAAAGTTCAGAATCATCCATAGATAAATCAACCTTTCTAGGAATTACCCTCAATTCACGATCTAAAACTTCAGGGCAAATCTTCTTATCAGAAATGCAAGCCCGTCAATTAATAATTATTGGCTCTATTTCGAGACAATAATACGGACTTGTTTAGAAATCTCCCTTTGAAACAAAATGTCAACATCAATAAAAGCAGATAAATATAATCCGTTTTAAGCTCATCAAACTTCATTTCCGTTAGGAGCAGATGTCTGTGGTCATCAATTAACATTAAATGAGCTTAACACTGACAGCTGTTATTATCCAATAATCATGAAAATAGGGCACGGAATTGAAATCTGTGTCTTTTCAATATAATTACGACGAATTATTTTGCTCTTTTGTTTTCCTTTTTTTTAGTGGGTCGTTTTTCAAAATCAGGAAAGGTATTCTCTGTTTTGACTACTGCAAAGAAACAAACATGATTGGTAAGTATCACATTGATCTGAATGTAAGAGGACAACAGTTAACACAGTAGCAAAGCATACAGAGTTTCCGATGTTATCTCTTTATTGTATAGAATAAGAAGATACAGGCAGTGAGGAACAAAAAACTCCAAGGTCCAAACTATAGGCTTATCCCGCTCCCACATGACTCTTTGCGTCAAATGATCCCAAATGCAGAATTAAAACGATGGCATACAGAGTCCATCAGTACTCATTCCATAATTTTAGAATTGTAATTTGTCTTTTGAGAAATTTCTGTTGTTTTCGATAGAAAAGTCTCATTGATAAATTCTCATTTTGTTAATGTGTAGTTACCGGAGGAATGGATCGGTCTGTACGGACATGGAATCCCTACGTGACTACCAAAGCGACCTCCGTCATGAAAGGTCACACGTCAGCTGTCGTACACATTGTTGTCAATAGTACGCATGGGCAGATCATTAGCGTTGGCAAGGATAAGGTATATTAATTAGACCGTACAGCTCATCCAAGCTCATTATAACATGGAAATATTCTTCGTATTTGCAGCCATCTTTGAGATGCGTGCTTTTGTTTCGTAGAGATGTACACGAGCAGACCTGTTGTGTCTTTATTGTTTCTGAATTGAATATAAAGAAAACCTGAAGCATTGCAGCCGAATACAGAAAACATTCATTACATACCTCCGAACATTGGGGGGAACGAGATGGTGTCTCAAAATTCTGATATTGTAACAATTCGTTTACTGAATCATGTACACCAGCCATAGAGAATAATCAATGTTTTGATGTTTGGGACTTTCCATTTTTCAAATATGATAAGTTCAGATTGAACCCCCCCCCTTATTGTCATCAATTTTTGCCTGTATTACTATAATGGTCTCATTACATTGTTATATAAGAGGCAATTTTAACAACGTATCCCTGGCGCTTCATTTGGAATAAAGCAGACAAAACTGGCTTCAAATCATTCCTGGAGAGAGGAAAACAGTTTTTTAATATTCTGTCTTAGCTAGTGTAATAAACTATTCACGAGATGTTATCTTATGTGTCATTTGTTTCAGGGTGTCAAAGTGTGGGATATGAGAGACCAGACTTGTATGCAGAATATCAATCCGCGTAGTATCAACATGGGACCTCATTCCATAAGTACAGTGTGCTTCCATGCTAAGACAGGATCACTCATTCTGGGTACTAATCAGGTAAATCTTTACATCATTATTTTCATATTCGTTTAAAAATAGCAACCAATTTATATGGGAAATCTGTATTAGCGAGTTTCAATAGATATTTCATATTTTTAGTATAATTTCAAAGGATGTAAGTTATAAGCAACGATTCCGATTTTTTCCTTGTTTCACTTCGTGAATTTGTCACTCATTAGCGGTGTATCGAGCATCGCCAACTATAAACACGCTCAAGTGGACATGTCGAACTCAAATCAATTATCAATAACAATTTATACGAAATTCCTCAAAATCTTTAATGTCGGCACATAGGCCTGTATATGTTGTTACGGAGTACCTATATGTTTGCTGGCAATAAGTGGTCCTATGCTTTCATTCTATACAGATCGCACTTTTGGAACACAAATGGGATGCTGATGCTGAAGACGACGATGTGACGTCTCATAACCGACCAATCACAGCAGCGATCTATAATCACCTGTTCAATCAGGTGGTCAGTGCATGCCATGATTCTGTCGTCAGTGTTTGGGATTTAGCCACCGGCACCAAGACGATCATGTTCTCAAAAGTATGGAAATAAAACTGAATCTAATAGCACGAATATAGGTTTCGCAGGTTAGCTGTAGAATACTGTGCAAAATCCTTGATAGGATATCCCCTACTTAATTAAGGTATATAAAAGGTCAACTGATTGGTTGGCATAGGCCTACAGACCCTTTACATTGCAGCCATCTATGAGGCCCGTGTGTTTGTCCACACGGATACGCATTATTAGACCTCCGAGTCGAAGAACATCGGCTGCTGAATGTGCAGAATCTATTAAGATAAACGTATGAAGCCTTTTGTTTAACATGTATATACTTCAGGCGGAATGCGACATGTACTTAAGACATTTTTATATTAGTGAATGTATATTTTTGGTACAAAAATGTAAAAAGTACATAAAATGCTGTCTAGTTATAATTGTTCTACCCACACACAAAACCATCTTTGTCAACATCAGCAATCGTGGACGACCTATTGTCCCTCGTCCTCATTCCTTTGTTTGTACTCTAACTATTTAACAACAGCTCTCAAGAAATAAGATGACATTCTGCAGGGCTATTATCTGTGTCTGACGGTCCTGACCTCCCCCACCCCCTGCAAAAATGCCTGGACCCTTCCCTGGTACCATGGTTGTATCATCAAGTATCAAATGCTTTGAGGTGCTCTTCAGAAGTGTTACAGAATGTATGGATAATTCTGTGTCCGAATAAACCATACAAAAGAACTGTTTTCAATGCATTTGTTCCTCGTTCTTTTTGGTAACGACAGGCTCATAAATACATGGAGAAAGGTGTTGAGAAGTGTGCTGAGATAACAGCCATGACCTTTGACCCATCGTACCGGAGACTAGTGACGGGTGGACGTGATGGATCTGTGAAGATTTGGAACTTTAATAATGGCGCTTGTCTGAGAGAGTTGGAGACATTTGACACGATGGAGGTGAAACTTTGATTGAAATTCTGTTTAAAAAGCACGGTCAAAAACAAACAATCACCTGATTGATGATGATGATATATTATGCAGGAATTGTCCGGATCTCATCTATTTGTTTTTTTTTGTTCTCAATGAAGGCAATATTGATTGCCATTTTGAATGTGATTATTGTTAGGAACACATGAAGATACTTTTTTTTCAGAGTTGAAGCAATATTTAATTCAATTCAATTCATCTCAACATTTATTTCCGTATTGCGAAGAACATTCAGGTAATTATACAGAAGGTCAATGTACGAAAGATGTTTGAAAAAATACAAGATGGATAATTATGTAAGACACAAATGAGAAAAAGGGCAATAATAAAGGCAAATTCAAAAGACAAACGTCTTATATAGAAATGCCTTTTTAAGACAAAAAAAATGACATACAGAACTTACAATTGTCTATCTCGTCCGTGTGTCGTTATCATGTTGTTTTTCTGTTGTGATTGTTGTCTGTAAGGGCTGTTTCTTACAAGCCTCGGCTTACTTAAACAGCCCCATACTCCTTACTTTCTCTTGTACATAAATTGAAAGAAGCTTATCATTTCTTCAAAGCGCATTTTACTTTTATTGTTTTTTGAGACAAATTGATTGATTTTGTTATTTTGCTATTTACCAGTCTTTCTTTTATTTATGGATGTATTCTTTGGAATAAATGTCTTCTTGAACTGAATTGAATAGATTGTACAAAGGAAAGACAGAACGGAAAAGGACAGACAAAAACGAACCAACTGACTGAGATGTATTAAAAAGCTAGAAGTTGAAATACTTGAAACTCTCAGAAGAGAAAGAGGATAACAAATAGAACGATAAAAGAGAAGGAGCTACGTTAGATATTTGGAGACAAGGTGTTGTTTTGTAGAAGTTCTTAAAACATCCCACCGATGACCGTGACTGAATGTTACCATCAATGTTTATTCCAAAGACGGGGTCCGTAGAATCTCAATGTGTTCAGGGAATAGATGGTGCGAGCAAAAGGCAGAAAAAAGTTGCAACGTGAAGGGCCTATACTAACGTTGACAATAGTTTCATTGTATATACTTTTGAACAGGTAACAGGTATTGTTTGCCCAAAGCAGCGCATTGTGACTGCCGGATGGAATAGACGAGTAACCTCCTACATGTAAGTTAATTGATGCAGATGACACAAGATAAAAATTACCGAGAATTCTAAAGAAACTCTATGATATAAACACGTTGTGAATTTACTTTATTGCATTTGTAATTAGGTTAATTAAAACTAGACCTTGAGCTTTTAATTTGGTGTAAGCGCAAATCAGTGTTATCCTCGGACGAATAAAAACAAAATCACAAGCGATCCACATGGTTAATCCAATAATATTTAAAAATGGTTACAAGTTTCAATGTATTACTGCTAAAAACTGTTCGGTAAACTTTTCTAAAGAAAACTGGAGAAATACTTCACATTGTTACTACCAGAACCGCTCTTTGCATTCATCTACATAATAATTAGTTTTTGCAAAACAAAAATTAATATTTTATTTTTCATTTAACTCGCAATTTCTTATTTTCAACAGTGACTCTGACGACGACGATGATTCGCGTCAATGGATGCTCAAACACAACGAGGACATTTTGTCCCTTGCAGCATACGACACAAGTATCATTGCAACGTCTTCATACGACGGCGACATCATCATATGGTCCTTAGAGACCGCCCAGCCACTGTGTAGACTCAATGCCAGTGATGGTGTCAGTCCGCGTACCGGTAGCAGGACAATCAATTACAGTTCTAAGACTGCAGGTAGTAGTACCAAATCAGCAGACGTGACGCGGCTGACACGTCGAAGAAGTGCAGCATCCAATGCCAGCTCAGCGTCTGATGCAGATAGCTCAGACGGTGTAATAGGAAAACACAAAGCAAGCTCTCACAAGACTCTCCTAAAACGTCAAAGTACTAAGGCCTTGTTTGACCCTGTTGAGACATCCAAAGCAGTCAACGATTCAGAAGACGAGCCGAGCTACCGAAGGACCAGTCTCCCTGCTATCGGCACACCGAAGGCTAGCTTCGTAAATACCAGTCAGAAGCGATCCGAGGGAGTCAAAGAGGATTCCCAGACGTTCTTCACGGAGAGTATGAGTAACTTCAAGCAGAGGGCTCCTAGTGGACGTACTGCTAGTTCGAGTAGGAAGTCGTTCTATGTAGACGTAGAAGACTCAAAGGAATACACGAAGAAACATGAATCAGCCGTTGACAAGGTGTGTGTTCACTTTGCATTAGGTCGTGTCCAAAACGGGCTCTCTGCGGCTACGCCTATTGTCAGCTTGATGTCCTATAGTTGTAATCCGGTGTGTAAGTGGCTGCGTCATACACGCGCACGCATACAGCCTTAAGCCTAGTTTCCATATCGACGTAAGAAACGCAAAGTGAAACGAAAACAAGACGGACCAAACTGGAACGCTGACATAATTATGGAAACACTTCATCCGGAAGTGTCGCTGACGGACGCAAACTACTTTGCAGACGATCAGCAAGTTGAACCGGTACAACTTTGCCGACGGTTTCGCGTACTGTCTGCGCAGTCTGCGTATATAAGCTTAACGTCGATATGGAAACCAAGCTTTACGGGACAGACCTTTTCCTTTGTTCCTAGTTTTCAAATCTCAAACTCCAAAGCGTTTCCCTTATGGGGCAGATTTTTTTCTAAAGACTTCCTTATGGGGTCTATTGCTCTATTGTGTTTTCTACCCCATAAGGAAGTACACCACTTATCCCTTTAGCGCTCATTGGCTAAACACTCCTGAGTTGCACTTACTTCCGGTTCTATTGGTTCCAATGCTGCACCATCTTTAGGTGATATTCCTTCAGTCCCGACCCAACGATAAGGACACAGCAACCCTAATGGCCAGCGGAGCAGATGGCTGGGTTCGTGCCTGGTCGGTCCATCATAAAGGCGGACTACTCGGTCAGTTTAACGCGGCACAGAAGGGCGGTGGAGAATCAGTTCTTGCAATGACTACAGATTCAGAGAATGAGTTTTTGATCACTGGAGATACATCCGGGTACATCATGGTAAGAAGATAAGACGTAGTTCACCTTGCGATGGCATTTTTTTGTTTAATGATGTCATAAAAATATCTAGACAGCAGTTTGTATATGAATGTCTTGGTATTTCTTTAGGTTTGGGATATCACAGACTATTGCATCGGAAGCAGCACCGCGCCCCAGGCTCGTGTACCATCAGCCGCCTTACAACACATGCGCAAGGACAGTAAATTCCCATTCCGAGGCGGCAACCCGACCATACTCAAGCTTCAAGAGCGGATGGAGAAGAAACAGCGAGCTGAAATGAAACCGCCCCCATCGGCCACCAATCCTAGAGAGACTATCAAATGGCCGAAGAAGCTGAACTCGTTCCGTGCGCACGTGGCATGTGTTACGCACATAGAGTATTGTGAAGATAAGAGTTTGATTGTATCTAGCAGTGACGACTGTTCTGTGAGGTTATGGACACTCTGTGGACGATACATAGGCAAGTGTAGCATTATCGTCAGGGAAAATGTACCAGTAAACTTGTACAAATTAGCCATACCAACTTGAAATGTACTTGCTGAGAATTTGTCTTACAAATAAGCTCTGAAACTAACGAGAAAGTTGTAGGCAATAGGCCTACGACAAGTATGAGAGAATAACACCCAAAATCAAAAATGTTTACACAATCTGCTGAGCAGGAGGCCTTTTCTTCTTGTCGTCGGCTATTCCATACTGGTATACTTAAAATATTACCCGAAAAAAACAGCTAAAACAATATGTATAAACAAGTTTCAAATAATGACTGAGACTGCTGCTGCATGAGGTATTAAAGTAATCTGTAATTGTTAAAGCAAACCATAACACAGATACATTTACCAATGTTCTATGCGTTTTGAACGACTACCCCAATGAACCTTTTGATTCGTCTTTGATAGGAACCTTTGGTCAATTTGGCGGTTGGCAGACACTCCCTGAAGAGGTCATTCCTAAAGAGTTACCCCGTCGGTTACCACGCGACGTTCATCGAGTTGCCTCAGCTGTGACATTGAAGGTGTTGAATGGAGGCATTATGCCAAGATGGAAGTAAGTTTGACCTATGGCCCCCTCAAGAGCCTTGAGGTCACAACGGACTTGCATAATATCGTGTACTGAGAATGATGTTGACCTTGCTTCACATTACGCTCCCATCACCCACATCACTTCCATTGCCTACTTATAAAACGTGAGCTCAAATCACTCCCATACTTTACAGACTTTAAGGCCAAAAAAAAAAGTCTCCGGTTTCTGGTATGGAGCTTGCCCAAAAAGTGGTGCGGCGACGCGGCTTTTTTTTTTTTTACCTGGTTTTTTTTTTTTGGGGGGGGGGCTTCAAATGTCGGCTGATGACTGCAAATGGTGCCCGACTAAACTTAGTGCAAATATAATAGTCTAGAGAGGCCACATAAAGCTTATTCTCGATCATAACCCCATCTAAAAACACGTTAAAATTGTGCAGCAGCAGGATTCCAGTCAAACCAGTGAGTTTGGCGGTTTTGAGACATCATCTTTCATTGAAAAAAAAAACTTTTTTCATTTTGCCGACGCGCATGGCTACGGCGACGCGCGCGCATACCAGAAACCGGAGACTTTTTTTTTTGGCCTAATGGCTCCCAGTTAATATAGAATATAATGCAAAATTTTGGCCTCGCATTCAAAGCACTTCAGGGTCACGCTTCACTCTACCTTCAAACTTACAATTTGGTAAGCCAGACCAAGATGGACTCTGGCAGGTTGTTTCAGGTGAAAAAAAGCGTCTCCATATATTGCAACCCGGCCCTGGTACTGTTTACCAGCAAGTTATCAGAGAAACAGACAAGAAAAATTACACTCTTCAAGACGAATAAAACATCTTTTTATCTTTTTTCCCCTGCAAAACTAAGTTGTCTTTTCCCAATTTTCATCTAGACAGCCAGTTGAATGGTTCCCAGTTATAAACTATGTTTCATTATTATTAATTAATATGTGCCGAAAAAGGGATTGCAAATGCATGTTTTGTCTCTGAGACATCTTAAATGATGATAATGGAAATTTCATGTGCCAAACCTGTTTGTCCACGGATGGCTTTATTCCATCCGATTGACTGAGCTTCGGAGCTTGATTTGAAGGAAAGTGCTAAGTGCTATTTTCATGATTGTTTCAGCATTTAAACGAAAAAAGCTCTCAGCTTTAAACTGATAACCAGAACATGAAAATCCGCCGATCCCTTTTTTTTTAATGGCAACTCTTTTAGGGTTGCATTTTTTTGGTCATTCTGTATACATGTATATACATGTGTTAGGGTAACTATATCCGGTGAGCAGTGTTTTACTTTTGCTATTCACATTTTCTATGCTCCGGTGATAAACAGCATCCCCACATATTTTTTTTTATGTATATACATGTATACAAATTTTTTGTTTTACTTCAGTTGGGGTAATTGTATTGTGAATGCGAAGTTTTATGCTTTATTACAAAGTGCACAATTCTATCAATATGCCTCTACACTATTGTGAAATTTTGTATGTTTCCTACCAGAATTTCAATTTATCCTATTCTAATCCGATCTCTGTCTGAATACTTGATAGGCTAGCTAAGAACATCATGATGATAGTGGCTCGCAACCAGCTTGCTAAAGCTGCACAAGGCATTGATGATTCGTCTTTAGAAGGTGATGACGGAAAACTACTTGGTGAGAAGGCACATGATAGCGGCAAGGCCAGCCTCGGGACTAGCACCATCTTGGGCAAATCTTACAAACCTAAGACAAGACACAAGATGCCACCTACATTACCTGAGATCAAACAGAATCAGAACCAGGTAAGGTGATGTAGTGATTCTGAATACACTAATATGAGAAACTGTCATTATATCAGTGATTGACTTGGGAGTAACATTATGGCTGAATTACTCAATAATATATCAGGGAGTATCTTTTTCTGTTAGTCAATTTCCTTCGTTCAACTGGGAACTATATCAAACTTTAATCCAAAAAAGGCACCAACCACAAGCTTATAGCCGAGTTTTATTATCTCTGAATACTCTTGTAAGACACAAATCGTCTCTTTGATATGCTAGACGTTTCCTTGAAAGGTAGACGTTTGAAAAATTAAGGAGGGACTACATAAAATCGACTGTTGCAATCGTTCGGACTGACGCCAGATTCTATATATTACTGAAAATCTATTACATGAAGTGCGCCCGTTTGAAATAATCTACTTGTGTTGACCTAAGTCGCTTTTAAGTTTTAGTACTATTTACTATTACGCTTTTAGTACTATTTACTAATACGGGCCAATGAACCGATTACATGTATTACTTTCCATGTAGAGCCTGACATTTCACCCCTGTTGGCGCGCTTCCGGAACCCTTGAATAGGAAAGTCAAGGTGCAAACATTCTAAAATTATAATTATTTTTGGTACATTGATTTCTTAAAATAATCAACCCAAAAAAACCTCTTGTTTAAAGAATGCCAAGATACAATTCCAACATGAATGTTTCTCGGGGTCGTTACGGTTAAAAATCATTCCGCCAAAAATTGTCACTAGAGAAAAGGCAACCCAGTATAAAATGCCAGCAGGTGAGCCGCGTGAGGGTTCCGGAAGCTGAACCGTGTGACATTTTCCTTCAGATTCTATTGTAGACTGATTAATGCGAAAGTCGTAATCGGTAACTCACTCTAGAGTTACCAATGCAGCGGCTGCCTTCATCAAGCAGGTAGATTTTTCGTTGCATAATTTATCAATATGTTTATTACTGTATGTTTTGCAACAGGTTGTCGTGTATTCTTCCCTTCCATTCACCGATCTTGAGCCCGTCGAAGAAATCAAGGTTCCCACTACACTACACGAGATTCAGTTACGTCAGCAGCAATCTATGGAAGCAATGCGCGGGGCTGAGAACGGATTAGCCGGGGGCGCACTCGGCAAGAAACACGGTGGGAAACGGTCTCGTCTACAGGAATTCTTACAGAAACAGAAGGCGGTACGGATTCTGACTAAAGGAAAACTGGGCTTAACGGCTGCAGCCGCAGCTGCAAATAAAGGGGGAAAATAAGGCAAAATAAAGACTATTTAGGTGTGGACTCCAAGTTGGAGGACGGATTGAGGACTTACAAGGAAGCACGACTGATCCATCATTATACAACAAATGAATTCCCCTTTTTTCCAGCAATTAACAGAATAAGATACCAATACATAAGTATGTTTACTATTTTATTCACTATACTCATTTGAAACGTGTAATTCTCAGCCTAATATGTTTTATTTCTATACCTACATGTAGTGTACATATTGTGGAAGTTGTAAATATTTTATTAAAAAAGATCTACAAGTGCAGCTCTTATTATAAGAAAAGGTAAAAACACAAAACGAAGAAGAGTATGAGTTCTTTAAAGTGTACATATACATTAATCAGGGGAATGGTAACTAGAGTACCCGTCTCTTTTCGTAACAATTACCAAGGATTAAGTCGAATGCCTTTATCATTTAACTGGGATTATTTCAGACAGTGGATCGCCATATGGTCGATAATCAACGTATACTAATTCAAGTCATTTGACCCGGCCAGCGTTTTGATATAAATTTATTGTTTTGTGACTCAAAATCTGGCCTTGGTTTTTCAGGTTTTTTTGACCAAAATATAGACGGAAATAATTTTAATACAAATGATGAGTGCAATATTTTCTTATTGTAGATACACTGTAAATACTTGCTGGTTTGTAATGTCGTATGAACGATAGATTAGAAACTACATCTGGACAGTTTGGGATTGTATATAGAATTAAATAACACCTATGTCGTTGAGAAAATTATGTGTGTGGTGTATTTGAGTTTATTTCTGCATTCAATAGGGGACGTTGGACAATAGAGGAGAATAGGGTCCCCAATTCCCGAAGGTCCCCAATTTGGCGATCGTGTACAAAACATATGGGAGGTCTTCCTAAAAAGTTATAGTACAAACAAAAGAAGGACAATAGGGGTCACTGATTGCAGGCAAATACACACTTGGTGTGCATGTGCGTGTTTGGGATCGTGCTACGTCGGAGCAGTGGTCTAAAGGATAACATTCCTGTTCGATTGGTAGACATATATCTGTGGTGATGTGGTTTAAATTGAATTTTACTTTAGGAATGAATGCATTTTAACACTTCACTTTAGAACGAGTATAACGATGATGCATGTCCCTTCATATACTCGTGTGAACGATACACCTGGCCTCTGAATCTGTAATAAGATACTGTTCAAACTCATAAGATATCCCGTACAGGGCACACACGCGGTACTGCATGTATAGCAGCATCAGCTCTCTTTGTGAATATGAGGGGATATCTGTTGTTGATTTTGCATTCATAAATACCTCTGACAGTTTAGCTATTCCTATGGTCGAGAGCCCGTCAAGTGGCCGGTCTTAAACGGATGATAAAGACATGGCTAGCTGGTCTTAAACACTTTTCCAGTGTCACAATAAAATGTGGACTCCTTAAAACCCAGTGCCTCTTACCGTTTCATTGGTTGAACGTTCACAATCCTCACGTAGGCATGCGCAACACTACAAGCGAGTCAGAATTTTATAGTTCTAAATTCAAAACACAACGCCCCAGGTGCGTTCTGCGCGACATCGCGCAGAACATGCTACGCGCGCGTCAATCTCCATTAAAAAAGGTTGTTTACATCTTACTCGCCAGCTGAACACTCCATTATTTTGCTAGAGGGATGTTTAAAAAAGCATGAAGTTAACTTGTTGAACAAAATCGGGATTTTTTGAAAGAATTATTTGATTTTTTTTTTCCGAAAAGGTATTTATGAATGGGAATAAATATGTGCTCGGTCGGTATTTATCACTCTGTTTAAGACCGCTTAGAGTCTGGGTGCTGATAATTAACCGAGCCGGAGGCTCGGGTAATTATCAGCACCCAGACTTTAAGCGGTCTTAAACAGAGTGATAAAAAACCTCCGGAGCACATTTATTCCCTTATTTAAAGACAGTCAGACTTGATGAGTCTCTCATATCTACCGGTAGAGTGTTCTATTGGACTACAACTCTTGGCATGGATGAACATTTATAGCAGTCCTTTTATTTTTTTGAGGACAAGAGAATGACAGGCCTGAATATTGTCTAGTGTATCTCTTTTGGCTGTTGTTGACGGAGAACTTGTTGACATTATTGGAGGCAAGCTGATGGTGTGCTTCGTGCAAGAGGATCAGTCGGACACCATGAATTAGATGCAAATGTCCTTGTTGGGTAGCTTTGAAAAGACCACATAAAAATAATGTCTCATCCAAGACCAAATTTTTACTAATACTAGATGAACACAAAATGCTTGTCAGTCTAGTCGGTCGCAAATCACAGAGAAACATCATTTTATTTTATTAATTCATGTCCTTATTAAATATTCATGGCATGTGACTGTCAAACATGGGACATTACCACAAGATTCCAAGGAATACAATATGAACTGATGACATTAATCGTCATCGTCATCGTGTCTCATGCCTTTCCATTGAATGTTATGATGGAGCCGAAGAAATGATGTGCTGTTTTTATGGACGGGATCTCAAAGTCCTTGATTTTGAATATTTTCTCGGTGGGTGTGCCACTACTCACTTGCACTTTAGAGCATTGAGATTGAGATTCACAGAGCAGGCATGAGACACAATGGTGTTTATGATCCGTTGATGACGTTTAACACTGGAGGTAATTAAGTTGAGTCGTCTGCAAAAGGAGTGGAGATAAATTGAATTCACGTAATTTATATCCAAACTTAGATTCAGAATAAGTAACATTTTGAATTGTCTGCACCATACGTCGTGCGATGACGAACTATCTGCGCTAGCACACGGGCATCATCAATAGCACTTCCCCTCCATTCGTTTACTTGTTTCTTCCCGAAAACTACAGATGACGTCTTTTCAACTCTGGAATCGAAGCTTATTAGTGTCCGGTGACTTCACCTGTTAAGGAAGAACTGGGCGTTGGAGCTCGTGTTTGTCGATTCAAATGTTGGACGAATGAAGCGGGATAATCTATCTTCATTAGGTGGAATGCCCCCAGGCAACAGCGTCTCAGAAATAACCTTTGTATTGTCGCCTACACTTATTGGAGTAACGAAAATGTCACACAGTCCGTACTGATGATTCAGTGAGAGATGATATGGATGGGGTAGATTTGAGAGGGATGTATCAGGGGAGGGGCCAAAATGAAATCCACGGGTGGAATGGGTGAATAAAATGAAATGTGCATGAGGTCCTAAAACTGCAACTTTATGCCGACACGAAATGGTTAATAACAATAATTGTAATAATAATAATATATTTTTTTCTCGTATCAATAGATAAGATAGATTTAAATTAATACCTCCAAACATGATTAATCTTTTTTTTCAGTGACCGGCAGTCCATTCGCAAAGGCTAATCAGACGTACATGGTCATGATTAGATTTTATTACTTGGCTAACTTGGCTAGAATAATTCGGAAAACCTGCCGTTTTGCAGTGTTGTGTCATGTTCTTTACAGTGTATTACTGATTTCTAAGCAACTGATTTGTTTGAATCAGTGCCCCATAAATTCGTCAAACAGGTAAATGAATCAATAGCTTTCACTGCTTCACAATCCGTCTGCAGGGTCAGTGTGACAACATTAATTTATTTGGAAAACTCTTAGCCGGACTATTCAAATGAACGAAATCTCGAAGGATGTCATACGCTCAAGGATCAAGAATTGAAATGTTTACCATAAGGGGTTGAGATATCTATTATTTTCAAAACACTGATCGTATAAAGTACAGTTAAACAGATAAATGAAACATTTCTCCAACTATTTTATGTACTCCCGTATCAAGAATTGTTCGCCATAAGGGGTTGAAATATGTATCATTTATCAAACACTGATCGCATAAAGTACACTTTGCCTTGTGCCATAAAGAGCGTTCAAAACACCTGTCACCGATCGCCTGTGGCTGACTTTCTTTTTTTCTAAACCAATCATCCAAGCCATGAATGATATAGCGATACGGGCCATAAACCTGAAATCACGTGGCCTATTACGTAGTTCTCTATTGTAATTTCTGTTCATAATATATTACAAGAGAGTTATGCGATGACAATAGCGCTGGGAATAATTATAAAACAGTTTTACCGTGGTATTAGTGAACTCCGGAGATCACAAATATTCATCCTGATTGAGCATCGTCAGACCACCGTGATCAGAAACACACGCACGGCACCATGGCTGATACCGAGGCAGCCCCATTGAGCTCAGTGCAGATCAACGCAGTGCAAGAGTCTTGGAAGATTATTGTGGCTAACTCCAAAGAAAACGGAGTAACTCTGATAAAGAGGTAAGCAGTGAGGTGATGGGGATGGGATGGGGACGGGGCAATTAGCGACTTACAATTAAGACCGTAAACAAGATGAAAGTATCAATTGAGAGTCCGCCAGATACGCAGTGCGATCTATGCCAAGTTCAGCTCAGCCTTTTCACTATTTAATGGGAAGATCAGTGGAAGATATTTGTGCCCATTGTCGACTACGGATTCATGTATATTTACCATGTTTCTGTCTCGCGTATCTTTGCTCACCAAATACGTACCCCTTTATGTACACCTGGCAACACCGTCTACTTCAATCCCAACGCCATGTCCGTACCCCCGTGAACCTAACCTCTATGATCTCTCTTCCCTACCCTTACCCTAACCCCACCTCTTTCAACAACAAAAAACCCTAGTCGTAACTTACCCATGATCACAATCGTAGGGGTAAATGCATTCCAAAGTTTTAACTAAGTTAAAGCTCTTTAAAATAGCCGGGGAGAGATAATGCAAACTCTCGGCACTCAAATTAAAGTCGGAAAGTATTTGTGCTTATTCACTTTAACCTAGGCGATAGGCCTGAATAAAAACAAAATGACAAATTGTGACTCGAAAAAGCGAGAGAATTAATGGCATACGAGACATAGCACACAACTCGTCGTTTTGATACGGGCCCTGTTTATTGACAGCAGCTGTGTTGTGAATAAAACATGCTTGCTATACGTCAAAATAAAAAAAAGAACTTTGTTTTGTATACAATGAACTCGCGTGGGCGTGGGAAGTGATTCGGTTAGTCAAACAATCGATCCCGGATCGCTTGCCCTTAACAAAAATGTGAATTCGAAAACGGAAATATTACATTAAAATCACATGTTAGTTTTGTGTATGGTTGCTCTATCACTATCCGAAGATGCTGCGAATTATAAAGGCTAATCATTGCACAAAGTAATGAAAGCGAAAAGGTACGTCACTGTTTTAACAACATTTATCCGGACAGAGCTCTAAGAATTTGACCGTCACCAGCAGTGCCATTTGGGAAGGTTGGTTCGAGTGAAGCGTAAGTGAAGGGGGGGGGGGGGATCAGTGTTCAAGGACGGTGGGTAGGCGGACGGGACATTGCAATCGACGAACGAAAAAGACCAAATAGCTAATGTGTTAATGTATCAAAACGTGAATTATTAATGTGATGACGTTAAAGAAATTGCGTCATGTAAAGCTTCCAATCGGGCTACAAAGAGTGTTTATTTCACGCAATGATATTACACCTGTAGTTGGAATGAGCATTTAAAAAACGCCTGCACAACCACACTTTCAGAATATGCTGTTGTGTTATTCTTGACAGAACAAAATAATTTCGGGGTCAAAATTTGGTCATGTGCGTTATGTCGCACATGTTTTGTTGAAAACGTTTATTAAAACGCGTTTTGGGTTTGATTATTGACATTAAAACAAAAGCACCCGCTATTATTTTATTTATCACATTACCACGACTACGTCAGTCTTACTGGGAGTTTACTTTCGACGGGGTATACATGGAAACTTATCCACCAGTACGCGTAACGTACACTTCCAACAACTCGGGCTGCGCTATACCTGATCATGCCAAGTAAATGTGGTATATACGGCACCAGTGCTTCGCAATACCGGGGAACTTTCAGTCGACACTAAGGATACTTATTTACAGTTGGAAATACGCATACATTTTTCACAAAATGATCACAGCGTCAGAGGTAAACAACACCGTAGATATCTTTTTTAACATGTCTACGAACAGAACCCTGAATCTAAAGCATTTTTCCCCCGGTGATTTCAGGACGAAGTGTCCCTTAAACTGCCGTCGGCTTTAGAATTGTTATCATAATGTAACAAATTAATTAATTTCAGTCAGTGGGGGACGGGGACGGGTGGTCAGCCACCCGAGCCATCCCCTTGGATCCACCCTAGCGCACATTACCTAAAAGGTGGGCGCGGTTGCTACGCAACTTGTTTTTTTTTTATTGCAAAAACCTTTATGTAAATTTAAGCCGAACACTGGAAAGTTAATACCATGTTCTGTAGATAAGCAAGGAGATTATAAGTCATTTATCATAATAGATCATAAAATGCCACTCAAGTATCAATTAATTCTGATTATTTCAGAACGTCAGTCGCCGTATGGTTGTTAATCAATGGCCACTAACTCACGTCATTTCATCCAGCCTGGCGTTGAGATTAAAATTTCTCAGAGATACTACTTGGTTTTTATTTGTTAGAGGGGCAATGAATAGCAATAGTTAAGCTTCAACACAAATGTCTCAAATTTTATCAACAGATTGTGACGATTCTCCAATTAAAAATGACAATTGACAAACGAAAGTAACAGGATTAGAACTTGTTCTTTTCAGAATGTTAACGGAACATCCCGAAATCCTACATTTGTTTTCCTTCGGTCGTTGTGGACTGAGTGGTGAGGCAATCTTCCAACAACCAATGTTCCATCGACATTGTCAGTACGTCATGGAATCACTAGATGCTGCAGTCAACGGACTGATAGACCTGACTGCATTGGTTCCTGTGCTGGAGAAACTGGGCGAGAAGCACAAATCATTCCAAGTGAAAAGGGAGCATTTTCAGGTGAACAATAGGCCTAGTAGCTCATTTTATTCTGCTGCTATTCTCTAATGGGTGCCAAATGTGCTGAAAGGATATTTTATATTCATGTGGACAATACAAGACTTTGAGTGCAATTGGGGGTTAGCCCTCTACGTTTACGTGCGAACATAACAATAAAGAAGCAACAGAAAGGAAGGAGTGACACCACTCCTGCAAAATTGAACGCAAAACGAGGCCATACAAATAAAATATTGAAAAATCGGGCATTTTGCAGGCTAAACCAATTACATCTTATCAATCTGTCAAAAGATGGCCTATTTTTACAAAGTCTGTTCTCAAATCCAACTTCTAATGATGATTCTACTGCCGATTCCGAGTCAGAACACCAGATCTTAGTATCTTTCGACAGCATGTATCCCTTAACCAAACCCCTTTTGTCGTTATCCACAGTATCTTCAGGAGGCGTTTGTTTTTATGCTTCAGAAAGCCCTGGGCGACGATCTGACGAAGAACTTAGCTGAGTCATGGTTAGCTGTGTATGCTGTTATGGTGGATACTATGGCGTCCAAAATGTAACGTATAGTACTACGGGCATTTAAGAGGTTGTTAGGCTGTAATGGCGAATACTAATGGCGTCAAAAAACAACTCCAAACCCTTTCCTTCCGCCCTCCCGTGTAGAACATTATAAACATGACGGTAGTCACGGCAGATAACAACCTCGTTCCCAGAGTTTATTTTCAACATCGTTATAACTGGATCGATACTTTTTGATTCGATCCTGCAATAGACTATTATCATTTTGCGGCCATTTGAATTTTTCCCATTCAAATCAACGTAACCAAAGCGAGGCTGGAAGGAAAAATAGTCTGGTTCCTTTAAAAAAAATTAAATATCATTCAATGTTGTTTTTGGATACAGGGAACATGACTGAAATGGTGGCAGCATGATAAAGGTCTGTAGCTTAAAAAGTAATGGATTTATATCGTGTATTTGGTGATTTCATTTCCAATGTTTGTTCTCTAAGTTCGTTGTAATTTACTCAATACAAGTTATATTTCTCAATTTGATAATTATCATATTCAGTGTAGAACCGTTCTTTTGATGGTTAAAGTTATCACAATAGAACTAACAAATTCTGTTTTTTTCCCTTCAAATTGATGCCACGACGAATTGCTTCAGTCTGTATTTATAGGCATACCCTAAACACACCGTATTTAAGAAAACAAGGCTGACTGTGTTATAAAGTGTTATAAAGGCACCCGGCTATTTCGCACCTTATTATAATATCCAAGATTTTTGTGATATAAATGATTCACTAGGCTTACCCGGGCGATAGAGCAGCCAGTGGTAGCGAAAATGATTGGAACGCATGCAAAAAGCTGCGAAACTTGACCACGGAAAAAAATCCGCAGCAAGAAAAGCGATCAATTTAAATCAACTATCGAGGAAAATAAAGGCAACTCTTCCATTCTGTGGAAAAAACTTAAAGAGGTTCTCCACAACAAACAGAAAAGTATTCCAAAGTCTATTTTCCCCCCAGAATGGGGAATTCGTTGATGATCTCACCGACATTGCTGATACTTTTAACGAACATTTTTCAACAATCGGAACACAAAATGGCCAGTAGTAATGCCCCTCTATGTGAACTTGAAGTGGACAACAATATCCACTCTTTTGTTACAGATTCATTTGATGCGAAATGCTTACTGCCTGAGATTACAGAAGACTAATTTCTAAAGCAAATATCATCAATGTTGGTCGGAAAAGCAACAGGTCCAGGTGGAATACGTGTGAAAATGATTAAAATAGCGTCTTTGTACATAACTTAATCCTTAACACACATATTTAACCTCTCGATAAGATGCGAACAATACCCTAATGAGTGGAAACACGCCTTGGTTACGCCTATTCACAAGGGTGGAGACAAGTGTAATCCAACTAACTATCGGCCTATTTCAATACTGCCGATTATAAGATTCTAGAAAGATGGATACACTCAGCAGTGTACTCTTACCTTGATGAAAGTAATCTGATTCCTTGTTGTCAGTCAGGGTTTAGGCCATCACACTCAACTGAAACTACCTTACATGATTTATCGAACAAATGTTTTCAGGCTAATAGGCACTGTTTTTATAGATTGAAGTACAGCATTTGACTATGTGTGAACGTATAGTCAACCTGTGAATATTGAGGGCAAATTATCTAAAGCCCTACCACTTAACACTCGCGTAATACAGGGATCAATTTTAGGTCCACTGTTATTTATTATTTATACAAGTGACTACCGCTTTATATCCATAAAAGAGTGTAATTTGTTCATGTATGCCGACGAGTCGACATTAATGTGTAGTTCTACCAGTGTTGATGAAATAGAGGACAACTTGAATACAACCCTAGCGAGAATTTACGATTGGCCTGTGAGAAACAAACTTACAATAAACGCCAGCAAAACCACATCCATGCTTACTGGAACTAAACTAAAAGTCTGCAGTACTGGCCTTAATGTCAGTATTGCTGGTAGTCCAGTTGTAAAGGTGAACTCTTGTAAATGTTTAGGTGTTATTATTGCTGAAACTTTAAGTTGGGGCCCACACGTTGAATACGTGAAGAAATGTGTTTCCTCTAAACTGGGTATGCTAAATAGAATCCGCGACTATATTCCCCTAGGCAGCCTGCACTCTCTTTTTGTTGGCTTAGTTATGCCATCATTAGATTATTGTAGTACTGTATGGGGAGGAAGGTACACATCTCACGACAATATTTTTAATAATAAATGTCTGAAAAGAGCCGCGCGGATAATCCTGAAGAGTGAATTCTTATCTCTTTCAGCCGATATGTTTGCTAGTCTTAATTGGATGTCATTTTCTGAAAGAGTCGAGTATAAAAAGGCTATTCTTGTTTACAAATGTATAAACAAAATTACTCCTTGTATATGACAAATATGTTTACACCACTTTTTCAGATTCGTGAAACGAGACAATCCACTGATATGGCACGGAGGATTCCTTTTGCAAAAAAAACACCCCAATGTTATGCCTCAAGCTTCGCTGTAACTGGTACAATCCAATGGAATAATTTGCATGAAAAGTTGAGAACCATGACTTCTCTAACATCGTTCAAATCTGAACTACGTAAAACGTCCAGTCAGTAATATTTCTGCAAACAATTATGTGAGTATTTTTTTCGCTGTCTTCTCTGATTATACAAATCTTAATATGTGCTGATCTACGGAGTTAACAAACTTGGTTGCCATAACAATGAGCCGGATGGGAATTTCCCTGTGTTTTCTCCCAAAAGTTTTTTTCCGCGGTTTTTTTGCCCTCCCGTAATCAGCGAATATAATTATGTTACAAGATAGATCCAAATTATGTGTGTACACTGAATTCACCGTATAGTAAAGCCTGTTAGCGATGTTGTCTCACACTGTACATGTAGTTGTAATAGTTTTACAATATATTGTATCTGCTTAACAATTATGCATTAATCAAATAATGCTTTTATCCCATTGTATTGTATTGTATTTGTAATGTATTGTATTTGTATACATGTTTGTAGTCATTTTTTTAATGAATGCAGGGCTCCAATGGAAACCATGCAGTTTAACTGTTTGGGCATACCGTAGGTAAAGAAATGTAATAAATATATAAATAAATAAATAAATCTGCTCGACGCCATTGGGACGAGGTTGAGTAGATAATAATGGCGCCCAATAGGTAGCCTACTTGGTGCATCCCACTATAAAAACAAATCCCAAATAAACCAGGAATAAATCCCGATACTTCAACATTCTTTTAAAATACTCAAAACTATCTCACAGGTGTTTAGGCTGTACAGAAAAATGATGATCAACATGTCATTTTTTTCAATTTTTTTGTGGGTTGACCATTAACTTTTCGAGAAATTCTCACCCAGAGAACACCACCCCTAAAACAAATGACGTTTCCCAAGCTGGAAAAATAGCCACCCCTAAAACAAATGACGTTTCCCAAGCTGGAAAAATAGCCATTTTGAAAAAGGATCCCTCCACAACATAACCAAATAGCACCACTTTCAATCGGATCCAATTGCATCCCAAATGCTCAGAAGTGGAAGCCCGAAGTCCAGGCCAGAAGTGCAGTGCTGTGTCTTCAATCCCCACAGTCCATTGCACTCAGAACTCTCTAATGTAAAATCATTTGAGTTTATAACTTTTATTCAAGAGCTAGGCGGACGGATTTTTGGCCTATTTACTGGGGTGTACCCTACTACAGGGTAAGTCAATAAAAGGGCAACCCAAACCCCCCAAATTATATTCATATTTAACAAATTATACATCACAAAAATTACGACTGGAAAGCCAATTTCATAAGCTACTCTTAAGATGAAAAAAATTACTGAAATTGCTCAATCCGTTCAAAGAATATCACCACTTCAATGCAATGACCCTAAAACCCGTTTCGTAAAAACAAAATGCAATTTATTGTGTGTTTTGACTGTTAGGAACAACAAAGAAAATGACACAGATTACTTGTTTCAACTGTCAACAACTGTACGCAGTACACAATATCTTATTAACAACTATGGTTAGGCAAACAATATGATTCATAAAATCCACTTTTTCAAAAGACGGGCCTTCAAAAGGATTTTGTTGAATGTTTTTAACTTTTAAACTGAGGTTTTATCCCTGGTGATGTTTGACAATTGTGACGACGATTCTCGAAATCGCATTTTGGACGAAAGAGGTTCCAGGGTCATTGTGTTTAAATGAAAATATTCTTTGAACGGATTAAGCAAATGCAGTACATTTTTTCATCTAAAAGTAGCTGATGAAATTGGATTTCCAGTCATTATTATGTTTGGTGCTATATTTTAAATATGAAATATAAAATTTTGGGGTTTTGGGTTCCGTTTTTTTGACTCGCCCTGTACCACACAATTCTCATAGGCTTCCTGTGTAGAATTTTTACTGTAATGCTTGGAGGTTTAGTCATTTGTATGTTTAATCATTTGTATGTTTGATGATAATGTATTTGGCAGGTTTAAAGGTAGCCATGGTGACGTATTTCAATGTCTGCCAACAGTGAACTCCTATACACTTCTGGGGGGGGGGGGGGCATCTGGGGTTGCATACATTTTTCAAGGGGGGGGGGAGGCTACTGAAGGCAAGCGATATACAAATGTATGTACAAGACGCTTATGTGATCTGAAGTTTTGGTTTAATTCCATTGGAAAGCAACAAAGTTTTTAAGGATCAAAAGTAGGACATGTCGTTTTTTACACGTAATGTATTATTGTCAAACTTGAAAAGGGGCAAAGTGGACTGCATGGTGTCACATAAATGTCTGATTCACAACCACTGAACTGAATCCAACAAAAACTTCACACAAGAAAGAAAAATGATTGGGTTCATCAATTTTTTTAATTGGATTTGAAATTGTCTTCATAAATTACGAAAATTCTGTACATCCTCCAGAGGGACATTTTGGGGGGGACACCCTGTACTTTGAACGAATTGAGCAATTTAAGTATTTTGTTTTTATCTAAAAGTCGTTTATGAAATTGCCTTTCCAGTCATTATTATTTTTGGTGCTACATATGTTTTTAAATATGAAATTATTGTTGTTTGAGGATTGGGTTCCGCTTTTTTTTTTAACTCACCCTGTTTATGTTCAACAGGTAAATGTAAAATATTGCTTTTTGGTTTGATTGATCTAGTTATATTTAGCATAAATATTTATTTGTTTTGCTGATTTATATAGGATGAATTAAAATAAATTTGCTTTCATGGTTTAGGGTATTTTGTTTTTATATAGAATAAGAATAACCACATTAACAAGAGTACAAAATTAAAATAATTTATCACATTACTAGTATATACAAAAATACTTGTACAGTAAAAGTTAGACCTATTCGTTTACAGGAACACTTCAAAACATCTTCCATGCAAGTAAATATATTATGTTTAACTTCATCACTGTTTTTTTCTGTTTCATTATTTTGTAATAAAACATGTGAATTATTGCACTTAAAGTCTGGAAACTGGTAGCAAATTAGGCAAACCTGATTCTCGGATACTTTTTGGTTAATATGCAGACAATTGGTAAACATGAGCTAACTACTTTTTGCTTAATGTAGCACGTTCATCTTAAGATGGTGTGTTTCTGTCACTCGTTGTTGTACGATTAGATAAAAGTACAATACAGGTTTTACTTACAGGATGACAAACTAAAACTTATTCATCACAGATGCTAATTCATGATAGTGGGCCCTATGAGAAAAACTCGCAAAAGAATGACATCGTCATCTTTTTTTTTTAATGAGTTGCATACATCTCCTGTACTTTGCATACTTTTTTTTATACTAATAGTCCCTATTGAGAATTTAATCTAGCAGTTTATTTCTTTCATTTTAGTGTTATTTCATTACTTACGACCCTGTACATGTAAAATAGGTTTAAAAACGAACAATAAACAACACGCTGACGCTGATTAGGTGCACACATATAATTACAAATTGGATAAGAAACCGACTGGAGTGCCATGGGAAATGAACCTGCAACCTCTGGAAATGACCCTACTGGTGTTCTGTACCCCCCCCCCACCCCAGACAAAACTATAATATAAATACGCCTTACAACAATCAATTGAATTAATAGTACCATTAAAAAAAGTGTATTTATGCAAAGATCCCAAATTGCTTAGGAGAGGCAAGAATAGTTTTCGCTTAAAAATACAAAATCTGAATTCAACAAGCCTCTGAGATAGATGTTCATAAGGAAAATGTAAACTATAGTTTTTTAAAGATTGATTAAGTTTTATCTATCAAAAACATTTACTTGATTTTAATTGTTCATGAACCTGCAACCTCTGGAAATAACCCTAGTGGTGCTCTGCCACCCAAAAATAAATTAAATAAGACTTGCAATAATCAATTAAATTAAAGAACATGTACCATTGAAAACACGAGAGTAGTAATGCGACTCAACATTAATTAGGAGAGGCAAGAATACTTTTTGCTTAAGTGGGAATAAAGATATTTCAAGGCCTCATCAACCAGGTAGAAAGACACTGGCGCTAGGAAGAACATTAGAACTCCCAGGAGTCCATCCAATGTAGGCCAGCCATGTTACTAGTTGTATTGAATGATGATGTGGTAATCCCATAGGACAGAGGGTGAAATAGGTAGAAACTAAAAAAGGACAATATGTTGAAAAAAGGTGTAATTAATCCTTCATCTTAAAGTATTTCACAGGAATTGACTATATATCTTTATTTTATTTTATTTAAATAAGTGTCAATTTAGACAATTTCTGAAAATTCTGGCCCATATAAAGTTGATCATATTGCAACCTTAATGCCGATTTCTTTTGGTTAGGAATTTCTCCTCTTTTGTCAATGTATGTGGCTTAGCTATAAAAAATGACCAAAACATTATAATTTTCATTCTCAAATATAATATAATGTAAGGTACATGTAAGTAGCAAATCTAATACTTGACTTACAAAACTTACCTATGTGCAATGATAGACAGCGAAATCACAATGCTGCTATTGTAGATATTAACCCTACTCTTGGCTGAAAAGAAATCCTCCACGAGTTGGAAAATAAAGTCAAGAAGCACACCTGAAATTGGGGAAAAATTGAAAATATTATGAAGATTTTGAGTGGATATAATACAATACGGACTTCTAAAATGTAGCAAAGGATACACCTTCCAGTCGCAGTAAACAGCGTAGTAAAATACACATATGTACCTACTAAGTGCTAAAGAAACTAGTATTCGAAAAAGATTCTTCCAATTGTGAAAACTGTGAATAATTACATTGCTCTGGGAAAGCTAACAATGCTTGAATTGATGTGTGTCATGGGAGGGGTGGGGTGGGTGGGGTTTGAAGGTGTATGTGTCAAACGCTTTCCATTATAATTACTACAATGAATAATAAAATAATGCCACCATTATCTGAACGTGTCCACTGTTGTCGGCTTTGAACAGCCCCTTACACTAGTTAGATTGGGTCTGGTACCACTCCCCACCTCACCCACCCAATTATCTTTCAGCTTGGGGTGGTTTGTTGGCAATTTGTTTAACTCATCACCATTCAAATTGCTCAAGTGCTACCTGCCTATGCACAACAGAATAATTTTACAAATATAGAGTTTGGTGATGACTTGCCTGAGAGCATGCTGTTGAATAGCATTGCTGGGAAGTAATGATGGAAGTAGAGTACTCGTCTCATTGTGTAAAATGGAGCATAATGGAAGAACCAGCCAATGAAGAGAAAGCAACACACACCAAATGTTGAATGGCATCTCTCTGTAATAATGAGACATAAATGGAGTACATGTAGTTTATCTGAGATATGTATTTTTCATCAGAAATATATAGTGAACTCTCCTTTTAACTTAGCCTTTTAACTTAGGGCACAATTAAGACTTTACCCATTCCAAATACCCCCCAAATACCTCCCTCATATTGTTCCCATTTTCTGGCCAATTAACAGACTGGAAGAGAAATTTGTTTGTTTTGTCCCATTCCTCTTTTTTTCTCAACAGCAATGTTTATTTCCACACTTTCCAGATAAAGATCGAATTAAGTTTAAACAAAGTAATAATACATAATAATTGCAAATTATAAATAGCTAAAGATATTTAATTAACTTTAAAGGAGGATGAAAAGGTGATATTTCTCTCATTTATTCTCTCACCAATCAGAACACTGAACACTACAAAACACCCACTCAGACCCCTACCCATTGTGAACCCACTTGACTCCCTCAAATTTCATATTTGGTGTGAATGCCTGCCCATTCATTTCACTCACCAAACTGAACACTACAAAACACCCACTCAGACCCCTACCCGTGGTGAACCCACTTGACTCCCTTAAATTTTATATTTGGTGTGAATGCTTGCCCATTCATTTCACTCACCAATCAGAACACTACAAAACACCCACTCAGACCCCTACCCGTGGTGAACCCACTTGACTCCCTTAAATTTTATATTTGGTGTGAATGCCTGCCCATTCATTTCACTCACCAAACTGAACACTACAAAACACCCACTCAGACCCCTACCCGTGGTGAACCCACTTGACTCCCTTAAATTTTATATTTGGTGTGAATGCTTGCCCATTCATTTCACTCACCAATCAGAACACTACAAAACACCCACTCAGACCCCTACCCGTGGTGAACCCACTTGACTCCCTTAAATTTTATATTTGGTGTGAATGCCTGCCCATTCATTTCACTCACCAAACTGAACACTACAAAACACCCACTCAGACCCCTACCCGTGGTGAACCCACTTGACTCCCTCAAATTTCATATTTGGTGTGAATGCCTGCCCATTCATTTCACTCACCAAACTGAACACTACAAAACACCCACTCAGACCCCTACCCGTGGTGAACCCACTTGACTCCCTCAAATTTCATATTTGGTGTAAATGCTTGCCCAATCATTTCGCTCACCAATCAGAACACTACAAAACACCCACTCAGACCCCTACCCATTGTGAACCCACTTGACTCCCTCAAATTTCATATTTGGTGTAAATGCTTGCCCAATCATTTCGCTCACCAATCAGAACACTACAAAACACCCACTCAGACCCCTACCCATTGTGAACCCACTTGACTCCCTCAAATTTCATATTTGGTGTGAATGCTTGCCCAATCATTTCACTCACCAATCAGAACACTACAAAACACCCACTCAAACCCCTACCCGTTGTGAACCCACTTGACTCCCTTAGATTTCATTTTTGGTGTGAATGCTTGCCCATTCATTTCACTCACCAAACTGAACACTACAAAACACCCACTCAGACCCCTACCCATTGTGAACCCACTTGACTCCCTTAAATTTCATATTTGGTGTGAATGCCTGCCCAATCATTTAACTCACCAAACACAATACTACAAAACACCCACTCAAACCCCTACCCGTTGTGAACCCACTTGACTCCCTTAAATTTCATATTTGGTGTGAATGCTTGCCCAATCATTTCACTCACCAATCACAATACTACAAAACACCCACTCAGACCCCTACCCGTTGTGAACCCACTTGACTCCAGTGTTGTAGTCGAGACCGGATAGTCCGAGACCGAGACCAAGACCGAGACCTGAAGATTCGAGACCGAGACCGAGACCGAGACCAGCCCCTTCAAGGCGGACCGAGACCGAGACCAATATGGTCCGAGACCGAGACCGAGACCGAGACCGCTGATAATAAATAACAATAGTCGAAATAAAAAAAAACAAGACACGTTATTATAGTTGAAAAATGTAACCTTTCTATTCACAAAGAATACAGACCAAATTTTGACCAGTGGCAATGTTTACAAATTGATACATGACACCTTACTTGAGCAAAAAGTAGTTACACTTAAGAAATATGGACTTTGACATGTTGTCTACACCCAATCGTGACAAAAGTAAAAAGTTCAAGGTAGATGTTTCATCTGTTATAGGAACTCGGATCCTAAACTCCACAGTCACCCCCTTGGTTTCAGCTATGACTTCTAACGGATATTTAAAGATGCAATTTTAATTTACATTGTGCCTCTTTTTTCCTAAAATAAATATAGGAGTTAACTTCCAACAAGAATTGTGTACTTGATTTTAAAAAATGGGAGCTAGAAAATGTTGAATTAATTTTTAAATTTTTGTCATAGAATGTGGACTTGTACATGTAGACGCACACGTTGCGAGGTGGTAGCCAGAATGTGCCAGATATGGATTTTTAATTTTTTTCTGAACGGGATTTTTAATTTTTGAGGAATAATGGGGTACTTTAAAATGAGCAGCCAGAAAATTGGGTCTCATCATACACTCTCATGGCAACAGTGAGTGGTAACTGGTAAGAGTGTGTGAGTTCAAAGCTGGAAAATCAGGTAGAAAAATTTACTTTTTCTTCAAAATACTGTCCCAAATTAAAGAGAACATTGTGTGGGGTCGAAAATATAACTAATTTGAAGCACCTCATTTATTATCAGAATACAAAATGCAAGTGATTACGCCCACAGGGGTGGGCTAAACTACACAATCCCCCAAAATGGTTGACCCTTATTGCATAAATTGTTACAAGTTTATACTTTGCTTTATGTGGCCGACTCAACAGATAAATGCCGAACTTGTTCCAAATCGTTCAGTGACTGGTACTGCTGCAGTTTTACATGTACTTTGGGAACTTTCCAATGTGCAGTCGAGTCCAAACCAACCGCGATATATAACAAGCTTGATCTACGGGCTAGCAAATGTTTTAAATAACAACGGTACTGAACGAAGTGAACACAAAGTAATCGACCGAGCTGTAAAAGCTACATATTGCCGGTCTCGACCCGAGACCAGCCAAAATATCGAGACCAAAGGGGACCGAGACCGAGACCAAGACCGAGACCACAGCTTCCGAGACCGAGACCGAGACCGAGACCAGCAAAAAGTGGTCTCGAGACTGAGACCGGTCTCGAGACCTACAACACTGCTTGACTCCCTTAAATTTCATATTTGGTGTGAATGCTTGCCCAATCATTTCACTCACCAATCACAATACTACAAAACACCCACTCAGACCCCATACCCTTAACCCTCTTTTACCTTTCATTTTTGGTGTTAATGTACACCCCCTCTTCTCCAACAAAGCCCAGATAACATACAGGACCAAGAAGACCGTCAAACAAATCAGATTTCCCACAAAGATGATAGGATTTCCCAGAAGGTAGACAGTATAAGCTGCTTTGACTCCTCCCGAGAACAACTGGCCCTGCACAGCAAGGATGAAATGTTAATAGTGAACCACAGTGAACAACAGCTGGTGTGAGAGTTGGGACATATTAAATGACGTCAAATCACAATGAGTTCCAGTATTTTACAATTTTTGTAAAATTATGATGGCAAATGTGTGCATGTGACTTTCTGTAAAGGCAAATGTTACAAACATTCATATTTGGTTTGAAAATGTTTGCATGTTTGTAGGTTCCAAACCTGACCTCTTCCCATTCACCACAACACAATGTCCATGAACACATACAAGGGGTTGATCCCCTTGAAGGGAGGGGTTGGGTTGACTAATCACAGACCAATGTTAATTATTTGCATAATGAAAACAATCCCCAATATCCTTAAATTTCCTTCTTTTAATCTTTCACACAACCAAGGCAACAATGTCAGCTGCAGATAAAAACACTATAAAGTAAACCTTTCCCAGAATGCCACACTGATTCATAGAAATGTTGCTTTACTCCTAAGCTTTATCCCCATTTTGACAATAAATGAATCCTTTTACACTTGTTCTTTACTGACAAAAATACATGTCTGTCTGTTTGTATTATCTGCTCATTTTGGTCTAAGACTGCTCTTTATAAGCTCCGAGTTACTTGAGGAGACCATAGTCTTCTTGTTTTACTCCTTTGATCTAAGTTACACTAACTTCTTTAATGTTTATGGATTCAGTTTGCGTTACATGTGCATTTAATGTACTTTCCATCTTTTCCAATATATGCACTTTAAACATGCTGTTGCATTTTGCACAGATGCACAGAAACAAATGTGACACTAAATTGAATAGAATATTCAGCCCCCCTTTTTATTTTATAATAAACAGCAAATAATATCCAGTGATGTGAATCCAGTTTATGGGTAAGAACTAAAGAAAAGATTGCTGTGCACTGCATTTGTTCTTCCTTACTTACTTACTTAGGTTGATGGGAATAGAATAGGCTAAGCCTTTGTGACCCCATATCCAATTTCTTTCCAGTAGGCATCAACATGGTTCTTAAACAGGTTCGTTGAGGCTGCATTCACCACATGTGATGGGAGGTTGTTCCATTCAGAAATAACTTGTCAAAATACAGATTCAAATGCTGTCCCAGATGAAGACAACAGTGGAGCAACTGTTATATTTTTTGTGTGTCTTCTTTTTGCCAGGTTGCTACTTAAAGGTACGGTTCAATACAGCTGTTTTTGGTTGAGTCTTTATATTAGGACTAACCTACCCCCAAACCAATGTTTTGTACCATTTTGAAGGCACAAACACATTTATACACATATAATTTTAAGCTTTCCAAAGTAGAATGCTTAGTATTTAATATTCAAACATTTTTTGAATGATGGACTTGAGCACAAGTGGGACAGCAAAGATATCATCAAGCCAACTTGATGAACAGTTAAGATGTGACATGTATGTTGAGGTAACATTTCAGCTGTTATCTAGCTACTGTACACAAGCATACAGCAGGAATATGGGTGGATCAGAGAATAGCCCAATCAAAATCAAGAAGTCAAGTTTGTTTGAATCAGATGATCTTACTTTGTAGTTGATTGGCCATTGCCAGGGCTGAGATGTAATTTCACCAGCTTTTGGCTTAAGCTCACTGTTACCCTGAAGGAGAAAACAATAAATCCTTCAAATTAGACCGCAGGAAACGCCATTTCAGATGACGTGAACAATCAAAAAAAAAAAAAAATTAGGCTCTTGAGATGAACTGTACATAGACCATCTATGTGTAGTTAACAACATGAAACATTAGTTAACAGCATATGGCTACACGGACAAGTACACAAGTGTACATCAGTTACGAGGAAAGCACCAAGTATAGTAAAAAAAAAAAACCACACTGTATAGACTAGCTTCTGACCTCACATTAAGGGGGGGGGGGGGGGGGGAGTGGGTTATCTGAGGTAAGCATGAGCAGACACATTGTACTTTAAGTGTCACTGAATTTTGATAACATAAATTGCCCTCAGTGAGTGAGCACCATGCAATGGGTCTATTCACCTGCAGCATAACGATGCCAGATTCAATGAATTTTTTTATACTGTCACTGAATTTTGATAACATAAATTGCCTCAGTGAGTGAGCATTATGCAATGGGTCTATTACAGATGCACAACTACTCACCTGCAGCATAACAATGTGAGATTCAATGAATTTCTCAAGAAAGGACGGTGCAAGGACTTGGAAACTCAAGTTGGGCACTGCAATCAAAACAAATAAATTAAAAGGCTTTTGTGTCTTTCTTAGAACATAATGGTAATGTTTTATGTACAGTTGTACCAGATTTAAAAGCATGTTTCACAGTCCTCAAAACACAGATGTACCATATCGGGGAATAATGAACAATTGTTGCCTGATGTGATGTTGAATATGGCATTTCTAACATCCCATCATATCCCACACCACAGCAGTCAACACTTGTTTTGTAATACCGGTACTGTCAATGAGTAAACAAAAAAGTTTTTTAAAGTCCCTATTCTAAAAGAGTACGAGTGTCTGTACGAGTACAGGTCAATTTTTTTCTTGTGAGTACAAGTACAGGGTGAGTAAAAAAAAAGGACTCCAAACCCCCCAAAATATATTTCATATTTAAAAAAAAGGTGTAGCACCAAACATAAAAATGACTGGAAAGCCAATTTCATAAGCTACTTTTAGATGAAAAAAATGACTGAAATTGCTCAATCGGTTCAAAGAATATCACCATTTAAATGCAATGACCCTCAAACCTGTTTCATCCAAAAAAAACACCCCGTTTTTGTGTATAATGTTTGGAATGACAAAGAAAATGACACAGAATACTTGTTTCAACAACTGTCATAGCCTTGGTCAATGCTCTCGTCGTTATTCGTCCCGTACGCGGTCAATCGTCGGCATATATCCTCACGCGCTATGCACATGCATGTAAAAATACAGCGCGAACAGCGACCTCACGCGGCCACTATTTTTATGCAAACCAGTTGGAGACGATGTCGAGCCTTGGTTCAATCGTCGGCCAAAGCTTATGTTTTTCTTCACTTTGCGCTAGATTTCCAGCGCACGACCTCGTATGCGAATACAGATAATGTAGGCGGGGCTAATATGTGGAGTGTCCAATCACACCTTGGTAAATCCGGACGTCATCAAATTATTTGCAGCTATTCCGGCTTTTGCGGACGTGACAGGAACCACAGTTTTTGTGCATTGGTGCCGTGTGCAGAGACACACAATGTGTACGTGTATGGATTATGTACGGTGCCACGTTTCACTCTGCAAGTTTCCACGCAACGATCGACCAATAAGAAAACGACATTTAAGGTCAGCTAAGGCTATTAACCACCACCAAAACCTCACATGGACGATTGAACCAAGGCTCGACATCGTCTCCAACTGATTTGCATAAAAATAGTGGCCGCGTGAGGTCGCTGTTCGCGCTGTATACATGCATTATGCATAGCGCGTGAGGATATATGCCGACGATTGACCGCGTACGGGACAAATAACGACGAGAGCATTGACCAAGGCTACAACTGTCAGCAACTGTACATGTAGTAAACAATATCTTTATTAACAACCATGGTTAGGCAAACATTATAAAATCCACTTTTGTTGAATATTTTAAACTTTTAAACTAAGGTTTTATCGCTGGTGATGTTTGAAGACAATTGTGACAACGATTCTTGAAATCGCATTTTTGGACGAAAGAGGTTATTGTGTTTAAATGGTGATATTCTTTCAACGGATTGAGCAATTTCAGTATTTTTTTTTCTCTAAAAGTAGCTGATGAAATTGACTTTCTAGTCATGATTATGTTTGGTGCTACATATTTTCTTAAATATGAGATATAATATTTGAGGTTTGGGTTCCGCTTTTTTTGACTCACCCTGTGCAAGTGCAAGTACGAGTATTAGTTCTTAACACTGCGCTTGAAAATGTTTGCATATCTGTAGGTTCCAAACCTGAACTCTTCCGATTCACAATAACCCAATGTCCATGTACACATACAAGGGTCTGATCCAAGGGAGGGGGTTGGGTTGACTAACCATAGACCAATGTTAATTATTTGCAAAATGAAAACAATCCTCCATATTTCTTTTAACTTTTCACACAACCAAGGCATCAATGGCACTAAGCTAACCTTTTCCAGAATGCCACACTGATTCATAGAAATGTTGCTTTACTCTAAGCTTTATCCCCACTTTGACTTTATTAATCCCCACTTTGACTTTATTAATTCATGTCTTTTATTCATCAATCATAAATAAAACGACATGGAGGAAACTTAGAACATCATGAACATGAAAGACGAATAAAAAGAAACATTCTAAATTCTGCAGAATAGACAAATTAATTAGTAAGGGCCATGTGAAGACATACCGGTATCACTTACGTTATTGATTCATCTGTGCAAAATATGTATGCAATAACAGATGCACAATCTGTACATCAAATGTCGAACCCAATTCGCTTTTTGCACGCTTCCGCCATAAGCATACAGAGCCTCGATCTGGCAACTTTACACAATAAATATAGCCGGTTCAGTGATTCCCGTGTATACACAAGAATCACTGAACCCCGACACGGGAATCACTGAACAGGCTATATTTATTGTGTAAAGTTGCCAGATCGAGGCTCTGCATGCTTATGGCGGAAGTGTGCAAAGGGCGGATGTGAACAACCCCATGCCTTCCACTGCTGATTTATGCACATACATGTAATACAAACAATTTCTTTTAAACTGAATGTAAGTGTACAGGAAATCACAATGCTTACATCTAGGGTTACATTGATATTCCACATCCCGTAAACTATTGGTAATATCTCTAGTGTTTGGATGTAACCTTGCTCTGTTAAATAAACCCTGAAAATGACGATAATTTACTTCTTCAGGAAATTGCAATGCTTCCATTTGAAAACGAGTAATAACTTACATCTAGGGTTGACATGATCTTCCACATTCCATAAACTATTGGAATCTCTAGTGTCTGGATTACATGTGACCTCCCTCTGTTCAAAACCCCTGAAAAAAAACACACCTATCATTTACTTCAATAACAGGGAAAAAGTGATAAAACGTATGTGGAAAAGGATAGTTATCAAGGAGTGTTTGGGTGAAGATTCCTTTTTAGATGGATCACTAGTCCATCACAAGCCAAGTCATCCAGTCCCAAGCCAACTCACAATCGTTTGAAATGAACCGAGACAGAGGCATTTCTTTGTCATTGTTCATCTTTTGTTCCTTGTGACTATACATGTACTTGTGTTCAAAAGAACTTGTGATTCACTTGTGACAGTATTTGTGATAAACTTGTAATCAATGGTCATCAACAAATTATTCTGGTTTATGAAGCTTAATTATAGATATTGGAATACATGTACATGTATTACTCACCATTTAGGAAGCCATTTAGCACTTGTATACAACACACAACCAGTATTGTAGTGGATGAGTTTTATCTTAGATAAGACTGTCTGGATACGCACTCCTGCATTCTGATTGATTAACTCAACTTGCCAAATATCATTCATGTCTCCTGAGCCATTCTACAAGATGAAAGACAATAATGATAAAAATCAAGGAAATTATTAAGGACAATCAATTAATTTTTTTAGCATAAGTACTAACATTCAATGCCTCCTTTAACTGTGAAAACTGTGAAGTAAAGAAATAAAAAGTTCCATTGCAATTGTTTCATTATCCGGACGACAGTAAATGATTTGAGCCACAATCACAAATTAGATTTATGCTGAGTGGTATTGGTTTAGAGAATCACTTGGCTTTGAGTGGTAGGTTCCTGCTTTCTATGGTTGGTATTTTTTCTCTTGAACTTACAATGCCATATCCAGAAACTTGGAAGTGCTGCTTAGTTAGTGGTGCTGGTTCTTCGTGACTGTGAAGATTTCTTGCAGTTCTAGGTTCAAGAAACAGATAAAATTATAACTAAACTTTCAAAACAATATTAAATGTTGAATACCCAAAGGGTGTTGTTTTTTTTTTAGGGTAAAATGACATTTTAAAAGCGGGTTAGGGTTAGGGTTAGGGTTAGGGTACAAATGTTTAAATTTGTCATGGGGGTAGGGGGGGGGGGTGTTTCAAGAATTATTAGCACTACAAATTCAATTTAAGAAGGGCAAATAGAAATTAACCTAATAGCTTCAAAACCACCCCAAAGTTCCCAGCTTATAATTATGTGTAACTCCCTGTATTGCCCCAAACCACATGAGCACTGTACGGTATTATGGAATCATAACGGGGTACATACAATGCAACACAACGTCCTACAAGTCTTAGGTGGCAGAGTTGTTATCAAGTTGATCACAAAGTTAATTCACAAGACAGTTGACATAAATGACAAAGGATCACCTTTGTCGCAGTTCATTTGAATAGCATGTGACTTATGACTTGTGATGACTTGTGCCTGACTTGATTACACATTTGCTAATTGGTTAAGACTTACTGGATGTGTTCAAGTCGTACATAATCACCATGGGTAACAAACTGGATGGGCCGTGATGGGTCATGCTCCACATCAGCTCTTTTAATCAACCAATTATTATTTTCATCTTTGTAAGAGTATGTTGTAATCTGTGGAATAAAAAAAAAAAAATAATAATCCAATCAAGGAAATTATCTAATTATGCTGCCTGTTTTGCAAAATGAGTCTGCTGCAGCTAGCAAAGGAATAACTTAGCTTTTATTGGGTATATCAAGAACCTTTCTGGGAATTGTCGTCTTTTTTATACATGTATTTGTAATGTCCACATGACTTTCCCTTCGCAGAGTGCTTAGAACTGTCTTGAAACACAATTTTTGTGGTCTGAGTCTTGACTTGGTCTTGGTCTTGATGTCCAGGAATATAATGCTGACTACCTGTTGCTGCTTTGGGCCAAATCCTTCAGGATAGAGATGCATATGTGAATGAAGGAGCCCTCCACCTGCTCTGTGATTTCTTAATGTGATTACTGATCCATACGCAACATCTGCAATATGAGCAAACATTGATAGAATCAAGTTTACAAAAATTCATTGCCTTCTAATGCCATATTCTTGAGAGAATTGTAAATTTCTACACGTACATTAAAGTAATTCATGTACATTAAAGTAATTCATGAGATGGAATTACGTCAGTGATGGGCAAAACCCAATCTACATGTATTGAATTTCCACTAAAGTTTAGTATAAACAATATAACTACATGTATGTATAAAGAAAGCACTGTGAGAGTTTCTATCAACATTTGTGATGGGAGTCGTTTGTCTGGAACTTTCATTTTAAAAGAGATTCCTGGCCAAAATAGGGCCACTTCGTCACATCACTTCATCACATCTCGTGGTGTTCCGACTTCCATAATTTTTGAACTAAAGATGGTATCAGCATGCGATTTTCACATTAGTAATGCTGAGATTGTGCTCTTTTCAAAACTGTAAAAAAAACCCCAATGACCAGTGTCGACAAACAACTCATTAAGCTTGACCGCATCACATTTATCTTTAGTGTATTTAAAGTTAAGTGAATATTTAATGTTATTCTTTGAGGTTGCATAAACGATCTCCACAATCCTGAAACAATATTTCCACTTACCCCTGGGCATGGAAGTATTGTACAAATTGTTACCCAAGAGACTTGACTGGAATTGAGAACTGAAATGAGCATCGCCAGGCCCACTGAAAGATAACAGAAGACAAAGCTAGTCTTTAACAATTAATGAAATGGAATTTAGACTACAGTTAAATACCCTTTCAAAATGCCATTTTAAAATTGAGAACTTTGAAAAAATACTAGCATGTGACCCTTACAAGAATTTTACAGAGATTATTGGCAAGCAATTTCATGCCAAAGGGAATACAGCTGAAAAGGTGGACAATTTATGAAATCTTCATAACTACAACCATCACAACCTCAAATGTGGTATGAAAATTAAAAGGGGCAACGAGACCTTTCATTTGAGTTCGTGTACCAGTGAGTTGTGAAACATGTATATGTATTTTTTTTGTCAAAATATTGTTTCGGGGCTACAATTAGGGATTTCAGGTAGTCATTTTTGCACTTTGTTTATGTATGCAAAATGCAAGTTTTTAAGGCAGAGCAGAATAATTCAAAGAGCATTCTAGCTTGGGGCACAGTGAGAGGTCATACAAATTAAAGCAGAGATGCATGGGCAAAAGTCCCTATTGCAAGTCTAGAAATATCTCATAAAAATATGGGCGTTGCCAGGATATTTTTTTTGGGGGGGGGGTGGGCAAAGCGAATTGTTTCCCCAAATCCTTTTTCTCTAGCAAATTCTCACTTTTTCATTTTTTTGAAGGTGGGCAGGGGACATTTACCCCCCCATTGAAAGCACTGCTGAAAAGTAATGCATGCTGAGAACTGCAGCTTGGTGAGTACTGCTGTCTACTGCATGGAATGCATTCAGACAAAGGCAACGACTCTGGCTTATAAACTACCTACCGGTACATGTACCAGTACAAGGAGGCATGCTACTTATTGAGCTTGCAAAGGGATAAACCATGGGCTGCAATGCGGACCAAAAGTTATTGACACAATAAGGATACACGATGGTTGGCAAGGTGGACCCCACAGAAGTCAGAGTTGTAATGACTCGAGTCAATGACTCGAATCGAGTCTGACTCGAGTCACAATTTTTGATGACTCGACTCGACTCGACTCGAGTCTCTATGGCTAAATGACTTGACTCAAGTCACTGCGAGCAAATGACTCGACTCGACTGTTACAACTCTGACAGAAGCGTCGTTCAGACAACGTTTTAACGTTGAACTTTTTTCAATGTTGAACTCGAGTTGGAGTAACTTTATTGCTAAAACAATGTGTGAACGGTTTTATATTTAGACCGAATCAAGTTCAACTCGCTGCTAAAACAGCCAGTTACATGTAAACCCCCTCGAAGGGAGGGTTTAGCACATAACTAGAATGAGTTTATCTCCTAATATGATGTATGAACAGTTTTAGCTAAAACGCTTCCTGTTTTAGCCAGCGCAGTGACCTGGAGTTACCTAAAGCCTTTTCAGTGGCACGCTTTTGTGGTAAACAAATAATGTACAGTGGGCTACACAGTGGGCACAAAGCACCCATGTATCTCATCATTCTACTACCGTCAGCTATTCATGAAAAAGTTCAGCTATTCATGAAAAGTTGAACTTCAAATGCATCTCCACTTGTTTTCTCACATCGTGTTGGCTCGCACACATTGGTTAATATTGTGCTGATTGGTTAATATTGCAATGTTAACATGGTTAATATCACATGTAGTTTCACGTGACTGGCATGATGTGCGGGCAAGTTGAAGCTACAAACGTGAAGTGCAAAATATCCGTTTGTGTGGTTTCGAACACTAGTTTTGAACATCAACTTTTTCAGTCGAAATTTATATCTTTTTGCACCAGGAAGGTATAAAGAAATAGCCCGCAAAATATAAACAAAAATGACGTACATGTTCTTAAAGAAAAACTTACGGCTGATATATGATACTTTAAATAATAGGGAAATCAAGAAGGGAAAAGTCCAACATACATGAAGTCCGTACGCTTTATGGTACATCATGTACATGTACATGTACATCGTACATGTACCTTGCCAGCGTAGAGCACTGCGATGGACTAGTGTGACTGCAGGGCCGGGGCTACGATGTCAACCACGGTGACACATGACGATGGTGAGAGGCACAGATCACATGTAGCGAACTGGTAAAAACAATTTTAGCGCACGGTTCTACGTGACCTCTGAAACTGAGATACACCACTTCAAGTTGAACTTGCTCTACTAAAAACGATGTCTGTGCTTCAAATGATGAGCAAGCTCGGTGGTTGAGTGGCAAGACATCTGCACTAAAAAGCAGGAGGTTGTGGGTTCAAGTCCCACCCGACTAATGTTCTTCCAACTCTCGCTTGGGAGGTAACACACTGGTAAACAGTGTTACACGTTGGTGAAGGGCAAAACCTAATTTGATTTACATCACCCCACGCAAAATTCCATCTTTAATATGAAAAGTTTAATTGCAGTACCCACTGCTACATGTTCATCAGATTCAAACCAGCCGACTGATCTCGCAAACTCAGTGGTCGAGCGGTAAGATGTCTGCAGTAGAAAGCAGGTCGTGGGTTCAAGTCCCAACAAGTGATTTTTTCCAACTTTCGATCGGGAGGTAACACACTGAGTGTACAGTATTTATATGTTGGTGAAGGGCAAAAAACTAATATTGATGTCTGAACGCTCGGTAGTTTTTTTTACAACCGGCCTCCTGCGATGAGCGACTGTTTTCACTTTTACCGTTTTGGCTAAAACGCTGTCTGAACATGGCCGGGGCCGTATCATAAGTCTGACGCCTTATAGGTCTGACGCCTCAAAAGTCCGAAATTTCGGACTTATGAGGCGTCGGACTTATGAGGCATAAATTCCGCCTCATAGGTCCGACGCCTCATAAGTCAGACAAAGGACAAACGCTGTTTCGGACTTACATGTATGAGGCGTCAGACCTATGAGGCCTTGGACTTATGCGGTGTCGGACCTATGAGGCGGAATAAATAAATAAATTGTATGCCTCACAAGTCCAACGCTTCTTAAGTCAGACAATGGACAAACGCTGTTTCGGACTTATGAGGCGTCGGAGCTATGAGGCGGAACAAATAAGTTGTATGCCTCATAAGTCCGACGCCTCATATTTCAGACTTATGAGGCATCTGACCTATGAGGCGTCGGACTTATGAGTGGACCCCACATGGCCAAGGTGTCAAGAGTTTATTCTATGGTTTGTGTGTTTACCTTGCATTAAGAACTTGAAGATGAACTGCAAAAATGATGAGGTAAACGAGTCCTGGTAGAAATATCAGACACACAACTCTTGCCAACAAATGGCGAAACAGTGTCATCTGCAAATGTGACAAAAAAGGTTGGAAATTGTAAATAGAAAAAATGGCAAACTGCCATTGTTAAACCATTAGTCCCCGTACCACCCAAAACTGCCATGCCTAGCACTCTTTGTTTCCCTTCCCCCTCCTCAAAAAAAAAAAACCCTGCCAAAGCATGCTGTGGTTTTATGGATTCTTCAAGGTATGAATACAAAGTTCATTATTGTCTGAATGCTAATGGTTTATTAAGAGAACATGTACATTTACATAGTGAAAACTGGTAATGAACTGATTTAGTAGTTTGTACTACAGTATTTATATCAAAGTTGTTACAAGTTCTCACAAGACCTCATCAGTCACCAAAACCTGCATCAAATCACAAGTTTTCTTTATCATTGATCCCCTTTTACTTGTGAATTGACTTGTGTTTACTTGTAACTTACTTGTGAGAGGCCTTGTAAATGTGATAAACTAACCTTTGTTAAGGTGAGTTCTCCCAGGAGACCCCACAGATCCTGTACTGTAGTTGCTCCAGCCAAGAGTATTATGAATAGACCAACAAACTTCACACTGTGGGAATTAAGTTGTAATTTAACAAAAGGGGATGAAAAATTATGGGGATAAATAATCAAAGCTGTTGTGTGTGGGGTGTCTACATCTGTCAGACTGCCTGTAAGTTTGCACACGTTAAAAATTAGAACAAGGTAAAATGTTGGGGGCTTTATAACAATTTGTACCAATTTTAATTTTTTCACTTATTTTAAGTCTTGTCAAATTTCCACTTTACCAGGAATTTTGCTTTCTTTTAAATAAGACTATATTTACTAACATACCGGTACATAGCCTTGATCAAGGCGTTGGGCTTATCGATTAGCCGTTAAAAAAAAATCGCCGATAAGAAAATCCCTAATCAACTTGGCATGGCAAGGCATAATTGCGTGCACATATCGATGCCCGTACGCTGCTAGTGAGAAAGTAACTTGTACCATACAGCGAGGCTATGCTTGCACGTACGCACGTACAGGTACATGTACATGTACACACACGTACTCGTACAACAGCCATGCACACACAGTACATGCATGAGCTAGTCCGCGTAACCCAACGCCTTGATGGTTTTGAGTTGACCCAGCAAAACCTATTACGGTAATGAGGTACCACCCCCGCGTATACTGAATTCTCATTGGTCAGCCCGCGATAGGCTAACAAACACGTCGCATCCGCGAAGTAACGCTGCAATGGCGGCCCGTTGCTGTGGGTGAAAGTCGTTCAGTCCCAGTCTGTCCCAAGCAGTATTGCAGGCTCCAACGAATTCTGCAGGTAATGCTGTCATTAGACGATCGTTGCCCACTCAAATGGATTCATTACACGAGCCGAAAAACTCGAATCAATGTCAAATTGTTGAAAAAAGTGACGAACATTTCGCTCTCGCTAAGAAGACATGGAAGACGCCATGATGACTAATGCATTATGCATGCCGCGCGACGTCACATGATTGTTGTGAAGCTTACAATTGGTCAGCTTAAAAATGAATTAATCATACTATTGGGAAGGTTGTTTCATGTGATTGGTCCAAGACGAACCTACATAATAATCACGGCATACCCGCATATCCTGAAGCCCGCCCATTTTTTTTCCAAAACTGGACGAAAAGGTAAAGAAAGACATTAAACCCGGAAGTTGCAGACCCAACAAGGCGGTCGTTCGACAGGCCACGCGGCGCGTATATCCCCCACACGCACGTACGTACAACCCACACGCAGAACACATTTACTGCCTTATTACACCATGCGTACAGTCCGTACTCACGTGTGTGTGCTTGCTGGTTGTTAGCCGTTCGTACGGACAAGGGTCGTACAGGCACGTAGCCGTGTTGATTGTGGGTGCAGGGCCCGATTTTCTACCTTCGACAAAAAGCCGAGAGACCGCATTGAACAAGGCTAACCGGTACATGGTAATGTCATATCATGTCATGGGAGGTGGCAACAGGAAGGATTTCTTCAAAAGGAGTTACGAAATGCTACATTGAAAATTTCAGATATTAAGTATGTTAAAATACTGGTAACACTAAATATTGTATGATTTTACTTCTGTGTTACACTAACCACTAGACAATTTAGACGACGATAAATTTGGATGCCTTTCTTGGTCCAACTACAAGCTGTTTCTGTAATTTTCTGTTACTATTGTGGGCACCTTACGATTTCAATCTGGAATCTTGTGACAGAACGTTCTCCCATTCTAAACTCATAAAATGGTATTGTAAAACCTGTACCCCTCTGATCGCAACTCTCTTTTTTTGGCCATGTCCAAATTACTTGGCTACAACTTGCAATTACTGGTACACACAAGTCTACCGGTATGTGAAGTGGCTGCAGCCACTTCCCATAGATTTGTGTGAAATTCCAAGCCGTAGCCAACAAATTTGTACACAGCCTTACATGTACATGTATATGCCCGTAACTCAGACAATTGGATAGTGCCCTCTGTTGGTCTGATAAAGCTATTCATTACCTGAATGCACAAGCCAATGAGAAACCAGTTGCTGCCATCCATAGCCACCATGATAGATGGAAGGGTTTGTGTGACACTGAGTAGAACTTGACCAGGCAGTATGTAGACAGTGCAATGAAGAACAGCAGGATTGGATCCAAGAGAATATACTGGGATAATGTCAGGCATCCAGTATCTGTGCATATTACAAAGAGAAATACGAGTACCACTGTTTGCTAACTTCAGCCCGAGAATGCCCAGGCAGCTATAGGCGCGCTCGAACATCCAGGAGCTCCTTAACTTGCCTTGTCTACTTCCCAGACCCATTTGCATATAACTGAATGGTTCTTGAGCCGGCACGACTGGTGAAAATGCATGCATTTGAAAAGATGTCACCAGATGACGAAATGCCGCACTGCCCTATTGCAGTGCACAGGTTCATGATAAACTCTGACAAAATAGATTGACCCATGGACTCTGGCAATCAGTACGTGTACATGTCCCTACCGGTACTGTTCCGTAGTTTTGGGGACTACACACAAGTTGTGCCATGGTACTATGGGACCAAAGACATTATGGGGCCAGCAGAAAAGTCCCCACAACTCTGTCCTAATTTGCCTAACAATAAAAAACTTCCCCATAATGCAGTGATGGCCAGCCCACCCATACTTGTTCCATATTGGTGACTGTGAGGACCACACACGAGTCATCCCATGGTACTATGGGGGTCAAAGACATTATGGGGACAGCAAAAAGTCACCATAACTCGGTGCTAATTTGCCCACATCATTAAAAAACTTCCCCATAATGCGGTCACGGCCCGCTTTCATACACGTACATGTACACACTTAGTTACATCATTAATACATAATAAGCATTTCTGAAATTGAGGCAAAAAATGGTAAGCGACTGCTCTAGCTTGTGACATTTTCCCAGCATAAATAAGACAGCTGTGGTGATTTTACATATTGAATTGAGGAGTTGGTCTTGTCACCTGTTGTAAAAAGGTGAACAACCATATTCTGTTTTGGTTGCATGTGCATGTGAAGTCTACTCAGTTAAAATGTTTCACCAAAATGTTGTGTAGTCACTGGTGACAAGTCTTCCACTAATGTTTGCTAAGCATGCAATTGCTTAGTCGTATTTCCTGCTTTGGAATCTACCGGTAGTGCTCTGCATTTTCAAAGTACTTCGTATTCAACTATTGGAACAATGATTGGATAATATAATTTGAATATTCAACCATTGAGGTAAAAAACCTTTCTTTTATGAATATTATACATGTATAACTGCCAAGCTGACATACAGATTTAGACCACAATTGTTTTTTTAGGATCACAGATCCACCAATTTTTTTTACTAAATGGAAAGCCAATTAAATTTTTGGCCAATTTTTTATTTTAGTTTACCTCCAAACTTGTGATAAGAACTTGCAGTAGTTTCTAAAAAATATGAAATTATGATAGTATGAAATTTACCGTTTACAATATTACCACACGCCCAGAGAAAAAGCGTCAGTTTCTCTAAAGTTTCTCCGGCCACACATTTTGTTAGAGACAAAACTGCACTTGCACGAATGGAACTTCATGATAAGTACATTGATTGAACAGTTATCGGCACCTTGGCATGGTGTAGTGGATATTGAATGTTGAGCAAGATTCACGACCTGGTTAGAGATCGAATGACTTTTGCCTTATTTGTTTACCTCATTTTTTTTTCACTTCAGAAAGATATACCACAGAAGAATAAACTTTTTCTTTGCGAAATTTGTGTCTGCACATGATTTTCTTTGAGGGAAAATAAATTTCACTCTCCCATTTGATATTGTCGGTTTGTACAGGCACAGTTTAGTGCTGTATCGCTAGCCATTGATGTTGCAGATACAGCTGTCATATTTGTAGACAGTTCCTTTGTTTTCCAATGCATTATTATTTTATTGCACCAAATACTTTCTTTTGTGTAAATTGTTATTCCCCTCCATCCCCAACTTCTTGCTGACACAAAAACTAAAAAACCCAGATGTCAGGTGAATTTTATTGTATTTATTCCATCCTCTGATGTAGCCATATTTACAAAAAAAAGGAATCCTATAAATTTAAAACGTGTGGCCTTAAAGATATAAAGATACAGCTAATATTCCCTACAAAATCCCTCAAATCATGCGTTTAAAGTGGTGGTCCACGGCAATGTGGCAATTAATGAACAGGAAAGCCTCTCAACTTATGCAAATAAATTACATCACAGACGTTTTTCATCATTTTTTGAGACAGCTCATAGTTTTCAGATATTTTATTTAGTAAAATACTATTGAGATATTTAATTTGTTGCATGTAAAAACATGGCAAACCCATTACATTTGGCACTGAAAAAAAAAAAAAAATTTTCAATGGATATTCCTGGTTTCATGTGTTTCAACTTACCACATATTATAAAAGCAGCAGCCAAGATTCCAGCTGGTATTGACTGAGTTAGTTCCAATACAGTAAGGAAGGATAGTGGGGCAATAGCAGACCCCAGCAAGGCACAAAACTGAGAAAGAAAAGGAAACAAATGAAACTGTGCTACATGCAATCTAATCAATTAACCTGAGACAGAATGATGTCAAGCTTTTCTATGTACAGGTATGCACTTTTCCACAGTATGTCATGTATGAGAACCAGGTGGGGATGAAAGCCACCAAGCTCCCACTAGGGAAATGTACACATAAACAAAGAGAGGAGCGTTTCAGCCCTAGACTGATGGCTTGACTTGTGGGTAATTAAGAAATTGTTTACACATTAAGACATGGCTGGGACTAGTGTGCTTCCTGTAGATTCATATCCGATTCTCACCCAGTCCGATCAGTCACCTATGGAATCCATGCATGAACAGTAGATGGCACTTTGTGACCACTGTTGAGAGCTCCAATGGGAGGGACACACTAGTGTATATTAAAGGGAGGATACAACATTTGCAAACATCAAAAAACGAAATGACCACATTATCACGAAATACCCGGTACCTTACTGGTTTGTTAGGGAATGACAGTCTAAAGCATCCTGTAAAATCGTAGCTCCTGGTGTGCTGTCATATTCAAGAAAACTTGTATTTTCCAACGCTGGTCGGCCGACCATCGTTGGAGAAAACTGGCTTTTTCAAAAACTGCTCCTTATTTTTCAAATTTAGTTATTCTGCATTTTTGGGAAATTAATTACACACCAAGGAGTACAGGCCTGTTAGACTGATTCCTTGACCTTAATTACAATCTTCCACAGTCTATAAATTGCTCTGTTTCATCTTAAGTGGGGTCTGGGAACCAGACTACCAGAACATGATTGGTTTTCTTTGTTTTCCAGCATCTACAAGCCCAAAAAGTGAAACAATTCAGTATAACAAATATTTGCTATAACAAACTAAGCCTCCAAATCAATTTATTTCTAAAAATTGCTGCAAAAGCAAATGTTGTACATTCCCTTTAAGTAAACTACAAGCACTTTTACTTTGAATGTGCACAAAAAGTGCGTTTTTCAAATGTCCCTCCCAGTGATCTTTGCCAACTCTTCCTAAGTTTGTAACAGTTGAAAATAGAGGGGGGGGGGGGGGGGGGGGAGGTTTGCATGGAGTCCATACCCAAGGTCTTCTGATCATGTTGAACACTGACACACTCCTGGAACTTCCTGGAAACATTGTTACAATCAGATGACACCCTTACATGTAGCTTGCATGATATCTTCTCTACAGTTAAGGCATTCTCCCGCAAGACACACTTCACATACCGGTACCAGTGGTGTAGTCAAGTCCATCACAAGTCCTTCAGTCTCAAGTCACAAGCTGTTCAACTGAACTGTTACAAAAGCATTCCTCTGTTATTGTTCATCCCATTACTTGTGACTAGACTAATATGAAAGGACTTGTTATCGATTTGAATACAACACTGTCACATACTACTGTTAGTAATATTTTATTTGGCCCATGATTGTGCACTCCTCTAGCAAGGTTCTAAATTTGGGGTCCGCTCAATAAGATCAACGCCTCATACCGGTAGGTCCGACGCCTCATAGGTCCGACGCCTCATAAGTACGACGCCTCATAGGTCCGATGCCTCATAGCTCTGACACCTCGTTAGTCCGACAAATTAAACGCTTCGTTTTTTCCGAGGCATCAGACTTATGAGCCGTCGGACCTATGAGGCGTCGGACTTATGATACGGCCCCCTAAATTTGTTCTCACTGATAATTTCTCCATCAGTTAATTTTGGACAAGGGCACAAAGAACGTGTACAGATGACTTACAGCTCTCATTCCAACATAGGTTTTGTCATTGTAACTGTCCCCTGGCTTATCAAAGGCAAACGTGCCATCATATCCACTCAGGACCCCTGACAGACCAATCAGCATCTACACAGCAAAATTGAAACAAAATAATGCCCAAATGACTGTATCAGAGATAAGCTTGTGGGCAATTCCACGGTTACTCACGTTACGTTTTTGATGCACTTTTGAATTTCCTTGGGCTGTAATTACCTTTAACTGAAAACGTTTAATAATTGTTATCCCCACTATATAGATAGAGTACTGGTAGACCTACCGGTAGACCTACATGTACCACAACCAAATGACTAATACATGTAGGCCTATGGTTTTCGTTAACTTCACATCTGAATCAATGCATTTTAATTGCGTTCTTTAGCCCTTAATTACTCATCTTAAGAAAGAAAATTAGACTATGGACTTACCTTTCCCAGAGGTGGATGTACATCAAAGAAGAATGTCCTGTTGATATAATAACTCCCCATTTTCCCAAAATGTGTCTCATCCCAACTGTCGAAAAAAGTAGGTGACATTTGGATATTAGGAATAATGCCAATAGGTACATGTAGTTAAACATTATAGTCGACTCTCCTCTAACCCTAACCCTGACACAGCCAGACCTGGGCAAAATGTTTTTCTCAAGCCTATCCAAAATTGAAATTAGAAGCACTAGTTCCATTCATTGTTCACACAAATGCAAAGCAGGCCTCTTGTTCACTTTAACCAGACACAGTTTGTATTAGTGACAGTCAATTGAAGACAGGGACATTTTAAAGTACCCATGGTTCTTAAATTCAAAGTAGGGGCCTACATTCTCCTCAACTTTAGACACTGATTTTGCCAAGTCACTTGATTCTGGCACCGGTTTTAAGCAGTACTCTAAGTGCAAGGTAATAAGCAGTAGGGTCGCCCCACCCTTGGGCAGACACTTTAACATTAGTAATATACAAGTAGTCTGTACATACAAATATAGGACTCTACAACACCCTTTTTAAGATTTGGTCATGATTTGGCGTGAGTGCAGTCCCAGGGAATCACTTTTTTTGTTATTAATAACAGTGAAATCTCGATAAGTCAATCAAAGTCTCGAAAAAGTGTTTTCCAACTAAATGGCTGCTTCAATATTTTTCCTGCTAAATTTCACTTTTATTTTTCCTGCTAAATTTCAATTTTTACATGTTAATCCGTCTGATGGTTGATGAGTCATTACAGGGAAAAACTAGTGCTGAGTAGTGGCGTACATACTGTATATGGAATTCTTTTCAGTTCGAATGCCAAACATCCTAGACCCTCAATAAACTGTGCAGCTTGCAACACGCGCATTGTCACACAAACTGAAGGCGAGTGCGTAGAAATAGGAGTAGGAGTGACCGCATACATGTAGGCCTACATGTGGCTTTAGAGGTATCCTTGTGTGACCATTTTTTTCGCGCACTTACGTGTAGTACTTTGACCGATTTTTTCTTGCATAAACTAAACCCTACACAGTTATGGACTTTAATATTGTAAGAATGACTAATAAACTACACACTGTGTATGGAAAAATAATTTGAACACTATCGAACGTCAAGGAAGCACCAAGAATGTCATCGTCTGCAGATGAGTCGAATTGCATAGCTGCCAACATTTCAAAATCCCAATTAGTAATCAACCCGCGCGGTCATTTTCAACTTCTCGTTGTATCAAAAGCTTTACCAACATCGAGTACAGGTACATGGTTTACATGTACACATACATGTGCATACCCTTCTTGTTGTGAATAATAATGTACTGTAGGCCAAAAGATAATTTTTTTTTTTTTTAAATTAATTTTGTTTTAATGTCTGTATTTGTTTGTTGAAGTCAAATAAATAACAACATCAATAACATGTGCGCATATTTTTTTGGAGATGCATGCTATCGATGTTGAGTTTCGAGTTCGTATCATGTTTTTACACACAATGATCTATGGCCACCGTATGCAATAGAAATATCCCGCCAACATACCTTGCAAACGCATGCTGATTTATCTTTTCTGTCTGTTGTGACAAACTCAAACTCTATTAGTATTACCAATTATTCCAACCATACTCTTATTAAATTCCATGATTAAAATCTCGAACTGATGGGTCTCATCCCGGCAATAAGCGACTAAATGTGCTCACGATCGTCACTGAAAAGTACTCACATACAGTACACACAACCACACATCCACGAGATGCACACAAATGACACACCATTGAAAAATATTTTTAGTCTGGTCCTCAAGTACTCCACTGCGCACACTGCATTGATGTCTATCAGGTGCTTGACTGCATTCTTATTAGACTTGTCACCAGTCCATCCATTATCGCGACATTTCGCCAGAAGTTTTCGGTCAAAAACGATACTTTACATTTTTTTTTTTCGTTAGGTAGAAAATGGGAAATTCGTAATGTTTTAGTGGCAAATTATATTTTCGTAATTTAACAAACAATTCGTAATAATTACGAAAAAATCGTACTAGTTGGCAGCTATGGAATTGGCTGCCACAAAAGTTTCGTGCCCATAATTCGCGCAAGAATGGAAAACGTCATTCTACGGAGTCTCCATTGTGTCCTACATTTCTTAAAACAATGTGGATCAATGTTTGTTGAATAAAGGATAAGTTTATGTGCACAACTTTGGTCTCTAGTTTGATAAACTAACTTTTGTTTGGCATCCGACATTGTTACTAATATACACGTTTGTTTAAATATGAAATAAATGAATTTCTTTCAATTTTGGTAAAAACAACTGCATGCAAAATATTTAAAATCAGATCATAATTGAAAATTTGAGGTAAATAGAATTAATCCACAAATATTATAATATACTTTTGTCGAAAGGCTAAAAAGCTTAGGGGCCATTCAGAATTTTCAATGTTTTAAAATTTCGATCTTTTTTCCAAATTATTTTGACCCACCCACCCACCCCTAATATCGATTAATAAAAAACTGAACATGTACATCATGTAGATTGTAGGCCTACATGCACTTGCATGTACAGGGTAGGCATACATATACTTGAAGATGTACATGTATACCCATGTACATGTACATGTGTACCCATGTACATGTGTGTCTAGTTCAGTGACGGCGTGAAGTTGTCGGTCTTCCCCTTTTGCAGTGGTGGCCTTCAGTTTTCTTGCGTTTTGCCAGCTGATATGCTGTTGGGAAAGACAGGTTGCAGTCTTGAAATGAAAGCCACAAAGATGACCGTACGCGTGGTTTTGTCATTTTCTGGATTAGCCCCATAAATGTGGCCAATTTACTGGACTACCAAAGGTTACACTGCCACCATGTACAAAAACATGTCGAACTTTGTCAAATTTTGATTTTCACATTTAGGCTTAGTTTGTAGTTTATTTTTGCTTTAGAAGCATACTTACCCTCTTTTTAGGCTAATCAGAAAGTGCTGCCTTTTCAGGTGTCTATTTTTTGTGAAATTTCCAGATTCGTTTGCACACGTCGAAAAATAGACTATAAAGGGGGTGAGTATGCTTCTAAAGCAAAAATAAACTACAAGTACAAACTAAGCCTAAATGTGAAAATCAAAATTTGACAGAGTTCGACATGTTTTTGTATATGGTGGCAGTGTGGCCTTTATTTACGGAGGCAGTCCAGTAAATTGGCCACATTTATGGGGGCTATTTCTGGATGAGGTGGATGACGTGACATTCGAGGTTGTGCCTGTCACGTGAGGTAGCTGAGAAAAACATTCCCTCGTCCCCCCGCCCTGTTTGCAGGGTGGGGGTACGAGCGAAAGAAAAACATCAGGTTTGGGCAGTCATCACATCACAGAGGCTGCGGTCCTCGTAGTCTTGGAGTCCAGTGGTTGAATAGTCCAGTTTTTTTTTATAGCGATTGGTAATCGACACCCGCGGCGTGTTATAGAGCCGATCTAGTACACCTGGTACTGCCTCTGCACAGCCTAACCGCTAGAAACGCCCGGCATCCAAGTCGGAAAGATTTCCATTTAAGAAGTTCACTAATTTTCCTCTGTATTGACTAACAAGCCCCCAGATAGCAATTTCATGTCATCAAAGTCAATTTGAGCAGTGAGAAAACACTTAAAATTTTTCAGTCCAATCTCATAGGGTTTGTACACAGGGTGTTGAGTGAACTTCGTATATATGGCAATCTTTCCTCCAACTCTACTGAAAAACCACCTCCCTCTCATGCCATAGTGGGTCTATACACGTACATGACGTACATGTACAGTACACACAGGGGACTAAGTTGGAAAAGAAACACGCATCGCGATATCGGAACGCTTGCGCGTTGTTCAGGCAAGTCAAAAGATCTATCTTTCTTTGTTTTTTTAATCTTTTTTCCATGGAAACTGAATTTCGATTTTCAATTATTTAGCTTGACCCACCCACCCACAATTTGGAAAAAAGATCGAAATTTTAAAACATTGAAAATTCTGAATGGCCCCTTAGTTAAATCCTATGCAAGGAAAGAGTTCCGAGAATTTTTGTTTTGCTGAAATTAATCAACCATGTGCCAATTACATAACATCTTACAAATGTATACAGATTCTCCCAAAATAGAAACATTTGCAATATAACTTTAGTATGCCGTGGCCATATTTTTAAGTACATGGACAAACATATTTTAAATCAAAAACATAACAAAACCACCCTTCTGTAACATTATGTTCTCCGGCATTTATTGCTCATTCTAATACACCTGCGAGCAATCAATCAAGTAGGCGTGCGCGCCTGCACGCGGTTGACCAATACTGTATCCTATAGCGCCGCCTTGACACATGGTCTCATGATACACATCAATTCAATCAAAACAAAAAATAGGTATTGGCCTACTTTTTGGGTACTTTAAACATTATGATTACCGTACCGGTAGGTCTTTTTCTGACAGAAATATATCTTAAGGCATTCATTCCAACAAACAACTCGGTACCGAAATCTGCATCTCGGCGAAACAGATCATAAATAAAAACAAGATATATAATATAAGGTGCATGTCGTATTTCGTGCTCCTTAATTCTGATTACGCCCTCTGTTGTTTAGTGACAGTCGACCGAAGTTGTCCTTCACGTTTCGGGATTGGACAGCGACACTGATCGGAAATTCGTAGCGATGTTTTTATTATTTTTTCTGGGCCATTCAATAATGTGACGTTTTGTATCTAGTCAGTACGGCAATAATTTACACTCTCTTTGATTTCTTTCAAATTACTTCTCGGAAAAGCTTTTGATTTCCGCATAACTGCATCGAGAACAAAGTCGATGTGACGATGGATTATGAACGGTAATTTGACGTCAGTCCATGTTGTGTGAAAAAAGATACGAGCCGAGAAAGATGGAATATTGGGCAGCGCGAATTTGGGGCACGGGACGATATGACGATATTGTTGATGTACCCTAACGTGGCGCGGCCCCCAACGTGGTGCACTTTTAGCGAGTAACTCCAGCTGACATGTTCCATATTCATTCACATGTAACGCTGGAGGCAAAACCTGTTCGAATAAAGTTACAATGTACGTGTTCCCCTCCACTGTCTTTAATTTTTTTTTTTTTTCACAATGTCCCCGTACGGTGCATCTTTTTCCAGGGGGCGAGTCGGTCAGGATGCGAGTCGGTCAGGGGGCGAGTTGGCTAGGAGGCGAGGGGGCGAGTCGGCTAGGGGGCGAGTCGGCCGGGGGCGAGCTTGTAAGGGGCGAGTCGGTAAGGGGCGAGTCAGTAAGGGGCGAGTCGGCAAGGGGGCTTCGAAGTGCGCCACGTACGGTTTAGTACAGAAGCGTATTTAGGACATGACCGAAAAATATTGTTTAGGCTCACTACTTCGCCCGGGCGGATAACTATTCCGCCCGGGCGGATTACTAATTCGCCCGGCCGGGCAGACTACTAATTCGCCTGGGCGAATTAGTAATCCGTCCAGGCGAAATAGTAATTCGCCCGGGCGAAATAGTAATCCGTCCGGGCGACATAGTAATTCGCCCGGGCGAATAAGTAATCCGCCCGGGCAAAATAGTAATCCGCCCGGGCGAAATAGAGGGCCAGAAATTTGGTCATGTCCTAAATACACTTCCGTAGTTTAGCGAACACGACTCTATAAAGGCCTAGCACCTAGGCTACATGATAGTCCGAGTAACTTGGACCCAACTTATCGCCTTTTTTAACATTTGGACATGGTCTGGCGATAGTGGGGTCCAAGCTAATACCGCGACCTGGACAACATCATCCTGTCACTGTCCCAAAAACCGACATTTTCCAACAAAAAAACATCAGATTTCACCTTCAAAACGGCCTCCAAATTACTAGATATGCCATCTGAGGTACAAGTAGACATCGATAATTAAGATGGTTGTACTGGATCTGGAGTTTACTTACGATCCGGAAAAAGTGAAATTTCACTTTTTTTCCGGATCGTAAGTAAACTTCAGTACAACCATCTTAATTATCGATGTCTACTTGTACCTCAGGTGGCATATCTAGTCATTTGGAGACCGTTTTGAAGGTGAAATCTGATGTTTTTTGTTGGAAAATGTTGGTTTTTGGGACAGTGACATGACAGGATGATGTTGTCCAGGTCGCGGTAGCTTGGACCCCACTATCGCCAGACCATGTCCAAATGTTAAAAAAGGCGATAAGTTGGGTCCAAGTTACTCGGACTAGCTACACGGTAAGTGACGATCGACAGTGACGTGACTACTTACCAAACATGTTCAGGTTCGGACAGTTTGTAAAATCTGGTAGCCATTGAAGCCAAGACGACAGCAAACAAAGTGATCATCTTTAATACCGGAATACAAAATATATTTTTATTATTAATAATATTCATATCCCACCGCACCATTTTCACGCTTACAATGTCACATGTGCATGTAGCGCCCTCTGGAGTCACTCTTTATTCTTTCGCCAGAGCTATCTCAGGACAATGGGGCTATCCAGTCAGTGCAGAGCCGTATGGTTACAGACCAGTATTACAGTAAATAAACTTCCATAGACCCCAATGGTAAATGCTCCCACTTCAGAAATTCGGGAAAAATACTCACAACTCTCCAAGGTGTTCGAGACACACATCAAAATAAAGCTTATTTCATCATCTTTCATTTTCTTAAGATGATCACCCCTGAAAATAGTCCTGAAGCCCATTTTGAAAAACTATGCCTACACTCTATTGCAAAATAGAGCGCTTTAAGGGCCCCAATTTCATCCAAATTAAACGGAACTACAAGCTCACAGTCCTGTGCACGGCTTCCACCCATATTTTTTACAAACCCTCAAGTTCATGGCCCACAGCATGCTCAAATACTGAAGATTTTGACGGCATGCAAATCGTGATTTGGCCGGCGTAGGCAATTTCGGACCGATTTACTGGTCTGCAACCTATGGCCAAGTTCGGGCAAGGACCATTAGGGTAGCAGACCAGTAAATAAACTTCCATAGACCCCTATGGTAAATGCTCCCATTTCAAAAATTCGGGAAAAATACTCACAACTCTCCAAGGTGTTCGAGACACACATCAAATTAAAGCTTATTTCATCATCTTTCATTTTCTTTTCATGATGAAATCGGGTGCTGGTCGTATAATTTAGTAGTTGTGGAGAAAATTATAGATATAGCGCATCAATGCCAGTATAGTAACCGCTATGTGCAGTCACTCTAACAGCAATGCCTGCAAGCGCCCGCGACACGAACTTCGTATATCGCAGTCTAAAGGTACCTTAACGTGGGAAGTTCTGCAAAAACGCAAAAACTATACCTTGTTCGAAAGTTTATGATGAGGCCAACAAGCTGGCAAACGGACAGGTCTTGAAATGTAGTAGTTGTGGAGAAAATTCTAGATAAACCGCATCAATGCCAGTAGTAGCCGCTATGTGCAGTCAGTCTTACAGCAATGCCTGCAAGCGCCCGCGACACGAACTTCGTATATCGCAGTCTAAAGGTACCTTTACGTGGGAAGTTCTGCACAAACTATACCTTGTTCGAAATCTTATGATCATGTCTTGAAATTTAGTAGTTGTGGAGGAAATTCCAGATATACCGCATCAATGCCAGTAGTAACCGCTATGTAAGTTCGTGTCGCGGGCGCTTGCAGCATTGCTGTTAGACTGACTGCACATAGCGGTTACTACTGGCATTGATGCGCTATATCTGAAATTTTCTCCACAACTACTACATTTCAAGACCTGTCCGTTTGCCAGTCTGCTGGCCTCATCATAAGCTCTCGAACAACGCATAGTTTGTGCAGAACGTCCCACGTAAAGGTACCTTAGAATGCGATATACGAAGTTCGTGTCGCGGGCGCTTGCAGCCATTGCTGTTAGACTGACTGCACATAGCGGTTACTACTGGCATTGATGCGCTATATCTAGAATTTTCTCCACAACTACTAAATTTCAAGACCAGTCCGTTTGCCAGCTTGTTGGCCTCATCATAAGCTTTCGAACAACGCATAGTTTGTGCAGAACTTCCCAGGTTAAGGTACCTTTAGACCGCGATATACGAAGTTCGTGTCGCGGGCGCTTGCAGCCATTGCTGTTAGACTGACTGCAAATAGGGGTACTACCAGCATTGATGCGACATATCTTAAATTTTCTCCGCAAATGTTGGGTTTCAAGACCTGTCCTTTTGCCAGCTTGTTGGCCTCATCACAAGCTTTCGAACAAGGTATAGTTTGTGCAGAACTTTTCAGGTTAAGGTACCTTTAGATCGCGATATACGAAGTTCGTGTCGCGGGCACTTGCAGGCATTGCTGTTAGACTGACTGCACATAGGGGTACTACATGCATTGATGTGCTATATCTTGAATTTTCTGCGCAACTGCTTGGTTTGAAAACCTGTCTTTTTGCCAGCTTGTTGGCCTCATCATAAGCTTCCGAACAAGGTATAGTTTGTGCAGAACTTTTCAGGTTAAGGTACCTTTAGATCGCGATATACGAAGTCGTGTCGCGGGCGCTTGCAGGCATTGCTGTTAGACTGACTGCACATAGGGGTACATGTACTACTGGCATTGATGCGCTATATCTTGAATTTTCTCCGCAACTGCTTGGTTTCAAGACCTGTCCTTGTGCCAGCTTGTTGGCCTCATCACAAGCTTCCGAACAAAGTATAGTTTGTGCAGAACTTCTCAGGTTAAGGTACCTTTAGACCGCGATATATCTGACGCCACTATTTTTCATCACATATCACATATCTCAGTGAAGGTCAATCATTCATTACAAAATGTTGAAAAGACATGAATCTGGGGGTGAAAACATTTCCAATATTGTATTCAAAATACTCTGAAAATGCACTCAACTCTCCATAGACTTGGATACACAACCAAAGAAGTGGCGTCCCTCCGGATACTACATCCTTTCCCTGGATTTTGTTTAAAGTCCAAAAATGATAGGGCAGCATACCAGGTACATCACACACACGTATCCATTCTTAGGAACTTCACGCACCGGTAAGCTACACAGTGACACTGTACACTGTCCGTCGTACTCCTGTTGGGCGAACCACTTTCATGACTTTGGCCTGATTAAAACTCCATGGGCGAACTCATGTTCCCTAAACCAACTAGACACTAGGTTATTTCCAATAAAATGAAACAAAGTAAACTACTTACCTGAACTTAAGTGCTGTAACCAAGCGGAAACGGTTCGTGTGCATAAGTACGTCCGTGGCCTGCCCCCCCACACAAATGAAGTTTTCCTTTATCCGGCATGGCGCCCTCTTGTGGAACAAAATGGAGAATTTACTAAGGGAATAAAATAATGTGTGCTCGAGAGGTTTTAATCACTCTGTTTAAGACCGCTGAGAGTCTGGGTGCTGATAATTACCCGAGCCGAAGGCGAGGGTAATTATCAGCAAACAGACTCTTAGCGATCTTAAACAGAGTGATTAATACCGACCGAGCACATATTTATTCCCATACATAAATACCTTTTCGGTCAAAAAAATATAGTATTTCGGTCAAAAATCCCGATTTTATTCAACAAGTTCACTTCATGCACTTTGAAACATCCCTCTAGCTAAATAATCGAGTGTTCGTTAACAGCGGACATTGACACGAACTCCTGCAATAACTGCAGACGAATCTCATCCTGCTATTCTTCAAGATCACTCGAGGGACGGACCAAGCGATCAAACCGCTCTTTTGATAACGCTGCAGGAAGATATTTAAAATGGGAATTGTAAACACCAGTGTTTTTGTTTAAACTCAAGTAATATAAATTTTAAGTGAAGTTGGTAATGTCCTTTTTTATGATCACCGAGATTTTACATGTTTTTAAGGTGTTGCAGGGGCGGCTCAATGACTCTACGCACAGTTGGCCGCCGTGAAATCAAAAAGTTGGGGGTGGGGTGAGGTGGGGGTGGGGTGGTACCATGTTCAAACGGGGGCGCTGTTCAAATCCGACTATCATGTACACTATCGCACAAGTGTTCAAATACCCCCCCCCCCCTTACCCCTATACTGGCTACGCCTCTCTGTCCAAGACAGGCGTACATAGCTAATTATTATTATTGTTATTAGTTTTTTTCCTGTCAGAGAGGGGGGGGGGGGTTACCTCCCTGGATCCGTGCCTGCATTTTAAATGTTTAATTCTCTATATAGGAACTTTTGTAGCGACCAATTAAGACGTATATATTGTATGTTTATGCATAACATGTATAATGTAGCAATAAACAAGCAATCCAACTTTCACTCGGGGTACTGGCATGTGGCGTTTGTTTCTGCATTAATTTCCTATTTTTTTGCAGCCCAAAGATGGGGGGGGGGGGGCGTCATCTGCCACAGTTATGTTTTCCATTGTATGTGGCCACGGTCAATTCCTTATTTGGTTAAAATTACTTCTTTTCAGAGTGCTTGACGCATGGGTTAACCCTAAAGGGGCCGGGTTATTTTGACCATCTCTCAGCCGGGGGGGGGGGCGGATTCCGCCCCCCTAAGATCTCGGCCATCGAGTGACGAAAAATTTGGAAACTCAGCACATGCATAGAGCAACTCTTCCTAAACATGCCCAAGAAATTTCATGACTATAGGTCAAAGGGTTTTGGAATTATGGCTAATTAATTATTCATATGTATGAATGGCATTTCTGCTCGGTGTACACAACGTATATGCGAAAATTCAGTTTTGACGGCGCGTAGCACCGGAAAATTTTTCGCTACGTGCCAACCCGTGGTCCGATTTTTATGTTTTTGGTATCAAAAGATGCGCAAAGCTCGAGGCTAAAAAGTCATAACAGCTCGGGTTTTAGAGGCTATCGCGGAAAATGTTGGGGGGGGGGCGGATTCCGCCCCCGGCCCCTTTAGGGTTAAGACTATTCAATTTCCTGATGATTGTCAGAATTAGGTTATATCTGCAACAAGTAATTTAACCAATACAGGAAAAGCTATCAGAAGGAAGACAAACGCACATTAAAACAAAAAACACTCAGACAAAAAGGAATTGCACTTTTATCTAATCCTTTTTATTTTACCAAAGGAAAAAAATTAGAGAATTTCTTTCATAATGGAGAAAACGAAACGAAAACAACAACAAATTATGAACATAAACTTGCCTGAAATAAAGGGGAAATACGTCGCAAACCGTGTCCTTGTATTTCTTTATGAGCTTTGCTTTTCGGATTTTTTTAGTTTATCCAAATCGCTGCTCAGTTCAAGCTCTTCTACGATGTTGTGATGTTATTTCTAACGGTATTTTGGGCTGGAATTATGGAATCCCTCACGTTTGTTTTGCCTCTAAACGACCAGGGAATCAATTGCAATTTGTGCAGCAAGGCATTATTTTGTGAACCAATTAAAAAAAACAAAAAACATTAGGTGTCATAGATTTTACCCCGGGGAGATCGCTTATTCAAGAATAAGGCTGTGAGTTATGACACGACTGAACCATACATCGGTCGCACATGTCTAAGATTGCCAATGTTCAACAAGACCCTCAGACGGTGTACACTAAAAAAACTGTAGTGTTAATTTAACACCATTCGGTATCTATATAGGACAACACCAGTAAGATTTAACACCAGATGGTCCTATATAGATACCAATAGTGTAAATTTAACACTGCAGTTTTTGCAGTTTACAGTTTATTTGTTTCGCTATAAACGGCTGTCTTTTATAGTTGAAGCTTTTGACATAATGATATAGGCCATATCTAAGTGCATATTTTAGTCCAGAACTTAAACTATGTTTTTCTCATAAAAGGATCGGTATTATCTGTTGTTTAATCTTATTTTTGGATGGAATTATTTTCATGACTTTATCAATTTCGAAAAGACGGAATATATTTTTGTATTCAATTCTAGCATTTCTTAATAGTCTCCCCAGATGTTTATATTATTGGCTGATTCGGAGCGAGGTTTGGGAACAGAGGATTATAGAGCATTACTGTTATACTTGACTTGATTCTTGTTTTGACAGCCCGATGGTTATATAACAAAGGGTTCCGTTCAGTGCAAACTCTTTTCCTAAGATGGGCTTTGGTAAAGACATGTCCTTTATTGTACCATCTTTCCCATATTTGTGGGCGTCATTTCTTCAGAATTCAAATTAGTAAATATTCTTGGTTAACTCGAATTTGGAACAAAGAAGCTTAAAGGAACAAAAACGAAAATGAAAATAGGAACAAGATGGTCAATTCCACGGTGAGTTTCGTTAGTTTAAGAGATGAAGCAACGCTCTTTAGGCTCCTATGTCAACATGTATGCCTACCATGAATACATCTCACCAGGACTTATAACACAGCCATGCGGAGCAAGTTTGGTGAGTTGTAATGAGACATGTAACTTGGTGAGTTACGTTACAGAAAAAGACAGGGATAAAAAATGCATGTCTTTGAATAGAAAGCTTCCTATGGGATACATCTGAAATAAAATATAGTATTTCTGTAATTACAGTGGTTACGGCACAGCTCGTTATACGTTACGGTTTGTCCGCCCATCTTTGATTTAAGTAAAAACATAATAAGTAACATTTATTAAACAAAATAGCTCTTTTGGCAAACAATAAGAACCTTTACTCTGCCTTAAAAAAAAATCACAATAACACATGTGTGCTGCATGTTAATACAAGCTGCCAAAAATCCGTAATTTTGCTCAAACTAAAAGCCAATAACAATGTTTGTTTTTTACCAAAAACATGGGTAATCATTTTAAATCTCACTGGCAAATAACGTAAACGAAAGGTATTTTTTTGTCTCCTTGTATTTGATAACACATTCGAGATTGTGATGCTTGCAGTTCCAAAGATTTAATAAATTATCCACTTTTCAGCCGTATCCGCTTCTCCGTGGAATTGCCCAAAAATAATGAAATTGAAACCACAAAATTTGAATCATTAATATTCGTGATTAACTCAAACTTGGAAAAAAGGTTAAAAGGAACGAAGCAAAAACGGAACCGAAAATAGGAACAAAATGAAACTTAAATTCCAAACTAATTCTAAGAAATTTCAAATGGACATTAGAATGCGGTGTACCGTCGATTCCATGTCTGGTATAAGTCCGAAACGACGGCTGATTCCTGCAACAAATCAAACATTTAAGATGAACTTATAATTGAGTAGCAAGTGGATAAGCATGCAAACGTATTTGGTGTTTTAAGATGTTTCCTCTTTTGAAAAAACACCCAGTTTTTTTTGTTCCCGGCGAGTAAAAAAAGCTATGAAATAGTATATTTTAAGTACGACATTATTTTGTCACATGGTGCAACCGCAAAAGGAGCCATTAATTTTTTATTTAAAAAAAGACCCGGACATGCTTGATTGATGATATTTTGTACAATCTGGTATGTGGCAAACGTAGTTTGTTGCTGGTGTTGGTGAGGTAACACAATGCGAGCTACTGGTTTTCATCGGAGATAAAACGTTTTTCTTACGTGTGCCTAATTGAGTTTCAAAATGTCACAAAGAAACTCAATACTACACATTAAAAGTCAAGACTATTTTTTTTGTAGCAGATGGTGATTCATCGAATTTATTCTATGGGGTTATGATTTAGCTAAGGTAAATTTCAGTTATCTTGCCTCGCTTCGGTTCGACAAGTTTTGAAAATGTGACGCCAGAACTATAATAGTGTTTGGTGAGCCTGTCCATTTTGCGCCACAGTGCCCTATATGTTGCTACCAGAAGCAAGAAATAGCTCACCTTGATACGTCTACGGGTCTTGCTCATCATTTTTCTCCTTCGGCAAAACCTTCTCCCGTCGCGGATATGACTCACTGTTGTCCCTTTTGACTTCATTATCTAGGAATGTATATCAAATACGAATTTATACACAATTGGTAATTTTCTTTTGTTATAGCAAGAAATATAATACTTAGCAGAAATTGAATGTACGGCTGCATATCAAAATGTCCAGACGTTAGAACGCCCCCTTGCGCTCAAACAAACATGGCTTTTTGGAACTACCGAGCCTCTTTGTTAGTTCTAACGTCTTTGTTTCAATGTGAATAACTATGCCCAACCGGGCTCGGTTGTTTTGTTGTTCTTGTTGTCGTCGTTGTTGTTGATGATTTTGTTGCTGTTGCTCACGGTGTTGCTGTTGCTGTGGTGGTTGTGGTGCAGAGATTCTGGTGGTCCTGGTGGTTCAGTGGTTTGTTGTGGTTTGCAGGTTGTGGTGTGTGGTGGTTGTGGCGCTTATGGTGGCCGTGGTGGTTGTGCTGGTTGTTGTTGATGATGTTGCTGTTGCTCACGGTGTTGCTGTTGCTGCGGTGGTTGTGGTGCAGAGATTATGGTGGTCCTGGTGGTTCAGTGGTTTGTTGTGGTTTGCAGGTTGTGGTGTGTGGTGGTTGTGGCGGTTATGGTGGCCGTGGTGGTTCACGGTGCTGGTTGTTGTTGTTGTTGATATCGTTGTTGTTGATGATGTTGTTGATCACGGTTGTAGCTGTTGCTGTGGCGGTTGTGGTGCAGAGATTCAGTGGTGGTTGTGGTGGTTCAGTGGTTGAACTTGTGCTTTGCAGGTTGTGGTGTGTGTGTGGTTGTGGCGGTTATGGTAGCTGTGGCTGGACTGCTGGTTTTTGTTGTTGTTGTTGTGGTGGTGGTGGTGGTGTGGTACACAGCATTAATATCATTAGAGGTCCCACTTGCAAGACTTAATATAGGAATCATATACAATGTATCATCATGGTTTTCGCTGACCCATGTGGGAATTTATTCCTTTTCTGAATACATTACCTAGGGCCAAGTCAGATGCATTACCTAAGAGATGCAAAGCATAATTCGACTAGCTTCGACCTCATCTCATGATTTTCTTTTGGCAGTGTCTCTTAGAATAAGTTAAGCATGAAGATCCACACAAAAGCTTGAGTAGGTCAAAGAGGAACAAATTGTTTTACCGTTGCAGTTCTGCCACTCATCTTCGCCATAGAGGCAGTCGATGATGCGGTCACATGTATACCTCATGGGGATCTCGTCACCGTTAGAACAGCGGAACGTGTCTGGAAATCACCCCAAATCAAAACAAAATACAACCATGCGTTACATGAATATTGTAAGACTATTTTTGATGTCTCCGTGTAGTTGATGTACGACACAGGTTCGCCATGAAAATTATGGGAAAAAATAGAAATGTTTTGGTAATGTATGGGAGTTTTGGAAAGTATGAAATACAAAATGATTAAGCTTTACAATTCAGCACACGTGTAGGCGTTCTCTAAACAGTTGTTGGAAACTTTAATCTTCAAACTTGTCAGAGTTTTTCATAGTTAATTTGGTGAAAATCTGTAATCGGAATGCAAGGCAACATAGCGGCGGCACGTAGGGGCAAGTTAGAAAATCAAGAACATTGATTTCTACTTGTCTGTTCATTTTCAACTTCATTTAATATGTTCCAAGAACTCCGGCGTCCGCATTATGCCCGCAGTTATGATTAAACTAGCCAGCATGATTGCATTCATCTATGCTAGATTCATATCCCTGGAAGTATACGTTGTCAAGCATGATCGGACCTGATCCTTGACCGAAGTAAGCGTTGCCCCACGCCTGGTATGCAGAAGGGTAACCAAGCATGCGACAGACGACATGAGGTCATTAATGCCCCAATTATCATCACAGACTGTACCCCAATGGCCTTGATAGAAAACTTCAACTCGACCCTCGTTCGAATAGCCTCCATTAACGAGACGAACTGTTAATGGAGCTAAAGTAACAGAAAATGAAATGCTCGTGGATTGGGAATTAAAATAGAGTTTTTATATAAACTCACTTGTAACGTGCTCTAGTAGTTCAAGGTGAAACACACACTCAGACATATCAGTTACATAACTGCGTCTATGAGATTATGAGATGTCACAATGTCAGTTCAAACACGGTGAACAGCGCATGAACGCTCCAAACTCGCCAATAATTAAGACTGCTTGGTAGACTGGCTCTGACACCTATTATTATCGATTATATGTTGGTAAATGTGCATTAAATCGACTGCAATTTGACTCCGCACCTCGTCTTTTTTTCTTTTGTTCTTTTCGGGGAGGCAAGGGAGGGGGGGGGGGCACCCCTTGTCCCTCTTGAAAAATCCGCAATCTTGAGGGAAAAAAAAGCCCCCCCCCTTCGGTTTTGAAAAAGGCCGGACGATCGAGAAACTACTTTAGTTTTTATTAACCGGCCTTATGAAGTGGCGTGTCTGTTACATCCAGTAACTATTTCCCTTGTGCATATTCACCTTGACAGTCGTATTCATCTTCGCCATAGTAGCAGTCTGAGTAGCCGTTGCATCGTTGGTAGTCTTGAATACATTGGCCGTTGTAGCATTGCCACTCATATGAACTGCAGCCGTACGATGGTTCAGTGGTGTAGCCTACAATCGAAAAGTCAGTGAGTACACGTATTTACAAAACTTGGAGTATGTTACAACTTTCTAAAAACTGTTTTGTTGCAGATATTTACCAACCCCTCTGACCCCTATTATTATCGATTACATGTTAGTAAATGTGCATTAAATTGACCGCAATATGACTTCGCACCTCGTCTTTTTTCCTTTTTTTCTTTTCGGGGGAGGCAAGGGGGGGGGGGGGGTGAAGCACCCCTTGTCCCTCTTGAAAAATCCGAAATCTTGAGAGAAAAAAGCACCCTCCCCCTTCGATTTTTGAAAAAGGCCGGACGATCGGGAAACTACTTTTAAATTAGTTTTTATTAACCAGCCTTATGAAGTGGCGTGTCTCTTACATCCAGTAACTATTTCCCTTGTGCATATTCACCTTGACAGTTGTATTCATCTTCGCCATAGTAGCAGTCTGAGTAGCCGTTGCATCGTTGGTAGTCTTGAATACATTGGCCGTTGTAGCATTGCCACTCATATGAACTGCAGCCGTAGGATGGTTCAGTGGTGTAGCCTACAATCGAAAAGTCAGTGAGTACACGTATTTACAAAAATTGGAGTATGTTACAACTTTCTAAAAACTGTTTTGTTGCAGATATTTACCATAACAGTCGTATTCATCTTCGCCATAGTAGCAGTCTGAGTAGCCGTTGCATTGTTGGTAGTCTTGAATACATTGGCCGTTGTAGCATTGCCACTCATATGAACTGCAGCCGTACGATGGTTCAGTGGTGTACCCTACAATCGAAAAGTCAGTGAGTACACGTATTTACAAAACTTATGTTACAACTTTCTAAAACTGTTTTGTTGCAGATATTTACCATAACCCCTCTGACCCCTATTATTATCGATTACATGTTAGTAAATGTGCATTAAATTGACCGCAATATGACTTTTGCACCTCGTCTTTTTTTTTCTTTTCAGGGGAGGCAAGGGGGGGGGGAAGCACCCCTTGTCCCTCTTGAAAAATCCGAAATCTTGAGAGAAAAAAGCACCCTCCCCCTTCGATTTTTCAAAAAGGCCGGACGATCGGGAAACTGCTTTAGGTTTTATTAACCAGCCTTATGAAGTGGCGTGTCTCTTACATCCAGTAACTATTTCCCTTGTGCATATTCACCTTGACAGTTGTATTCATCTTCGCCATAGTAGCAGTCTGAGTAGCCGTTGCATCGTTGGTAGTCTTGAATACATTGGCCGTTGTAGCATTGCCACTCATATGAACTGCAGCCGTAGGATGGTTCAGTGGTGTAGCCTACAATCGAAAAGTCAGTGAGTACACGTATTTACAAAACTTATGTTACAACTTTCTAAAAACTGTTTTGTTGCAGATATTTACCATAACCCCTCTGACCCCTATTATTATCGATTACATGTTAGTAAATGTGCATTAAATTGACCGCAATATGACTTTGCACCTCGTCTTTTTTTTTCTTTTCAGGGGAGGCAAGGGGGGGGGGGAAGCACCCCTTGTCCCTCTTGAAAAATCCGAAATCTTGAGAGAAAAAAGCACCCTCCCCCTTCGATTTTTGAAAAAGGCCGGACGATCGGGAAACTACTTTTAAATTAGTTTTTATTAACCAGCCTTATGAAGTGGCGTGTCTCTTACATCCAGTAACTATTTCCCTTGTGCATATTCACCTTGACAGTTGTATTCATCTTCGCCATAGTAGCAGTCTGAGTAGCCGTTGCATCGTTGGTAGTCTTGAATACATTGGCCGTTGTAGCATTGCCACTCATATGAACTGCAGCCGTAGGATGGTTCAGTGGTGTAGCCTACAATCGAAAAGTCAGTGAGTACACGTATTTACAAAACTTGGAGTATGTTACAACTTTCTAAAATCTGTTTTGTTGCAGACATTTACCATAACAGTCGTATTCATCTTCGCCAAAGTTGCAGTCTGAGTATCCGTTGCATCTTTGGTAGTATTGAATACACTGGCCGTTGTAGTAGCACTGCCACTCATATGAACTGCAGCCGTAGGATGGTTCAGTGGTGTAGCCTACAATCGAAAAGTCAGTGAGATGCATGTATTTACAAAACTTGGAGTATGTTACAACTTTCTAAAAACCTTACCATAACAGTCGTATTCATCTTCGCCATAGTAGCAGTCTGAGTATCCGTTGCATCTTTGGTAGTATTGAATACACTGGCCGTTGTAGTAGCATCTCCACTCATATGAACTGCAGCCGTAGGATGGTTCAGTGGTGTAGCCTACAATCGAAAAGTCAGTGAGTACACGTATTTACAAAACTTGAAGTATGTTACAGCTTTCTTAAAACTGTTTTGTTGCAGTCTTGAATACACTGGCCGCTGTAGTAGCATTGCCACTTATATGAACTGCAGCCGTAGGATGGTTCAGTGGTGTAGTCTGGAATTTAAAAGTGTGGTTTAAAGTCAATGAGATGTACATTTAAGCTAAGATATGTTATGTGTCATCCTTAAGAAACTCTGGTTGTTGGGAATATACAGGGTGACCCAAAAATACAACCCGGAAATATTTGCTTCAAAAATAAAAGGGATCGCTAGATTTTTATGTTTTGGGCATCACCATAATCATCTGCAGCCGCACTAGGGTGGTTCTGGTGTATGGTAATGTACGGGAAGTGAAGTCAAATGATTAAGCTTTACAATTCAGGAAACGTGTAAACATTTCTCTAAAAAGGTAGTTGGAAAATAGCACAGATATTTGATCTTTAAATTTGCATGAGTTTGTGTTTTCACCTTGATTTTTACATGTTCATTTTACTTTCCTGCCTCACCATTACAGGGCGCCCTGTTGAGGCCAATGTTCAAATGTCAAGTTTATTTTATATGTTGCGACAATAAACTTACCACTGTTACAAGTAACTCCTGCGTCCTCATAATGTCCACAGTTATGACTAAACCAGCCAGCATGATAGCAATCAGCTATGTCAGGTTCATTTCCTTGGCAGTTAACATTGTCAAGCATGATCGGACCTGATCCTTGACCGAAGTGAGCGTTGCTCCACGCCTGGTATGCAGAAGGATAACCAAGCATGCGACAGACGACATGAGCGTCATTAATGCCCCAATTATCATCACAGACTGTACCCCACTGGCCTTGGTAGAAAACTTCAACTCGACCCTCGTTCGAAGAGCCTCCATTAACGAGACGAACTGTTAATGGAGCTAAAGTAACAGAAAATGAAATGTTCGTGTATTAGGAATTAAAAAAAAGGACATTTGATATAAACTCACTGTAAAGTGCTTCAATTTGGTTTAAGTTGTAACACAAACTCAGACATCAGTTTCATTACTGTGTCTGAGATGTCACATTATTGTCAGTTCAAACACGGTTCAAATTGACCAACAGCGCATTGAATGCAAGTCCACACTCAACAATGATAAACTTCTCGCTCGGTAGACTGGCTTTCTCCCCATCAGTATCGATAAATATACGGACTGGGAACCATGGCGGACCGGTTTAGTAAGCAAAAACAACAACACCACCAACATCACGAACAACAACAACGACAACAAAAGCCTTTTCTGTTCCAGAGTGTTGCAGACGCCTAAATTAATTTGATTTTATTGACGAGCAACGGACAGTGCATCTATAAAACGCAAGTTTGAGAAAAACACTTATCTTCAATTAAATCCTGCGAATCGTTAATATTGAAGTCCTCAATTTCAAAGCAACTCGAGAATATGACAGGTATACATCTTTTCGGGTGGAAAGTGCAATTTGTTGGAAAAAGTTTCTTGGCCAATTTGTATATAAATTTCGGCGGTGATTGGACGATTAAGTTTGCATTACCTGTACATTCAACACCGGCATCTTCACTGTGGTAGCAGTGTTCAGAGTAATAGGATGTGCAGTCGAGAATCGAACTTTCCGAACCGTTGCAGTAGACGTGTACAAGGTGAATAGGACCAACACCCGGGCCATAGGTAGCGTCACGCGGGGCACTAATGGCTGGTCCATAGCCAAGCTGTCTGCAGATGACTTGGGCCTCGTTCATGTCCCACGAATGGCTGCAAGCCGTTCCCCAGGAACCGTTGACAAACACCTCTACTCTGCCTTCATAGATGGTGCTGCCATTCACTAATCTTATCACGGAGGAGGGTAGATTGACGTCTACAGTGGGCGCAACAGTGTTTCCTATGAATATGGTGAATGACATAAATGGATTGAGTTATGTACTACAAATTAAGTCAAATTAATGATTGAAAGTGCGTTTTGTCACTACAATAAAATACACGTATCTGCAGAGCTGATTATTTACCGTAACAGTTGTATTCATCTTCGCCATAGTAGCAGTCAGAGTATCCGTTGCATCGTTGATAGTCTTGAATACATTGACCGTTGTTGTAGCATCTCCACTCATATGAACTGCAGCCGTAGGATGGTTCAGTGGTGTAGTCTGTAAATGAAAAGTGTGTTTTAAAAGACAGTTGCAAAGATGTGTTGCGTCCCTTCATCAACATTTTTTTTCGTAATGAATATTTACCGTAACATTTGTATTCATCTTCGCCATAGTAGCAGTCTGAGTATCCGTTGCATCGTTGATAGTCTTGAATACATTGACCGTTGTTGTAGCATCTCCACTCATATGAACTGCAGCCGTAGGATGGTTCAGTGGTGTTGTCGACAGGACTGTCAGTATTAGAGTAAGGAGCTTTTATGTGGTAAAGAAAATGGAACAAATGTCAACAGTTTTATTCGTTTTCTTATTTCTATATATAAGGTATTCATGACCAAATAGGTTATACACCCGGTGTAAGTTACCGCAATTAGAATGGAACAATAGGCCTTCACTTACGACTTGACCACATATTCACAAGTGTCTATGAAGACAAGCTGTGAGCAAGTGATTCCTTAAACCCGTTGTTGCTTTACACTGTGACGGTGCCACTATACCTGCAACTGATCGCCCTATGCTTCATTACTTTTGCAGCACATTTCAGAGGATATATAACGGTATATTACCTTGGCATATCAAACAGGCATCGTTGAGGTGGTAGCAACCTTCAGGATCAGAGGTTGGACAGTCAAAAAACGAGCTTTCCCAACCATTGCAGTAGACATTTTTAAAGTGGATAGGACCAACACCTAGACCATATCTACGGTCAGTCGGGATACTCCGGACCGGTCCATAGCCGAGCTGTCTGCAGGCCACATCGGCGTCATCATAACCCCAGCCCTGGTTGCACACTGTTCCCCAGACACCGTCAACAATCACCTCCACTATGCCTTCATAGATGGTGTCGCCATTCACTAATCGTATCCCTCTCTCTAAGAAAAAGTCGATATTCAATAAACAAGAAAACGGAGTTGTAAGGAAGGTACACAATTGTTGTGCCAGATTTAACTCATGAGCTGTGTAGCCATTTTACCGCTGGAAAAAATCATAAATGATAACATTGAGACAGTTGTTTTACACATGTATAAAAGTGTAACCCAAATGTTGTCGTTTACCCATTATGTTGAATAATTTTTGTAGCTAGACAATGTTTTGGTTCCAGACCTTGTCCAGCCACTTACCACAAGTAACTCCAGCGTCCTCCCCATGCCAACAGTCATGACTAAACCAGCCACGATGTTGGCATTCAGCTAGGCTTGATTCATTCCCTTGGCAGTTCACATCGTCCAGCATGATCGGACCTGATCCTTCACCGAAGTGGGCGCTGCCCCAAGCATTGGATGCAGAAGGGTAACCAAGCATGCGACAGACCACATTAGCATCATTAAGGCCCCATCCATCATCGCAGACTGTACCCCACTCGCCTTGGTAGAGAACCTCAACTCGACCCTCGTAAGAAGAGCCTCCATTAACGACACGAAGTGTATCGGGGCCTAGGTATAAAAACAATAAAATAACAACCTAGAAAAAAAAAAACGTTCTTTGATATGAAGCCACTATAAAGTACCCGAATGTTTTAAACGCACAGACACCAGTCACAGACATCTGAGCAGAAAGCTAAAAATAGGCCAGGCTTTAGTAATGAAGTTTGTTTTACAAATTTCGATTATTTTTTTCGGCCTGACAATCTCTCAGTTCTCGCAGGGTAGGCTGGCTCTCGCGTCTACCACTATAGATTATGAACGGACCTGGAACCAGTCTACTTGCATTGGTGTCCAGATAGTACGCACACAAATGCCCCAAACAAAACAAGATAAACCCTTTCAGAGGCGTTAATAGACACTCATAAAGAATAGCAAAAGTCGATTTTTTTGTTAAAATCTGAATGGAAATCGGAGAAATCAAATCGATCTTGTTGAAGAGCAACGGACAGTACATCCATAAAATGCCACTTTGCCAAAGGATTAATCTTCATTTAAATCTTCTGGATCGCTAAAATTAAAGTCATCAATTTCAATGCAACTTGAGAATACGAATATTTTCACTTTATTGATGGATGGGATGTGTTGGATAAAATGATTTCTCTTGAACTTTTTTTCATAATAAGTTTGGCCGTAATTGGACGAACAAATTTGCCTTACCTGAACATTTAACACCAGCATCTTTATAATGGGGGCAGAAGGATACGGGAGAAAACGTGCAGTCGAGAATCGAGCTCTCCCTGCCATAGCAGTACACATTTACAATATTACCAACACCCTGACCATATGCAGCGTAATTAGTGGCACTAATGACATTTTCATAGCCAAGCTGTCTGCAGATAACTTGAGCCTCATCCCTGTACCAAGAGTATCCGCAAAACGTTGCCCAGGAACCATCGACGAACATCTCTACTCTGCCTTCATAGATGGTGCTGCCATTCACTAATCGTACCATGTTTGAGGGCGGATTAACGTCTACAGTGGGAGCAACGGTTTTTCCTATAAATATGATGAATCAAAGAAATGGATTCAAATACGGCGCATTAAGCTAATCGTTGTAATGTTTAAGGTAAGTCAGTTTGTGTAGCAATAAAATGTCTGCAGATGTGAGCAGTAATACCGTAACAGTTGTATTCATCTTCGCCGTAGTAGCAGTCAGAGTATCCGTTGCATCGTTGATAGTCTTGAATACAGTGACCGCTGTTGTAGCATCGCCACTCATATGAACTGCAGCCGGTGTAGGATGGTTCAGTGGTGTAGTCTGCACAAAAAAGTGTGTTTGAAAAGACAGTGGCAAAGATGTGTCGTGTCCCTTATTCAACATTTTGTTGTAATGAATATTTACCGTAACATTTGTATTCATCTTCGCCATAGTAGCAGTCTGAGTATCCGTTGCATCGTTGATAGTCTTGAATACATTGACCGTTGTTGTAGCATCTCCACTCATATGAACTGCAGCCGTAGGATGGTTCAGTGGTGTTGTCGACAGGACTGTCAGTATTAGGGTAAGGAGCTTTTATGTGGCAAAGAAAATGAAACAAATGTCAACAGTTTTATTCGTTTTCTTATTTCTAAGGCATTCATGACCATCTAGGTTATACACCCAGTGTAAGTTACCGCACTTAGATGGGAACAATAGGCCTTCACTTACGACTTGACCACATATTCACAAGTGTCTATGAGGACAAGCTGTGGCCAAGTGATTCCTTAAACCCGATGTTGCTTTACACAGTGACGGTGCCACTATACCTGCAACTGATCGTCCTATGCTTCATTACTTTTGCAGCACATTTCAGAGCTCAGGATATGTAACGGTATATTACCTTGGCATATCAAACAGGCATCGTTGAGGTGGTAACAACCTTCAGGATCAGAGGTTGGACAGTCAAAAAATGAGCTTTCCCAACCATTGCAGTAGACATTTTTAAAGTGGATAGGACCAACACCTAGACCATATCTACGGTCAGTCGGGATACTCTGGACCGGTCCATAGCCGAGCTGTCTGCAGGCCACATCGGCGTCATCATAACCCCAGCCCTGGTTGCACACTGTTCCCCAGACACCGTCAACAATCACCTCCACTATGCCTTCATAGATGGTGTCGCCATTCACTAATCGTATCCCTCTCTCTAAGAAAAAGTCGATATTCAATAAACAAGAAAACGGAGTTGTAAGGAAGGTACACGTGACGCAATCGATGTTGTGCCAGGTTTTACCCATGAGTTTTGTAGCCATTTTACCGCAGGAAAGACATAAATGATAATACTTAGACAGTAGTTTTATACATGTATAAAAGTGTAATTCAAATGTTGTCGTTTACCCATTATGTTGAATAATTCTTGTAGCTAGACAATGTTTTGGTTCCAGACCTTGTCCAGCCACTTACCACAAGTAACTCCAGCGTCCTCCCCATGCCAACAGTCATGACTAAACCAGCCACGATGTTGGCATTCAGCTAGGCTTGATTCATTCCCTTGGCAGTTCACATCGTCCAGCATGATCGGACCTGATCCTTGGCCGAAGTGGGCGCTGCCCCAAGCATTGGATGCAGAAGGGTAACCAAGCATGCGACAGACCACATTAGCATCATTAAGGCCCCATCCATCATCGCAGACTGTACCCCACTCGCCTTGGTAGAGAACCTCAACTCGACCCTCGTAAGAAGAGCCTCCATTAACGACACGAATTGTATCGGGGCCTAGGTATAAAAACAATAAAATAAAAACCTAGAAATTAAACGTTCTTTGACATGAAGCCATTATAAAGTACCTGAATGTTTTAAACGCACAGACACCAGTCACATACATCTGAGCAGAAAGCTAAAAATAGGCCAGGCTTTAGTTATGGAGTTTGTTTTAAAAATTTCGATTATTTTTTCGGTCTGACAATCACTCAGTTCTCGCGGGGTAGGCTGGCTCTCGCCTCTGTCAGTATAGATAATGCCCGGACCTGGAACCAGTCTACTCGCATGGGTGTATTGATAGCGCGCACACAAATCCCCCAAACAAAACAAAATAAACCCTTGCCAGAGGTGTGTATAGACACTCATAAAGAATAGCAAAAGTGTTTTTTGTTTGCTAACATCTGAATGGAAATCGGAGAAATCAAATCGATCTTGTTGAAGAGCAACGGACAGTACATCCATAAAATGCCACTTTGCCAAAGGATTAATCTTCATTTAAATCTTCTGGATCGCTAATATTGAAGTCATCAATTTCAATGCAACTTGAGAATACGAATATTTTCACATTATTGATGGATGGGATGTGTTGGATAAAATGATTTCTCTTGAACCTTTTTTTCATAATAAGTTTGGCCGTGATTGGACGAACAAGTTTGCCTTACCTGAACATTTAACACCAGCATCTTTATAATGGGGGCAGGAGGATACGGGAGAAAACGTGCAGTCGAGAATCGAGCTCTCCCTGCCATAGCAGTACACATTTACAATATTACCAACACCCTGACCATATGCAGCGTAATTAGTGGCACGAATGACATTTTCATAGCCAAGCTGTCTGCAGATAACTTGAGCCTCATCCCTGTACCAAGAGTATCCGCAAAACGTTGCCCAGGAACCATCGACGAACATCTCTACTCTGCCTTCATAGATGGTGCTGCCATTCACTAGTCGTACCATGTTTGAGGGCGGATTAACGTCTATAGTGGGAGCAACGGTGTTTCCTATAAATATGATGAATCACAGAAATGGATTCAAATACGGCGCATTAAGCTAATCGTTGTAATGTTTCAGGTAAGACAGTTTGTGTAGCAATAAAATGTCTGCAGATGTGAGCAGTAATACCGTAACAGTTGTATTCATCCTCGCCATAGTAGCAGTCAGAGTATCCGTTGCATCGTTGATAGTCTTGAATACAGTGACCGTTGTTGTAGCATCTCCACTCATATGCTCTACAGCCGGTGTAGGATGGTTCAGTCGTGTAGTCTGCAAAAAAAAGTGTGTTTGAAAAGACAGTGGCAAAGATGTGTCGTGTCCCTTATTCAACATTTTGTTGTAATGAATATTTACCGTAACATTTGTATTCATCTTCGCCATAGTAGCAGTCTGAGTATCCGTTGCATCGTTGATAGTCTTGAATACATTGACCGTTGTTGTAGCATCTCCACTCATATGAACTGCAGCCGTAGGATGGTTCAGTGGTGTTGTCGACAGGACTGTCAGTATTAGGGTAAGGAGCTTTTATGTGGTAAAGAAAATGAAACAAACGTCAACAGTTTTATTCGTTTTCTTATTTCTAAGGCATTCATGACCATTTAGGTTATACACCCAGTGTAAGTTACCGCACTTAGATGGGAACAATAGGCCTTCACTATTACGACTTGACCACATATTCAGAGGTGTCTATGAGGACAAGCTGTGAGCAAGTGATTCCTTAAACCCGATGTTGCTTTACACTGTGACGGTTGCACTATACCTGCAACTGATCGTCCTATGCTTCATTACTTTTGCAGCACATTTCAGAGGATATGTAACGGTATATTACCTTGGCATATCAAACAGGCATCGTTGAGGTGGTAGCAACCTTCAGGATCAGAGGTTGGACAGTCGAAAAACGAGCTTTCCCAACCATTGCAGTAGACATTTTTAAAGTGGATAGGACCAACACCTAGACCATATCTACGGTCAGTCGGGATACTCCGGACCGGTCCATAGCCGAGCTGTCTGCAGGCCACATCGGCGTCATCATAACCCCAGCCCTGGTTGCACACTGTTCCCCAGACACCGTCAACAATCACCTCCACTATGCCTTCATAGATGGTGTCGCCATTCACTAATCGTATCCCTCTCTCTAAGAAAAAGTCGATATTCAATAAACAGGAAAACGGATTTGTAAGCAAGACACCTGACGAAATCGATGTTGTGCCAGATTTTACTCATGAGTTGTGTAGCCATTTTACCGCAGGAAAGACATAAATAATAATAACTTGACAGTTGTTTTACACATGTATAAAAGTGTAACCCAAATGTTGTCGTTTACCCATTATGTTGAATAATTTTTGTAGCTAGACAATGTTTTGGTTCCAGACCTTGTCCAGCCACTTACCACAAGTAACTCCAGCGTCCTCCCCATGCCAACAGTCATGACTAAACCAGCCACGATGTTGGCATTCAGCTAGGCTTGATTCATTCCCTTGGCAGTTCACATCGTCCAGCATGATCGGACCTGATCCTTCACCGAAGTGGGCGCTGCCCCAAGCATTGGATGCAGAAGGGTAACCAAGCATGCGACAGACCACATTAGCATCATTAAGGCCCCATCCATCATCGCAGACTGTCCCCCACTCGCCTTGGTAGAGAACCTCAACTCGACCCTCGTAAGAAGAGCCTCCATTAACGACACGAATTGTATCGGGGCCTAGGTATAAAAACAATAAAATAAAAACCTAGAAATTAAACGTTCTTTGATATGAAGCCATTATAAAGTACCTGAATGTTTTAAACGCACAGACACCAGTCACAGACATCTGAGCAGAAAGCTAAAAATAGGCCAGGCTTTAGTTATGGAGTTTGTTTTAAAAATTTCGATTATTTTTTTCGGCCTGACAATCACTCAGTTCTCGTGGGGTAGGCTGGCTCTCGCCTCTATCAGTATAGATAATCCACGGACCTGGTACCAGTCTACTCGCATGGGTGTAATGATAGCGCGCACACCAATCCCCCAAACAAAACAAAATAAACCCTTGTCAGAGGCGTGTATAGACACTCATAAAGAATAGCAAAAGTCGTTTTTATGGCTAAAATCTGAATAAAAATCGGAGAAATCCAATCGATCTTGTTGAAGAGCAACGGACAGTACATCCAAAAAATGCCACTTTGCCAAAGGATTAATCTTCATTTAAATCTTCTGGATCGCTAATATTGAAGTCATCAATTTCAATGCAACTTGAGAATACGAATATTTTCACTTTATTGATGGATGGGATGTGTTGGATAAAATGATTTCTCTTGAACTTTTTTTCATAATAAGTTTGGCCGTGAATGGACGAACAAGTTTGCCTTACCTGAACATTTAACACCAGCATCTTTATAATGGGGGCAGGAGGATACGGGAGAAAACGTGCAGTCGAGAATCGAGCTCTCCCTGCCATAGCAGTACACATTTACAATATTACCAACACCCTGACCATATGCAGCGTAATTAGTGGCACGAATGACATTTCCATAGCCAAGCTGTCTGCAGATAACTTGAGCCTCATCCCTGTACCAAGAGTATCCGCAAAACGTTGCCCAGGAACCATCGACGAACATCTCTACTCTGCCTTCATAGATGGTGCTGCCATTCACTAATCGTACCATGTTTGAGGGTGGATTGACGTCTACAGTGGGAGCAACGGTGTTTCCTATAAATATGATGAATCGAAGGAATGGTTTGAAACTAACTTTAGTAAATGCTTAAGGAAAGTCAGTTTTGTGTTACAGTAAAATATAGCTGCCGATGTGAGTTGTTGAAACAGTTGTATTCATCTTCCCCATGGTAACAGTCCGAGTATCCGTTGCATCTTTGGTAGTCTTGAATACATTGACCGTTGTTGTAGCATCTCCACTCATATGAACTGCAGCCGTTGTAGGATGGTTCAGTGGTGAAGTGTGGAAATGAAAAGTGTGTATTAAAAGACAGTTGCAAAGATGTGTCAGCTGGTATGCTGAATTGCGAAGGACGCGGCTACAACGTGGTCGGGCCGCTGGCACGTAAAGGCGCCTATGGCTGCCGGCCACATCGACCCATATATGACCACGGAGCACAGCCTGAGATCGAAAGTGTTTGATTGTTCCGGAGGGAGAAAAACCGGAAGGCCAGGAGAAAAACCCTCTTGGCACAGGAGAGAACCAACGCACAACTCTACTCACATGTGATCTGCAGCCAGGATTCCAACCGTGGTCACCTTGGTGAGAGGCGAGCGCTTTATACGCACAAGCCACCCATGCCACCCATGGTGATATTTACCGTAACAGTTGTATTCATCTTCGCCATAGTAGCAGTCAGAGTATCCGTTGCATCTTTGGTAGTCTTGAATACATTGACCGTTGTAATAGCATCGCCACTCATATGAACTGCAGCCGTAGTAGGGTGGTTCAGTGATGTAGTCTGGAAATGAACAGTGTCGTTTAAAAGACATTCATAAATACCTAACACAGTTTAACCATTCTGATTGGTCAAGAGAACGTCACGTGGGTGGTTTAATACGGTTGATAAAACACCAACCGGTTTTAAACACTTTTTCCTGGTGTAACATGAATGGGTAGCATGGGTGGCTTGTGCGTAATGTATTATTTACAAAACTTGAAGTATGTTTCAACTTTAGGAAAACGTTTTGTTGTAGATATTTACCGTAACAGTTGTATTCATCTTCGCCATACAAGCAGTCTGAGTATCCGTTGCATCTTTGGTAGTCTTGAATACATTGACCGTTGTAGTAGCATCTCCACTCATATGAACTACAGCCATAGGATGGTTCAGTGGTGTAGTCTGAAAAGGAAAAGACAGTAGGATGAATTATGTACAAAACTTGGAGCGTGTTTCAACTTTAGAAAACTGTTTTGTTGTAGATATTTACCGTAACAGTTGTATTCATCTTCGCCATAGTAGCAGTCAGAGTATCCGTTGCATCTTTGGTAGTCTTGAATACATTGACCGTTGTAATAGCATCGCCACTCATATGAACTGCAGCCGTAGTAGGGTGGTTCAGTGGTGTAGTCTGGAAATGAACAGTGTCGTTTAAGAGACATTCATATATAACTTAAACAGTGTAACTATTCCGATTGGTCGAGAGACCGTCACGTAGATGGTTTAATACGGTTGATAAAACACCAACCGGTTTTAAACACATTGTTCTTGGTGTAACATGAATGGGTGGCATGGCTGGCTTGTGCGTAGGCTTGTGCGTAATGTATTATTTACAAAACTTGAAGTATGTTTCAACTTTAGGAAAACGTTTTGTTGTAGATATTTACCGTAACAGTTGTATTCATCTTCGCCATACAAGCAGTCTGAGTATCCGTTGCATCTTTGGTAGTCTTGAATACATTGACCGTTATAGTAGCATCTCCACTCATATGAACTACAGCCATAGGATGGTTCTGTGGTGAAGTTTGAGAAGTAAAAAGACAGTGAGATGAATTATGTTCAAAACTTGGAGTGTGTTTCAACTTTAGAAAACTGTTTTGTTGTAGATATTTACCGTAACAGTTGTATTCATCTTCGCCATAGTAGCAGTCAGAGTATCCGTTGCATCTTTGGTAGTCTTGAATACATTGACCGTTGTAATAGCATCGCCACTCATATGAACTGCAGCCGTAGTAGGGTGGTTCAGTAGTGTAGTCTGGAAATGAACAGTGTCGTTTAAAAGACATTCATAAATACCTAAAACAGTTTAACCATTCCGATTGGTCGAGAGACCGTCACGTGGGTGGTTTAATACGGTTGATAAAACACCAACCAGTTTTAAGCACTTTTTTCCTGGTGTAACATGTATTTGGGTTCCTAAGAAATCTGGTCCCTTTTACCCTGTTATTGGTTGAAGCCTCACACGTGACCAGTCGATTTCCTAATTATCTTCACTTAGGCATGTGCACTACTAATAATGTGTCCGTATGTATATTGGAGCTCTGAATTCACACTACACCGGCACCGCTGCGTTCTGCGGCACATCGCGCAGTACGCGCCACGCGCGCACCAATCTCCATATAAGGAGATTTTTTGTATAACTTGTGAAAAGTACATACCATAAACATAGCTAGAGGGGTGATTGACAAAAAATGAAGCAAAGTCGGTGGGTTTTCAGTTGTTTTGAGTTTTTGGCCGAAAGATATTCATGAATGGGAATAAATATGTGCTTAACCGCAATTAAAAAAGTACGTTCAACACCAGCCAAGCACATATTTATTCCCTTAGTTGGACAGTTATGTTGTGTCCCATCTTTAACAAACGTTTTGCATTGAACATTTACCGTAACAGTTGTATTCATCTTCGCCATAGTAGCAGTCTGAGTATCCGTTGCATCTTTGGTAGTCTTGAATACATTGGCCGTTGTTGTAGCATCGCCACTCATATGAACTGCAGCCGTAGTAGGATGGTTCAGTGGTGTAGTCTGGAATTTGAGTAAATAAAATAGTGATGAAAATGTTGACAGTTTTTGAAACAATGACATATGTTGTCCGTTCTTTTTGGACGTTTTAGTATCCTTTGTACGTCTTATATATAACACTCAGGTTATCTTTTCCGTTTTAGCATAATACAAAAGCGACCCAAGTGCCGTTAAGATACGTTGGTGAGATCGCAGAATGCGCTCTTCTTTGTTTCTTTAACGGTGGCTGAAAATGTTTAAGTTATACCGAGTAAATGTGTACCCGTCTCTGAAATGAAAACTTAAAGCATCATCGGGGAGGTATATGTAATACAAAACGATTTAACTCCCTAAAAATCACCCTGACAGATTTTAGCAGAAACTTGCCTCCTGTTTAACCCATCGCTGGTGACCCAGTGCCTGCCTTTACAGAATGGATGGAGGTAGAGAGAGGACACCATTGGACGTAACGTGGTGTGTAACCTATACGTATGTCGATATCAGTTATACTTCCTAATTCATTTATGACTGGGATTGGAGTTGGAGTTGCAAGTTGGGCTGTTTTCTAGTTAAATCTTAAAGTTGTGATAATGGTAAACACTTAATCTGTATGCCCAAATATAACTTAAAATTCTAAATCCATCAAGGATAGATCTGGTCACACCTGATGTAAGTACCTGTCATTGAGACGCTTTGAGCGACAATATTGAACCCTTGATAGGTGACACTGCCATCTGAAGTGAACCTCAGCCACATCTTGTTTTCTGATGAAACCTTGTCAGTTGGTGTGACGCTCCCAGTGACGGAAAAGAGCTCCGCTTTAGAGACGTCCTCACCATCGCCCCCCTTCAGTCTGTCGTACCCATTCTCGAGTCGAAAGGAAACGAATGTGAGCTGGATTCTACGACCTTTGTCAGTCTGAAGATACCAGATGTCATCAGCATAGTTGGGATAGTTGCTCGGGTAGTTGGTAGAGGTTATGGTGTGATTACTCTCTGCACTTATATATGCAGTTCGAGCTACGGACAAATAACAAATGAACCGACACAGTTTTTTGTACGTGAGAGTAAGCTAACAAACGAGCCTGCTCATAAAACGTCATTATTTAAGACACGCCACACGAAGCACATTGCCTCGTAGTAATTTCTGACCGTATGCAGTAATTTGCCTAAAACAAGAACTAAGCAAGCATTGTAAGACTAGTCCTAGACCAGTGTAAGGGAGAGCGCAAAACCTTCAATTCAATTAAAATGGCTTTTCATTGGTAGTAAATTTGTATAAAGCGCGGTCTGGTCTAATCAATGGGCCAGATTTAGCCCTTATCATTGGCGTAAGTCACATATTACAGTCAGTTAGTCATTCAGACATTGAGATAGGTATATAATGACGAGGGGCTGGTC